CTTTCTAATAATTTTGGTAGCATCTATCGCCTTGATGATACAAACGACATCGATTTTGCTAGCAAGCAGCTAGCTGCGTGCAGAAAGCAATTCCGGCCCAGATGAATCTCTGCTCAAGATTGGTGAAATTTTGATCAAAATCGACTTGATTTATCTATTCTGCCAGATTCGACTATGTGATTTGCGATGATCATCCTATGCTTCTTTAAGCCTTCTTGGAGTGCTTTTCAAGACGCATCCAATGGTACCAAGTAAGGTAGATGTTGTTGTGCCAGAAGGGCTACAACTGTCTATAAAGATTAAGGTATTCTTGATGGGTAGATATGTCTGTGTTGTGCAACAACATGGACAAGCTATGATAAGTGAAGTGCATCTCAGCTATCTAAATACTGAGGTTCACCAGATGTGATAAGCGTTGTACAAGATAAATTGCTACTTTGGCATTCAGAACTTAGTATAAATAGAATAACTCTTGTCTTCATCAATAAATCTTTATTTTTTGTGTCTGATCTTATTCAAATAAGTCTTTTCTTGTTTTTATAATATCGAACATTTTTTATAAGCTACAAATAATAATCCTTTTATTCTTTGTGCTTAACAGATGTTTTGAATAAAGCTATTGAAGAATTTATGAAAATATGAGAAGAGGTTTCTGGTCAAAATGTCGAAATTTTACATATCAAAGTCCCACAAAGATAATTTTAGGGATTACGTTAGATCGATAGAAACATTTTGATGTAATACAAAGGCTCTTTCGTGTAACCATCACTACCCCTAAGGTGAAAATTACGCCACTGCTTAAATCACATCAAACACATTCCTACCACTACTGTTCCACTACCACCACGCGCAGATAGTTATATGACGCCTTATCTTGTAGAATAAAAAAAAGGAGAACAAGATACAATGAATGGATTAAGCTGATTGAGTTGGGAGATTTATAAAACATGGCGTTCGTTTATATAATGCATCATCTCTCAACAACAGCCCGCCATCCTATTATCTAACATTCAATTGCACCATTACTATTACTATTACTATTACTATTACTATTATTATTATTTTCTTTTTATCAACATTTGGCTCTAGCAAAATGCTACTTTCAATACTCTAGCACTAGTATTTCAAAACTTGAATTTATATAACCCAAATCTTGAAGCCAAAAATACTACTGTACTATGTCCAAAATCTTTGGTATGAGGTAAAAGAGAGCAACCCACGAAACTGAAGCTTGTAGGAAATTGATGATAAACAATGCATGTTTGCTGGGGCATTTGATACTGCTGGGAGAACCCTATGCCTAGTACATTGCTGTATAGCACACACTATTACACAAGCTTTTTTTTACTATAAAATAAATTTAAGATACATCCCTCATATGAAAGTGTTTAATGGATGCTAGATCAAATGGTTGCACCTTGTCTTGCCTTAGAATATATAAAAGAACTTAAATTGTAACAGTTTAGATACCCTTTTATTACAAAAACAATATAGTGTTAAATGACAGATCAATAGAAGATCAACTAACTAAAACCCTTCGGTGCTTCATCCTCCGAGCCAATCAAATTGCTTGAAAACTCCGCTGACCTAAAAAAAAAATTGCGAGGGTTTCCCCCGGTTTTGATGTGAGGCAAAATTTTAAGCGCCGCTATAGTAGCAATATAGCCGCTGCTATCATCAAACTTCCCCCAGGTGCTAGAGCATGCCTTACTTACACCACCTAGCTTTAAATTCAGGCATTGAGACCTTTAATCATCACTAAAGTAAGTAGCGATAACCAAATGGAGGCAGCCTATCTACCTCCTAGCCTCGGATAAAGTCTTGTTGAGCTTCAGGGATAGGCACATCCACACAACGTAAAGAGGTATGCTTCAAAAGAAACATAATAATAAAAAAAGAAGCGAATACAATAATACTATAGAAGTATAGTAGTATATGTATTATGCAAAAGAAAAAAAGAATGCTCACACGAAGTGAGCCAAAGGAAAGTATGTTATGAATAAAACATTAAAAATGTTCACGTTATTATATTCTTGTTATTGCAACAAAAATATATACATGAGCAATGTGCATGATAACAGTCTGATGATGTAAAAGAACACAAATGCGCACAATTGCAGGAGCAACAGTAGCAGCAGTATAAGTGTTGTAATACAACATGAAGACCAATGTTGTTTTCATGTGAAGCGACAGAGGCAACACAAACAACAATCCACGGCTATATAACATAGTATCACAAGAAGGGTAATACAATTATATAGTAGTGTGTCATGCTTGTTGTTCGTAAATACGAAGCATCAACATTGCAAGTATTTGTTGAGCTGATCATATCACAGCCAGCAAAAAAGAAAGAAAAGGCAATAAAGCAAACAGCATGAATGCATTATCGCGGGAAAGGAAGCAGTAGTACAAACGTTCAAAGAAGTTTATATCATTGCGACCGCAAGAAAAAAAAAAGACACTTACCACTTCTTACCACAGCATCACGACCAGAGACAGACCAGAGAACCAGCATACATCAAAGACAACAGACCACAGGATAAGCAAACACCAGAGAAGAACCACCGAAGCAACGATATACCATCAAAGCAGCCACCGCCAAATGTGCAGCCAGTGCACAGCAAAAGATTAAAAATAAGCCCCTAGTAGAGTTTTCCCAAGTATAACCACGGTATAAAACGCGTTAACATTGTATCTTACGTCTATTGCATAACTGTCAATTATACTTGCTTCAATTCTATTCACAAAGGTAGGGTTGTTTCATGAGTAGAGAGCTTGCGATGTATAGTATATATATATATATATATATAAACGAAAAAAGGAAAAAATGCTAATAAAAGGTTGAGGCTAAAAGACGTCACTTTTATCAATGTACCGCAAGGTAAGCACTAGAATTTGATAGCTTGCTACAAGGCAGCAAAGCAAGATATGAATTAGCAATTTTCACCATGAGTTTCGCCAACACCTTACCTATTAATCTGTTACATGTAATTAAGAGGTTATATTTGACAAGGGTAGCGAATTTACGTTTGAATTGAGCTACATTCTAAAAAAAAAAGGCGGTATTTTAAACTATCAATAGCCCAACCTCCATAATACTCAAAATGAGGATTCATGGATTTCTGAAATCGTTTAGCCTTAATATCATGCGACTCTGAAAATAAAATTGCTATAGTTTTTTGTCTTGCTACCACAGGCAGATTTTGGTGATTTTGCATAATACCTGCTGTGCCAGAAGGGCTACAACTGTCTATAAAAAAAGATTAAGTTATTCTTGATGGGTAGATATGTCTGTGTTGTGAAACAACATGGACAAGCTATAATAATTGAAGTGAATCTCAGCTATCTAAATGCTGAGGTTCACCAGACGTGATAAGCGTTGTACAAGATAAATTGCTACTTTGGCATTCAGAATTTAGTATAAATAGGATAACTCTTGTCTTCATCAAAAAATCTTTAGTTTTTTTTTGTGTCTGAACTTATTCAAATAAGTCTTTTCTTGTTTTTATAATATCGAACATTTTTTATAAGCTAAAAATAATAATCCTTTTATTCTTTGTGCTTAACAATAACCTTTTTTGGCCATATCTCGACAAATACTCACCGGATTTGCATAAAACAAAAACCATTCAATAGCTCTACATTATATCTATTATTTTATAAAAGTTTAAAGTACCAGATGTACGCTCCCTTCACGAATTCGCTCAAAACCTTATATTTCATGAGCTACAAGCAGGGGATATTCATTTTTTTTTCTATTTATCTATAATAACCATACCATCGTATAGAGAATCGAAAAAGAAATAGAAGCTACTAAGCTTGAAGCTCATGTTCACTTAGTAAGATCAACCGGTACGGCCTTTTGAAAATTGGCCATTTTTATCATCTCTCTTCATTACTCACTGACATTATCCTCAACAAGCCCAAATCTAACGTGCTCTAGTCAATCAAAGTACCCCCTACAACTTTTACTAGACATACAACCAACATTTATATAATATTCTATTGACTTTGACTAGTAGCATCTACTCAAAGCTTGCAATTTTCAAAAATCACAATTTCCTCAGCGGCAACTCATTCTATCTAAAATCCAATTGCACCATTGTTTAAAGGGCAAAAAACTGATATAAGAACATGCTACTTTCAAAGCTCGAATCAAAGCATGATTCAAAGATGGATAAAAGATACGGAAAAATAAGAAAGGAAAAATTCAAACTAAGGAAAGAAGTGGATATGATGAGGTTGTTTTATACTTTCGAGAGAGAAATTTTGGGGACAGTTTAATTTGCATGGCACAGGGAGAAAAAGTAGTGCTGGATTGTGTTGTCTAAAAAGAATTAACAGTTTACAGAAGCTAAGTTGGCAATTAACAAACTTCAGCATTCACATTTCATCGAATTACATACAGCAAGTATGATTTATTAAAACTCGCGAGATAACCGCTATTTTCATATTGAATGTTCACTGATTATCGCGAAATGGACGGAAGTTTGAATATGATGGTAATGAGCAGATATTGGAAAGCAGTAAAAGAGTAAACCTTGGATTATATGTGCACTACGGCACATCAAAACCAAATAACCTAAGCTTATACAACGCGAATTCGATTAAAAAGATGGATATACTGTGAAATATTGAATTACACATGGGCAGAGGCATTGAGTTTTCCATTTTGCAAATGCTGCAGTGGTGGAGAGCAGTATAACTAGATTATTCTCTGAAAGTGTTATTGAACTGACTACTGCTCAACGCAACGATCAATAATTATTCGCTTCTACTTTATTCATATGATAGAAAGGCTCTAAAATTTATACGAACATATGTTATTACAAAACAATTATATCATGAGCAACTCAATTTGCAGACACATCCACATCACTTCTGAACTGTCATTTATGGCGCCGTTGTAGACAATCAAACACAGAGATTCATTGAATACTAGACAATAGCTTGGGTACAAAAGATCAACGTCTTTTTCTCTCGTCCGAGTTTATTGTAGTTTAAACAGGAGGTGGAGGAGGAGGGCCCATTTGCCCCTTGTAATTTTCGTAGAGAATATCGAAAAACGTAGGATCGCACTAAGCACACAACACGTTAGACCATACTCCACAGCACAAACATACATCAAACTTACTTGGATCATATTCAACAGCTGTTGAATAAACTCAGGCTTAGACAGCATTGGTCTACCACCACCAAATCTCCTACCTACCTCAGGTCTCATCAACCCCATCACTTGTTGGGGCATCAGGGGCATTCCCATGGGAACGGATTGTTGCTGCTGCTGTTGCTGATGTTGTGGTGGTGGTGGAAGCGAGTGAGAAGGAGGTGGTGGTGGAAGTCCACCATGAAGAGCTTGTAATAAAGCACCTGGGTTTCTATTATTTGGAGACGCAACAGGTGACATGTTGACAAAAGGAGGGTAGAAAGGCTTTGTCAATTCACCATTAGCCATGACCCTTCTCTGTGGTGGTTCAGCCATATTCAAGTTGGCCATACTCTGGTTCGTACTATCGAAGAGCTCTTGTAAGCCATTGCCTGCTCTATCAGCGCTGTCTGATGTAGGTATCGCAAAATTAGGAGGTGTCTGATTCATCATGGGTGGCATAGGCGGGTGTTGCATGAATTGAGGTTGCTGAGGAGGTAATTGTTGTGGGATTGGAACTCGAAGTAGAGCTCGCTGCTTGTGTGGTTGTTGCTGTTGGACTTGAGGTTGAGATTTTTGAGGCTGTTGAGGATGAGGGGAAGATTTCTGTCCCAAGACACGCAATAGATCGTTACCAACGGATTGTAAAGGAGGGCTTGCAGTTGCTGATGGTGTGTTATTTGTGGCCATTTTCAACATTTGAAGGATATCCAACTTGGACTCCGTTGGTTTAGGCGGTTGTTGCTGCTGCTGTTGTTGTAATTGCTGTTGCTGTTGTTGGGTAGATGGTAATGCCTTAATACCCTCATGTAATCTAAAGCCCACTGTCAGCAACTATAACTGCTTTGTCTTCCATCTAGTTCAATGCTCACTTTAAAATCTTTGCTAAAATTCGTTCACGATCCTTTTTTTCAAACAGCCATAATGCACAGGCCTCACCTAGCAAATTGCACACGGTTTAGTATCGAAGCCAGCCCGTTTTCTCGGTTGGATGCTTACCTTCACTAGTTAGGTAAATAATGAATTCATCTGTCAGGTTGATTTCCTCAAAATCCGTCAAGTGCAACGAAAAGTTTTCTATAGAGAGTCTATTCAAAACGTATAAACCAAAGTAAGGTGCGCTTTTTCTAAGGTAACAAAATGATAAGTAATCATCAAAGTAAGCTCCATTTAATGCCTCGATCCACTTACCCTTGTGTTAAAAAGATGACACCTTCATAACCCAGTTTTTCCTGAGTGAGAGTGTTATTATACAGCGTACCGCTATGCCCACAAACTACTACTACTTTACCCAACTGGCCTTTTCAGTATCGAATTTGTATACCACAGCATGGGCAGACTGGTCCAGAATATCGCAAATATTGGCATCGTGTCTCTTTAGAACTTCCAAGTTGAGCTTTTTACGTGCAACAAGATCCATTTTTAATATAGATTATGTTTGTCTACAGGTTAAAAAAGAGGAAGAAAATACTCTTGTAAAACTGTACACGCATTTCAACTAATCCTACACCTCGTGACTCCATATTAATGCTTTCAAGGCTAACGTCTGCTGCTTGAATCTTATTATCCATTGCTTAAAGTTGTCAATAGATGGAGGAATGTAGTAAGAGGGTCTCATCTCTCATGAGTTAGTAGCCATAGATTCGATAGCAAGCTTATTGACGAATATCCGTGTTGTAAGTGCCAGAAAGATGATCTGCAATCTCATCTGCGATATCATCGATAGTTGTTTAGTCTTCAAAATAAATATCACCTTTGCGTAATTCAGAAACATGTAGGAATACCATGCTCTACTAAGTGAGATAGCTGCGTTTTTCAATTTAGCGTCGATGCCAACAGTTGTTGGCAGATGCAAAAGCGATCAGCATGTCAAGAAGCAGTATTCAGTATCCGCATTTCCAGAGCAATGTTCTTCCAAATGATTCTTGATTTACAGCTACAATACAAATGGCAGATGCTCATTTGGCATGCTGGTATACTTTGAAAGGCTGTATTTTGCTAGGCTCTAAAGTACTCAAAAGATATGCAATCAATACATAGATGTCTATCAATTGAAACTCATTGCTAATTGACGATGATAGCTTGCGAGACCGCTGTTTTGACAAATTAGAATTTTTTTGCTGCCAGTAGTGTGGTAATTCTGTTGAAATGGGCTTGAACGCAAGACTACGAAACCAAACGCTCTTTCACCTTTCTTTTTATATATAGAATAACAACAAATCATGGATATCGGAGGCTCATATGGACTTAGTGGCCCAAACATTACTATTAGAGAGCTCACAAAAGATCGCATCACATTCATTTTGAGCGATACCGACTTGAGGTATATTAAAGAGGTATACGTGTTTGAATTCACACTAATATCATTGATTAGTGTTGCAAACTCTCTTCGTCGAGTTATGATTGCTGAAGTCCCTACAGTTGGTAAAATACGACAGCTAACGGTGATTTCTAGACGGTATACTGATCATATATTCTTTGTTCTAGCTATTGATATGGTTGAAATTGAAACAAACACTACTGTCCTTGCTGATGAATTTTTAGCACATCGTCTTGGTATGGTTGCTATCGACAGTAGAGATGTGGACAAATTACGTTATACTAGAGTAAATTTTGGATTGATTTATTATGGCGACATCCACTTACAAGTATTCGTAGGATTGTACTTGCTCTCAATATTGTCCTGATTGTTCAGTAGAATTAACGCTTCACGTCAAATGCACGGATGACAGAACAAAAGATGTCACTACCAGAGATCTTACATCATCCAATCCTTCATTTATGCCAGTATTACAAGGTAGATTCAAGAATGCGCCTATTCTGTGTAAATTGTAACATGCTTCATTAGACAAGGATGATTCCGGCGTATTGTTGGTTAAATTGCGTAAAGGACATGAATTGAAATTGAAGTGTATTGCCAAAAAGGTATTGAAGGGTCTGTGCTGAAGATGATGATGGGATATTCATTGTATGAATAGGGTGTTGCAAAGGAACATGCTAAATGGAGTCCTGTCAGTGGTGTCTCCTTTGAATATGATCCATACAACAAATTAAGACACACTACATATTGGTTTGAAGAGACAGAGGATGAATGGTAAATAAGATCAAGGACGTTTCGAGACCAACACTATGCTAATTCGAATGGTACTAGGCCATTGAGTAAAAACGCACAATTCGAAACACCACCTGACAAAGATGCTCGTACGTAGATATTAAATTCATGCTATATGTGCCTAATTACTAATCTATTGATGCAGCCTTTGATTACAACGCTAAACCAGACAAATTTTATTTTGAAGCAGAGACTGTTGGATCATTAGCACCTGAGGAGGTTGTTACAATGGCAATGAAGACATTAGTAGATAAACTCGCTTATGTTCAAATGCAAATCCAAGAAGAGGTTGATACAAAGGAGCAAGATAATGCTAATGCTTGGAGCAACTATTAATAAAGATGTGGTTTTGAATCAAACATAATGAATTTAGGGTCCCTAGACACTTTCAAAGCCTCAAAAAGGAAAGAAGTTGATCTAACAAGTATGATAGACTGGCGTTATTGAATATAGAATGCAAGGAGAATGGCATGGCTAACAGCAGTGCTATGTAACTTGACACCTAGTTTCCATACGCTTCAAAAGCATATATTACTGTATGCCTTCATAATGAACAGGGCATTGAGTTTGCCTGTCAGCCCCACCAGCCAAAATCAATTCAAATCCAGACTCACAGTCTGTTTCAGATTGGTCAAATCTTGATGATTTTCGACTCGATTGAACTATTTTAGCAGATTCGACTATATAAATCGTAATAATCATCCAATGCTTCCTAATACATTCTTGGAGTACTTTTCAAGGCGCATCCAATGATGCCAAGTAAGGTAGATGTTTTGAATAAACACATTGAGCAATTTATGAAAATATGAAAAGAGGTTTCTGGCCAAAAAGTCGAGATTTTACATATCAAAGTCCCACAAAGATGACTTTAGGGGTTACGTTTGATCGATAGAAACATTTTGATGTCATACATACCATAGTAAAAGTCTTCATTATCAAGGTGAAAAATGCGATCGTTTGCTTTTCGATGAAAACCATGAGGGGTACCTCATGCTTTTTGGTCGAATTTTGGCCATGTTTTTTTTTGGTCCCCAAAAAGTCGAGCAAAAGTGTCAGAAAGTAACTGCCAGATGAGAGCAACCATTTGGTGCTATTCTGACAATCTAAAACGGCCTTAAACGCAAGAAACCGCAGCTAAAATGCACTCGGATTTTGCTGTATCAGGGACACTAAGGACTAAAAAGGTGAAATACCAGTATGCTGCTTGCCCGTATATGAAATAGCTACGTGGATATGGATGTAGAGCATCGCATAAGAATCAGATCCACGGATAATATGAAGGGTTTTTATGTGCAAGTGGAGGGTCAAAATGAAAGTAGCAGTATTTTGATAAAATACGCAAGAGCAATCGGCAGTGCGAGCTGCCACTGCGCAGGTTGTTTCTCATCAAAGCGAAGCAAAGGAAGAGAGCCATCCAAAGCATAAACACTCGTATATAATAATGACATGTTTTATGGGGTTTGGAAGAATGTATGTATGAAAATTATATTATTTCTTGGCTGCTGCAGAAGCAGGATGATGAGCTTTGTAATAAGCGACACTGATCTTGATACCTTCATCGAGTCCAACTTTGGGCTCATAACCCAAGATGGTTCTTGCTTTTGAAATGTCAAAATAACGAGAGGACATGGCTTGCTTAATTCTAGCACGAGACAAACCTTCCTTGAGTTGACTTCTGTCCCAGAACATCTCCTTGATACTAAAGATGGTCTCACTAATAAGAGCAATCACCAAACTGGCGTTGTAAGACAAGACGATCTTTTTGTTGTTGGGCATGTAGTAGCCATCTTCTGCCCAGACACGAGAAGCGAAATCCCAGAAGGGAACAGGTGTACCGTTGGTTAAATTGAAGGCTTGACCAGCAGCTCCGGAGTTGGGGATAGCTAATTTCTCGGCAGCGAGAACATGAGCATATGCAACGTTGCCAACATAGGTAAAATCCATCAATGATTGATTGTTGCCGATTTGGAAGCGATGTTGACCACGCTCACAGACCTCAAGCATACCAGGAATGAGTTGTCTATCGCCAGGACCGAAAATAGCAGAAGGACGAATGGTACAAGTCAACAAACCACCTTGGCCATTCGCCTTCAACACTTCCTTTTCGCATTCCATCTTAAAAGCAGAATATCAGCATCATGGTTCTAGTCGTAACGGCCAAGACTTTACCTTGGACTCGGTATAGACATCAATAGCCTTGGGAGGATAAGGTGTGCTTTCGTCAATGTTGACCATGGGCTCGCCATTGGAGATAACACTACCTGAACTTGTCACTACCAAAACCTTAATTTTTCTCTCTTGACAGGCCCTGATGATGTTTAAGGTGCCCTCGACGTTGATGCTGAAATAGAGATCGCGGGGAGGGTTGCTGGTATTGACATGAGGAGGAGAAGCGGTGTGAATGACAGCAGTGATGCCTTCGAGCGCATTGTACACATCGTCAAATTTGCGAAGATCACCAGTGTAGTACTTTACATCGGATTGTGGTTCTCTGGGTTCAGACATATCAAAGACGGCAATAGTAGAACCATCTTGGCGAAGACGGATTTGCTCCTGAACATGTTGACCTAAAAAGCCATTGCCACCAATAATGAGGTATGAAGGCATTTTGCTGTACAAGGAGAAGAAAGGGAAGAACGCGCCTGTAACTTTGTACAATGGTTTTCGGTTACATTCGTTCAAACGGCGCAACATTTGATCTGTATTTGGTCCCGCTTGCAAAGATCTCTACTAGGAGTGCTTCACCATCTCATTTATGGAGGATAACTTTTGCTGGTAGACATTTCAGAGGCTCGAGGAGAGTAAGCTCCCGGGATTGAGCATAACACAAATGCTACACTAAATGGCATTGATCGCAGCCCAACAAATACTGTGTTGTATCTAGAGCCTACTCTCGAATCCAATGTATATGGCAGAGATCTTAACACTGAATTGCTTCACCCATGTCTTTCTATATTCACTATTTCCAGCGCATGATGACAGACACATTGGCCCGCATCAGCATGAATTGTTCCTTCTTTATTGCTCCCCAATGTAACAAATGTACACCTGGATTTATTTATATAATTTACATGTATAGAGTACTTTATGCATGGTCTTCATCGCTCTCGTCGCTCTCTGTTCTAGCCATTTTTGAGGATCTCTCGGTATCGTCTTCATCCATGCTTCTCTTTGCTAATCCCATTTCGTTTCCAGATTTATCCTTGTATGTCCTCAGTCTAAATGTACCGTCCAACTTGGCAATAGCGTCTGATTTTGTCTTTGCGTATTCAATTTTCTAGTGCTGGCTATCAGTCATTGTCTCCCTCTACACTCGCTTGCTCATTTAATGCGGCGGCACTTACGATGGGTCTGCCAAAGAATGTAAATCCATTTAGACTTCTCTTGGCTGTGGTTGCTGAGGCGACATTAGCGTACACAACGAAAGCTTGCTCACGCATCTTTTCTGTCTTTTTAGCTGTGATGTCCAAGATGGGTCCATATGTGGCGAATAATCCGTACAGGGATAACTTGAGTTCTGCAAAAGATGAAGCATCCTATTGATAAGTATACGCGATGCAAATGTTGAGGCGTCTTTCGCTTCATTACCTTCTACTGTGATGCGCCCATTCAAGTTGGTAATGTACAGTGTTTGATTAGGATCAATAGAGGTCATTTTTATGTGATGATACAAGTGTCAACTTGGAGTAAGGAAAGGAATAGTGATGATTGTTGACAAATGTTGCTTTATTGGCTTCATTTGAAAATTTTGATATAAAGTCACTGAAAACTGGGAGCTTCTTTGAGCTGCCCCACTTGATCTGCTGCAGATAATCCGTAGTGTCGATCATTTGAACCATTGCAAGGCGATGCTCTTTGCAGTAGTGAATGAACTTTGGAATAATCCCTTGTTATTTCATTTCTGCGGAGCAAGGCTTTGGAGTACAGTGTATCGAAAGCAATGTTAATAGGGCAACATGACAAAAACGGTTTATTTGAATGGATAAATACATGAATGATTATATAATGAAGGATGAAGGGTGTGTTATATATGAAAGAGCAGTTATATGGCAATTGGGTAGAGTGGGGTGAATATTTAAGAATAACAGATGAGCTGTTCTCTGCTTTAGATCAACAAATCACTGACCTGATGTTCGACAAAAATCTCGGTACCAAGAGATGGTACGCCGTCATAGAGAACATACAGGATACCAGCACCAGGTGGGTAGATGGGAGCAGTAGGAGGAGCAGTAACCTTCAAGGTTTGCAAGTCTTCAGAAACCTCATGCTCCAAGAATACGTAACGTTGAGACATGTGCATTGAGTGAGTACTAAAACCAGAGCGGAGCAAGCCTACACGAATCTTTTGAGCGTCTTCTTTGCTTGTTGCTAAACCATCCAGGTTCAACAAGATGTCAAAGCTTTCGCCATAAGTGACAACACGAGGTACATGAGAGATCAGTGGTCTGGTCTTGGTCTTGAACAAATAAGGAGGAGAGAAGTATTCCACTCTGAATTCTGTTGGATATTCAGCATTGACATCAGGAGGATCCACGTTGTTGGAGCCAGCAATCCAGATACGACCGTCTGGCAAGGTAAGAGCCACAGAGTGATACATACGAGCAATGTCTGTGTTTGCCAAGTTTTGTGTCCAGCGCTTGCCTGCGGGAGCAGTAGGCGTATAGATGAGAGGATCAAATGTAGGATCATGATTGCGTCCATTGTAGCCTGCCCAGCCTCGTTGACAGCCATTAATCCAGAGTAAGTTGCCATCAGCCATAATAAGGCCATCAGGCATAAGACGCTTGTGTACAAAGGTCTCCATCTTCCATTGAGGGTCTTCATCGCCCAGATTGATACGACCACAGGTGTCATCAGCAGCAGCATTGTTCTTCATACGCTCCGAACCACCGCAAATCAAGATTTCAACATTGTAATTGTTCTTGGGGTCTAAAGGAAGCATGATGGCGCCACCAGTCAAGGGATAAGAGCGAGGGTTGCCTGGGATCTTGGGCAATTCCTTGACTATCTTTTGGTTGTTGTAGTCGTAAATGATTGATTTCTTGTTTGCAAAGATGAACAAGTTGCCGTCGGGAAGGGTAAAGACAAAAGGATACAAATTGTAGGGCATAGTTTCATTTAAAAACTTGAAATTGACCTCTCCCTCAGGCCGAGGAGGCCAGAATTCGTAAGAAGGCACATTGATTTCGTTACGATTGACAGCAGCGCCCTTGATAGAGCCACCAATGATGAACAAATCACCCTCAGGCAACTGTTCGACGGTAGGATACCAACGGTTTTCAGTCATTTTGCCAGTCTTGTATTCCTCCCAGAGACAAGAGGAATCTGTGCAAGGAGTAAAGTGACGGATAGATTGCCATCCAGGCTCTGCTTTCCAGTTTCTGCCTCTCTTTTCACCACCACCCGTGCTGATGAAACTGCCGTTGCTCAAGAAACCACCTGCAGAACAGAATGTGTTGGTTTCAAGAGGAAGAGGTCGATAGGTGTTCGTGTCGAGATCATATTGGACTGAAAAGGCACTTTGACCAGAATCAAATTGAGCTTCATTCCACTCGGCTAACGCATAATGTATAGATTAGTCTTCGACTGCTGGGTGGGGGGGGGGAGACTTGAGCTGATGGACATACCTTTATCGATAATCAAGATGGTCTTTTCACTATAAAATAAAACACAATAGGTAAGCATGGACACGACATAGACAGGAGAGATGATTACTTTAATAAAGTGGCATGCATAGCAGCTACACCAGTTCTACCAATAGCTTCCATTTTGCCAGATGTTGCGTAGGGTGAAATCACATTTTGATTATCTGACCAGTGAAAGGGTGAATCTTGAATCTGTGCAGTAACTGCTGTTATGGCAGCTACGATAGATAGAAATACTGTTGATTTCATAGCAAAGTGATGCAATAGCTGAATAAGAAAAGAAGGAAAGAAAGAAGAGATCCTTCAGCTATTTGTACAAGAAAAGAATCGTGGGGCTGAGGGCTTAATTTATTGTTGCAGTTCTCAAAGAAGCTTTTCAGGGAGTTTTAATTAGATGAGGTGATGTTTTTTCATAAGGGTTGTATGCTGGCTACCGATGTGATATAAATAGAGGGATGAGGATGCCATAAATAGAGATCGGTTCTTGGAATAGAAAAGAACCCTGTTGTCGCTTGGCTTAGGTCAATGTGTGTAGCAAAATTGATAATAATGATGCTACAAAACGCTATCCATGAAAGTGGCATGTTGTTCAAGTTCCATATCAATCAGTTGCGTACATACATTGCCATTGTTCATTCATGTAACCCATGGTCTTGGAAGATCTGGCCATCGTCAAACTCAGATTAGGCATTAGAGAATGAACGTGGTTTCATGCTCGAATACTCTCTTCGTATACGGCAAGAGCTTGCGCTGTTAAAGAAAATAGCATGTTCTGAAATGTAAGCTCTGTGCATTGCTAATACTCTTTACAGAATAATACCCACACAACGGAGCAAACGCCTCCAAGCCCTGATCAAATGAAGCAATCATATCCTCACATTGGTTGCACGTTTAATTTGTAAATCGTAGGAAGAACTTCACTTTTGAATGGATACAGTAAATGTGATTGATCCGATCAACTAACATCCGTAACAGGACTCCACCGTCTGCTTCAATGCTTTGCTTGGGTTAAGGAAAGAGTGTGATTTTATAGCTCAGGGTAATTGTTGCCTTTAGTCAAATCTACCATATGTCTTATTGAACAGTGTCAATCCTTATTCGAAAATTGAGACATCTGATACATGGAAATGTCTATAATATACTCCTTATTAAATGAAACCCTTCTATCGACATCAATCACTGCATATGCCTCTAAAAGCCATTATAAACGAGGCCTAAACCCGAGAAATGGACCATCACATGTACCAAATCATGCCAACCTCATGCATTTGAGAGCATCTATTGATGGATGCGGTGATCCATTGATATCGAGCTCAGGAACAAGCAGCCACATTGCTGATACAATCTCAAGATATTAAATGGTTTGCAACTGGTCAGGTCTATGTTCATCAAACGCATCCCTTGTATGCAATTGGTCCAATATTCCAATCCTACCACACTTGCTTCTATTGGATCTTGAGGTCCTTTTTTATATATGGTTTTGTCTAATGTTACCTGATTTTGTGTGACGATACAGGGAATGAACAGACCCTGAAGGCAAGTTTAACAGAAAATCTGGTTTTATTCTCCACTCTCCTTTTTCTTCCTCTTCTTATTAGTGCTTTCATTGCAAGATATATAATGAGAATTATAATTCTAGTATCAGCGCTTTTTATATGTTATGCTGCTGCCTTGAGATCCATGTGGGAGGTGCTATCAATGTCTGAATCCAAGGTAAATCGAGAAATGGACCGATGTGTAACCAGGATGGCAATCGTAGATTCTAATGTAGCAGAGACTAGACATTTTACCACTCAATCAACAACAATACAAAGTTCTTCCCAGTTCGTGCTATTCTACAAAACACCACAGCCACGGTCAATAATCGAACCTTCTTTATTCCATCGGAAAAGGCAGTGCGATCAGCCATCGAGAGCAATATGTATAACAACAAGACAGCATTGGAAGAGTTGCTCTACTCAATCTTACCAGCAGCGCATGGCGTCCATTCGCTCACCTCTTCCACTCAGCGTCAGTACGTCAAGACAATGTCTGCCAACTATTCTACCATTATTTTATCCCCACCTACATCTTCTGTGGACTTTCAAGCGCTTGCAGGCATCACTGTAGCTAACATTACGAATTACACACTCTGTAGCAATGGTAAGCTTTCCTGCGACATGTGGCTCGAGTAATGCAACTCACTATCCTAAATCAAGGCATTGTTTATTATGTGGACCAATTCATCACGGCTCCCTTAAATGTAATCAACACCATCTCGACACTTTCGGAATTAAATCAATTGGAAAACATTATAAAATCACAGAATCTAAGCAACATCTTTACCGCCACATCGAATCAGACGATATTTGCTCCTATTGATGCAGCTTGGAGTACTTTGAATGGCACCAATATCCCTTTTGGCACTATGATACACGACCTCAAGTATCATGTTGTGGACGGCATCTACTATCAGCAAGATTTACTGAATAAGAATTTGACACTCGCCACCACCTACGCATCAGCAACGATACAAACCGAATCTTATGCCGATGGCCGAACAGTAGTCATTGGGGGTGCTTACACGGCGGACAGCATGGATGGTGTTGCAGATGACACTACCCTGACAGTGGCGAACATTGTGCGAAGCGACATCTTGACATCCTCGGGCACAGTAATCCACTTGATTGACAGGATACTACCAGCAGATTCCAATCATACAGTTTCTCTTGTGCGCGGTGGCGATATCGCTTCAAATGTCACCAAAGCAAGGAACGCCAGTGCAGCATCTGTGCAGAAATCCTCATCCGCAAGGGTTAAATTGTTTGATTATGATTTATTTTTAGCTGTATTTACCGTGGTCATGACATGCTACACTATACCACATTGAAAAACATCGACCCACAATTTATTAATTTTATTCATAAACACACGTTAAATTTAGAATCTTATTACTTGTTTCACATATCTTGGTATGTCGCTTTAACGGGGCTGTATAGCGGCTGAGGATATGTTAATGGATCGTAATCCACAACTCTTGATTCACCAAACTGAGAAAAGCTATTGCTAGAGCCTCGTTTTGAAAATGTTGCTGCAATCGCATTTGCTACCACACCCAAGAAGCTGTGTGATCTCCATTTTGTACTGATATAAGAGGCTTGCTTGGAGTTTCTACTAGCGCTTTTTCGCTTGAATATGGATGGTTTTTCTGTAAAAAAGACGCCATTGTCATCTATATGGTTGCTTGTGCGGAAAGAGCTTTGGTTTCTTTGTCGTTTCTGGTAGTTTTGGATCAGCAATGCTGCCAATACAAGGATGCTGAAGCCTCCAAATCCTAGCCCTAACCCCAAGCCCAGATCACGGATTGAGGAATGTATTTGAGCCTTGTGATAATAGGCGCTATTGTCGTCGTCATTCGTTTCATTGGTATGTGTGGTTGTAGAAGCAGGTACTTTTGTGCTACTATTGGTAGTTACTTTGGCAGGAATGGGCTGAATAGTGGAAGGAGAGGGTGTTGTGGAGGCGGATGGTATGAGAGAAGAACTGATGGGGCTTTTGTCTCTCAAGGGGCGATCTTTGGGAGGTGCTAATAGACGGGATGTTGGCCTAGAGAAGAATGAAGCAATGGTCTTGGTTGATACTATTGCATTCATCGAGAGCACTGACGTGGGTGTTTCTCTAATAAAGTTATTATCAGTCGTACTAGGTATTTGATTTGATTCTGTCGCAAGCAATTCATATGATGTTTCGGTAGAAGAAGTGCTTGAGCTATCTATTGTTGTAGTAGCTGTAGCCTTTACGCTGGTTTGTGGCATTGTCCGAGATGTGGAGACAAAGATTTGACTGCCATCTACCAGTGTTGTTGCTGTAGTTGTATAGCTAGTAGCTTCTTGCATTGCCAGCGGTTCACTGGTATTGTGTCTATGTTTTTTATGATGATGTTTATGCTTATGATGGTGATGATGATGCTTCTTTTTCTTTGATTTAGTGACAGGTGGTGTGGGTGATACAGTAGTTTGTGATACACCAACAGTTGGTATGGTAGCTTTGGAATTGCGCGGTAGTAAGAAAAGATCTGTATAATTTGAGTGATGTTCATCTAACCGAGGAAAAGATATAAGAGATTAAACTTACAGTAAATTGGTTCATATATACCTGAAATTATTTGACAATGAACCATGCAAATGATGAGAGTCTGTAATGATATTAAAACTAGATATTTCATGATGATTTAATGCTCAGGAAAAGAGGGAAAAATGATTTATAAACCTTCTTTTGATTCAATGATTGACATGAACACGTTTTCTTCAAACATACATCATTCAATCCACTATTTATTTAATAAACAATGCAAAACGTTCAACATGTCAAATTGCCTTTTAGGGACGGTTTGACATTTAATAGCGTTGTCTTCTCTTTTCGTCGCCATGGGAACGGTGCAATCTAGTGCTTGTCTTTTTGGTGTGCGCTTTCTTTGTGGCCTTCCACCAAGGGCCCTTAGTATAGGTTTTGGTCTTGGTAGTATGGGTCTTTTTGGCCTTGGTAATATGGGTCTTTTTGGCCTTGGTAGTATGGGTCTTTTTGGCCTTGGTAGTATGGGTCTTTTTGGTTTTGGTAGTCTTGGACTTCTTTGTGCTGGTAGTTTTGGGCTTGGTAGTCTTTGATTTTGTGGTCTTGGGTTTGGTGGTCTTTGGCTTGCTGATAGACTTTGTGGTGGTCTTGGTAGTGGCTTTGGTAGTAGTTTTCTTGGTTGTGGTAGTTGCAGGAGAAGATCCGCCACTGATGCCTTGATTAGTGTTGACCTTTCCAGGGGTATAAATGCCTTCACAGTATGAGCTTGCAACTGTAGTCCAGCTAGCAGGAGAAGCATCATAACGTTGGCCAAAAAGATATTCAAAGGAGGGGATACTCAACTGTAGCATCAAATTAGTTATTTAGATGCACCAAATGTACAATGATTAGCAACTTACATCTAAACCACTGCCACCAAGATCAACAGCCAAAACGTAAATAAACTTGGAGGGATTAGCAGAATTGACAACCTTGAGACAGAGATTGCAAGTGGAACCTGTATTCATATTGGCAACAGCAGTGATTCTAGCCAAATTCAATTGGTTGTAGGGCATACCACAAGCAGGAGGGTTGTTTGCAAGAGCACTTGTAGCTACATTAAACATCAATTAACGTTTCGAACAATAATGTTCAGTTAATGAACTACTTACGAAGACCATAATAGTCTTGAGGAGTAATACGAGCAGAGCCAGAGAGATCAGCAGCATTGACCATCGAGACAATCGAAGTAATCGAGGCAACCAAAGTAGTAAACAAAGCAGGCTTGAACATCATTCTCACAATTACTTGAAGGAGAGGAAAGGATATGGAAGGAGAGGTAGTTTTGAGGATGTCAATAAAAACTTGACAAGACAAAACACAGTTCCTTATATACTTGAGCTTTTATTGTGTGTATCCTACTTGATGTAAAGATGTAGGGATCAACAAATCAATCAAATTAATTACCATTATATTTCTGTTGTACACGAATATCGAACTTCCTTTACACAGATCTTTTTGTCCTTTACAGAAAATGTCGTACCTGATATAAGATGTCTAAAGTGCCTGGTGAAGTTGGTTTAAATGATGAATAAAAAAAGGGGTTTCTAGTACAAGACATGATGTTAAGATTAATACCTCGGGCCATATCATACATTTAAAACAACAGACACTTTGTGATAGATCTCAAGCATCAAAAGGCATTGAATCATTGCACCTTTCGTCAACGGTTTGAAAACCAGATACGTTCATGTAGTACATGGAATATTGCAACCCAAAGTCAGGGCAACTGCTTGAGTCGAGTAAGTGCGATTGTAAAATCAATATTTCTCATACAACATGTATTTAAACCGATAATTACAAGATCCAACTCCTTGCTTGTTCTTATCATAGCAGCTATCTTTTATGTAGCTTGTATAGTCCAATATAGCAATTAGTAAATATATACAGTCTGTAACCAACAGATGTACATGCTATACTATCACTCTCAGAAATTATATTGCAATTAATGGTATCTTATTGTTTTGAGGAGTGCCTGGAAGGCTCTGCAAAATAAAGAACGTTGCCAATCTTTCAATAAATCAAACGAGATGTCATACAACAGAGTATGTCTGTAACTGAATGCTGTTGTGTATTTGATATAGAAAAATTGGGGGGAATACAGTATTGTTTTTTTTTTTTCTTTTTTTAGAAACCACAACAAGATGAGGATTTAGCAGTTGAAGGCTCCTCATCCATTGGTAAATAAGTTGTTGGTTTTCTTTTTACAGAAGGAAGGTACTGTTTACGTTCTACTAAAACACGAGCTATATGGATAAAAATGTCCTCAATTCGGCCTAATAGCGAAGAGACAACAATAGGATTAAACATCAGATCCATTCATGCAAATTCCTATTTTTTTTTTCTTTACCATCATCTTCTTTTGCTGATACTTCATATAACAATGTCTCTGGTCCCAACACACGCGTGATATATTTCTGAGCATCGTCATATGATACCTCCCTCCGAGTCTGAGCTAAATCCAACTTGTTTGCTGCTACCACAATGACCAGATCCTCAGTCATATTTCGCTTGAGTTCTGATCGTGGATGAGAGTTAGTACAAATGAAATGTCCCTTATTGCTCTAAAGACTTGCCTTCTATCCATGATGACAGCTCCTCAAAGCTTTCTTGTGATGTAATATCATACACTAATAAAGCTGCCTGTGCACCTCTATAATACATGGGAGCCATTGCCCGAAACCTCTCTATACTCGAGGATCTTTTTCAATTATCTCCTTGCATGTTCACATCATGATGGCCATCCCAGAATAATCATTACCTTGACCTGCCGTGTCCCAGATTTGAAGTCTTACTTTACAGTTATCCACCGTTCTATACACATCTGTATGTCAATGACGCAATTCTCCTTTTTTTATGTGCTCTGCTTTGAGTTTACTCACTGTTTTTTGGTCATGAAAGAAGCGCCAATGGTCGATGTGGAATTGGGTGAAAAGGTTTTATCAATATAACGTACAACAAGTGATGTTTTACCGACACCTAAGAACAGGGTGTACAAAGAGATGTTACCACCTAAACCTTTCATCTCTCTCTCTCTCTCTCTCTCTCTGTCTCTTTCAATAGTTACCTTGACTACCCAAAATCACTACTTTTGCTTCCAAAGTTGAAGCCGAAGAACCATACATGATGTGATTATTTATTTGCAATGGATGTGTTGTGTATTTATGTATATATAAGAAGTGATGAAAGAGAAGGAGAAGAAGAAAAAAAAAAAAAAAAGAGAGAAAGAAAAGAAAAACAGGAAAAAAGGATAAATAAAGAAAGGGGAGCAACGGGCGAGGACGACCACGACGACAAGGACTAATGCTAGGTGAAAAAGAAAAGTTAAAAAAAAAAAAAAAAAAAAAAAAAAAAAAAAAAAAGTATAAATGTGTACAACATCCTCGCTTGTGTTTGTTTCCTATTCCGCAATAGTAACAGATGCCAATGTGGTCCTCATCTTGTTTCTTCGAGAAATCGTATTTTGCCATGCTTCTTCATTTGTTCGTAAACCAGCCTTTAATTCCCTTAGCACTTGCTCGAATCCTTCCTCTGTAGGTCGCGTGAATGACTCCAAAACAGGAGACGGTGTCGAGAAAGCTGCTGCAATACCAGAAGATGTAATTTCCTGCTGCTGCTCTTGTTGTTGTCGTTTCTATAGTACAACATGTTAAAAGGGTCCGTTTGAATGTAAACATTTAAATTTACCTTGAGTTGCATCTCTTGTTGACGTTGTCTTTTCAATGCTCTTTCTCTGGCTTCATGGATCTCGATCTGGGCCCTTTCAAACGAATTGGAAAATGTAGAGATGATGTCGAAAAACTCTTCTGATTTGATAGTATTGGGATCTTCACCGTAGTACATAATCAAGTCTCTGAGCTTTTCCTCGATATCTCGAGTCATGGCCTTGAGATCATTGACTACAGGCTCTGCCTCTAGCATAAACTCTTCCATGGCTTCAGCAAATCGATCAATCTGCAGTTCAGAGGTCTTGCGGCGTGCGTTCATGCTTAGCTCTTCTTTGATCTGGTTGAGATTCCCGTTGAGCGAGTTGACCGCAGCAAACAAGGCGGGTGCAGACACTAAAAACAAGAGCATGACTATCTGTGTACTAGCAGCATAAAATAGGTACTTACGCTTGGCAGCAGCTTGCAAATGAGATATATCTTGTCTGAAATTCACCACATCGTCGTCTGATTTTGATAAAAAGTAGACCAAATAGTGCAACAATGTAGGCACATTACTGACGCCTTCTCCCTCCGCTCGTGTGTCTCTCATTTTCAACAGCGCATCCAAGTGAAAGCCACGCGCATTGCCGCGAATCGTTTGTCCGTTCAGGTAGTTGCCAATCGCCAGCACAGTCTTGAGCACATGCTTGAACTTGGTGCTAGACTTGAGTTCTGTAATAGCCATTTGAATGATATCGAGCTCTGGTAGAATCTCCTCCAACTCGTCCTTGAACCGACGACGGAAAATCATGCAACTGACACGGTCCGCTAAGCGAGGGATGTACATGATGGATCGAAAGTACCTTTCAGCATTGCCTAGCATGTCAATATCGCCTTGGTACTCTTTTACAATTTCAATCTCTTCTTTGGTGGGTATGTATTGTCGAATTGCCATCAAATTATTAGTGCTGAGGATGTTGTCGTCAATGTTCCAGATGGCATCACGAATATCAGGGTAAGGCAGCTTGATTTTAGCCAGCATGATGGCAATGTTGTTGGCTCGGTTGAATTCCAATAAGGTGATCAAGTTTTGTTTGCGGATGTCAAGAGCTGTTGTACAGCTTGTGGTGGCGGAGGTCGTCGTGGTAGCTTCTTTGTGTGCCTTTTTGAATAAACGCTCCAATTCGACTGTGTCAAGTTGAATGGTTGCCTGTTCAGCGCCAAATTCTTCTTCATCACTGCTGCTATCGCTACTACTGCTGCTACTGGCGCTGCTGGTCTCAAAACTACCGGTATCCTGAAGCAACGAAACAGGCGATTTGACGATTTCGTTCCACACTGTGTTCTCAATCTTATCCATGGGCAACTTGGACCAAAAGAACTGCTTCATGACAATAGGATGAGGTGTTGGATCCTCCGTGTTGCTCGTGGTTGCTCTGAAACTGTGGTTTCCGGGCGGCGGACTGGTGGGAGACGTAGGCAACGACACTAAGGCATTGGATGTGGGCGACGTTGGACCGTTAGCCAGTGTTGATGTTGCATTTTCGTGCAGTGATTTCAAATTGGGGAAGCACAGATTCAATGCCAATGGATGCAGATATCTTGAATTACGGTGCGATGAGTTGCGACGTACCAGATTGCGTCTCTTGACGATGGGATTCAATATATCTTGCTGTTGTGGGCTGGCAGGCATTGGAGGAGGAGGAGGTGGTGGTGGTGGTGGTGGCGGAGGTGGCGGTGGCGCCATTGTACCTGAATTGGGCACCTCTGGTACTAGAGCAGCAGTAGACGGCGATACAAGCATCTCTTGTTGGTGCTTTTGCATTATTCCCTGCTTCTCAGCTTCCATCGTGGCAATGCGATCATCTCTCTCTTTGATATCAGCCAATGCTTTGGACATCTTCATCAGTAGCTCGTTCTTTTCTCTGCGAATTCTGGCAGTAGCGTCCTGACTCTTGATAAAGTTCTCTTTCAGCTCTTCTACCATGTTTCTGAGACCCTCTACGTCCTCGCTGTTGTTTTTGGCACTGGTGGATGACGGCGATAATGAATCCATGGATGCACGATGACCGCTTTCCTGGTCGTCTTGGTCATTGGACAGTTTGCCTACAATAGGCTGAATCGATACGACAAACTGCTGAAGTGCAGATTGAAAATCATCTAAATTTTGATTATAGCGTTAAGCAGGAGGGATCATATGAATTCAACAGAGTGTACTTACTGTTGGTACGAATGGGCTTGAGCTGTTTTGCAAAGATATGAATCAGGCTCCAAATATCCTGTACAAATCGCCTGTGGGTCCCCAGTTGGTCTGTGCCCACGGTAATGAGTTCACTAATACTGTCTACCACCAAGTAGTAGATTTCTGGATCACTGTAGAACACCTTTAATGCAGATGCAACCATGTCATCAGGCTGACTGTATACATACGCAGATTGTTAGTTTATACAATGACTTGTCTATACTAGCATACACAACTTACAGCTGCAAGATACTCTGTCGCTTGGTACTCTCCAATGCCCTCAGCTTGTCCGTGTCCATCTTTTTTCGCAGAAAGTACACGGCGATTTGTTTCTGTAGCGAGTCTGGCAAGATCTCCTTCTTTTGCTCGAGTCGCTTCAATAGTTCTTCGAAGCCTCTTCTCTCCAGCTCACTACGCAGCCCGCTTCGTTTTTCAATGGTATCAGGTGTCTGTACAATGTTGTTGAACAGACTCAATGCGGCTGTCAAGCAATCAAATACCAGTAGTTCCTGCTGCTCTTCGATCAATGTGGATAATTGACTCACAGTCGTTTTCTTCTCATGATAGGTGATGCCGCCAAGCTCATGCAGGCTCTGCACTAACCGTTCAAACCGATATTGTTCGCCTTTGACTTCGGAAATAATCGACACAACTGTGTCATAACCAGGAGCACTCACCAGACATAATGCAGACAGAATCTCAAATATCAGTGTGCACATTTTATAGGCCATGGTAGCCGCATTGCTTCCATTGTTATTGTTGCTGTTTTGCGAGTTGTCTTTGGTGTGGTTGGAGGCAGTGGAACGAGAAGGTGATGGACTAATGTTGTTGGAACTGCTGTTGGTAGAGAAAGAAGGCAGCAATTGAGATCCAATAGATGTGATGGAGGGCGACTTCTTGAACACAAGAGATGAGCTGGAGGGTGTAGGCTGAACGACAGATATAAATGCCAGACATGCAAACAAGGCAATAATCAAATGATGAAGTACCACTGGACGCATGAGTACTTGTTGTAAGCCAGGCTAATAAGAATGTATCATACACAGAATGAGAAAGAAAAGGTAAAAAAAAGTTAGTCCATGTTCTCTGTTTGGTATAAATATATATATGTATATATACAATAAGCTGCAAAACATTGCTGCTGCTCCCATGTCATCTATGGCGAGCAAGAAAGGAAAAAGGGGTTCTCTGAACTAGAGAAGGGAGTGTGTAGAGAGAGAGAGAGAGAGAGAGAGAGAGAGAGAGAGAGAGAGAGAGATAAAGCTCCTTGAAAAAAAAAATCACTTTACCTTTGTATTCAATAAAACCTTGATGCATTTAATACATTCAAACAGGCACTGCCCCTCAGCATCTGTTAATTTAACCAAGTTGCTCTTTTTCCTAGTCAAGCGTGTTAGTATGTGTGGATAGACAAAACTGTACTTTAGATGTGGTCATGTTTACTTTTGCTTTTTGCTCGTCAATTTATCTAGTACGTTTTCCAGTGCAATCAGACCGCCATGACGTCTTGACAAGAATTCGTTGATCCATGATACATTGCCAGTAGCCAATGTAATACGAAGCGAAGTCAGATGCTTTGTCAAGACTTCGGTAGTAGTATTTCTATAAATGAAGCATCAATGAAGGAGGCTCTCATAGTAGGCACTTGAAAATTCATAGTTACCTGCTTTTAATACGCTCCACGTAGTAGTAGGGACTATTGCGATCTCGACCTCGTTTAATTGTGTCGTCCAATGCAGGCGAAGAGCAAGATACCAATGAAGCGAGATGGCTGCCATCTTTTCGACTGAGACTTTGATATGCATAACTGTTGCTCAGCAAAGAGCTAGAGGCAGTTGTCTCTGCGACATGAACTGAGGAGGTCGTTTCAAAGGGAGTGGTTGTGGTAGTACTTGCTGTAGGGAACAGATTACTGACCGACGGATGATGATTGATATGGTTGGATCGAGTTGTGCCTGTATTCATGTTGTAATGACGAGGCAATGCTTTGTTATCCAGCAGTAACCAGGCTGCTGATTCATCGCTGGTCGTGTCTTCCAGCTTGTTTGCTAGTGCATCGAATTCTAAAATCATGGAGCCCACTTTGGATCGATTGTTACGCATGGTAGATGTCAGATTTTTGCGAGCGTATTTGTATGTTGCTGCTCTTTTATCCACGATAGCGCCATTTGTAGTAGTAGTAGTAGTAGTAGTAGTAGCTGTTGTAGGCGACGTTGGTGGTGAGGATATTGTTACTGATTTAGCAGTTGTATTGAGATCGTTTCCAGATGATGTGGTTGTTGCCGATATAGGACTTTTGGCAATAGGAGTAGTGCTGATAGAGATAGCGTCAGGCTGTTTGTAATGTACCACTGCCTCCTTTTTGTTATTATGATTACTTTGATTATTCTTTTTCTGACCACTTTGATGATATCGTTGTTGTTGCTGTTGAGATGGAAAATGAGAAGACGTAGGGGTAGGTGTCGGCGAAGGTGGTGTAGCAGTAACAGCTTCTTCATAAACAGGCAAAGTACTCAAGTTTTCAACGCTATTATTGGCAATTAAGCTAGCTGCTAAGGATCGATGACTAGCCGAGTTTCCCATCAATAATCGGCCTGAGGTTTCGCTTCTTCTCATGGATCCTGCTGTCTTGGTACGTAGCCCTTTGTGAGGAAAGATGGATGTGCTGGAATTAGAGGTGGGCATACTTTTACGAAGCGAGCTGTCTACAGCTCTGTTTTCTTTGATGTGCTGATTTTGTTGTAGCAAGTAGAGCTTTCTTTCTCTAGGCAGTTGACGTAGTTTCTCTCGATGAGCGTCCTTCATATTGAGTTCGTCCTATGCAAAAGTGCTTGTTAGGTCGGCACTGTTGTTTTGGGTGCTAGCTATCGTACTTACAAGAAGTGTCTCAAATGTGCTTGTCAGTTCACTGGCATCCATACTAGGAGATTCTCTGCTTTGACTTCCATTGCCATTGCTAATGCTACAGTTGGATATGGTCAGAGTGGAAGAAGAGGATTTTATTGATACAGCAGAGGCTGACAGAGGAGGCGTGTTAGCTGTCAAATTGCTCGATGATGAGTTGGCTGAATGGATAGAAGATGTTGGGCTTGTGCTGTCTTCCTCGGTGGCATGGCCTCCCAGCCAGGTAGGTAATAAGTTTTTACCAAACCTGGAGGACGCACTCATGCGTAGATTGGGCCTGTCGTGAGCACTCGTCGTGGTGGTGGTAATAGTGGGTGGGGATGGAGAAGAAGAAAAATTATGGATATTGGAAAGCTTTGTATTTAACCGCATTGGATTTGAAGTCTTGTTGGTGTTCCTTTTTTTCTTGTTGTTATTAGAACCAGGTGAAATTGGTATAGTAGGCTTATATTCGCTGCTTTTGTAGTGCTGTTGATGATGTTCTGATTTGGAAGAAAAAGAAGAAGAAGGTAAAATCATGCTCGGATTGGCTTGTGGTACCGGTAATTCATGCGTAGGGTTGAAAGTAGTACTAGGAGAGGAATGGGATTTTCTTACTTGTTGAACTACTTTGGATGCTTTTGTAGAAAAGAGTGTGGGTTTGGGTGAGGATGCCTTTGTGTTTAATTCATGATGTATGCCCATGACTTGTGTTGATTCAATGCGCTATAAGGGATGTAAAAGACAGACGCAGGAAAGGTGAGTATAGAAAGATGTGTTCAGCAGACCACACTGCTTTTATAGTTGAAATCAGTAACGAAGGGAAAGGGAAAAGGAACAATGTATAAAGTAAGAAAGAGAAAGAGAGAAACGAGAGAAAGAAGCGAATGAACCCCACATTTTTTATATATTCTTTATTGTTGTTTGTATCGTATACCATCTTTTTCAATTTTAAGCAGTTTTAGCTTGGAGAAATCTATTTGTAGTAAGCATGACAGGTTTTGCACATTGGCATCAAGTCGATCAGATTGGGATTATACTTTTTACTTTATTGACGGGACAAACTGTACATCTATAAGGAGAGACACATTCAGGGGGATAAATCGAAAAAGATGCTCTCCAGCAGGAGGGAGATTTTTACTCATAGTATCTGTATTTCACTATTCAGAAACTCCTTTTCTCTGTGTAGTATCAATGCTCCTGTTTCTTCTTGTCTCATTCTCTCCTTCTTCTTGACCGTTCAAGCAAAAGATAAAGGAGAGAGATGATGAACGATGATCAATCTCTCAATGTAGTTGAATACATTTCTAGGTCGCTGCAACTGCAGAAATGGACAGCTTATAGTATAATCATGTTGGATATGCCGAAATTGGAATTGCAATGAAACCAGAGACAGTTACCAGCTAAATCTGACTTGCTTAAATCCGATGCTAAATCGGCTATCTAGATCATGGCACTATTAATCATTTACAAATGCGCTACTGAAGCCTATTTTTGATCTGGATTAGCACTTGGCTACGTAGTAATATAAAAGAGCATCATCTAAAATATATATACTGGAAAATTGTGAAAAAAAAAAAACGTAGACAAACAAATCATAACCGTTCAAAATTTTAAAGAATTGTGTGCCGTACAAGGTGAATAAACCCACCGGCAAAGGTGCAAAGCCAGAGTATTCAAGCAGCAGATTCAGGTATTCATTTCCATTGTTAATAAGCTTACCAGCAACATAGCGCATCAAAATCTGCATGAATTAGCCTTACCAAAACCAATATGCCTCCTACTCGAATTAGAAGCTGCACAGGCTGCAGAGCTGCCCTTCTCGTAAACTGCAGCTACCAAAGATGTGATTTTTGCCGTGTAAATAAACTCTATAAAGCAATACATAACCAAATTTGACAGCTTTCGAGCCTTCATATCTTGACATGTTGGCTTTTATGAGCCACCGGAATAACACCAAACAATTGTACTCGAGTAGTAGTAACTTCCTGACACCTTTGCTCAACTTTTTGAGCCAAAAAAAACATGGCCAAAAATCGACCAAAAAGCATGAGGTACCCCTCATAGTTTTCATTGAAAATCAACCGATCATATTTTTCACCTTGAAAATGAAGACTTTTGCTATGGTATATATCAAATCAAAATGTTTCTATCGATCCAAAGCAACTTCTGAAACCACTTTTATGAGGTTTTCATATGCAAAATATGGCTATTTTGGCTAAAAATCTCATTTCGAACTTTATTAAATTGCTCAATAAGTTCATTCAAAGTATTTACTACAATTACCACCATTGGGAGCGCCTTGAAAAGTACTTCAAGAATGTACTAGGAAGCGTAGGGTGATCATCACAGTTTATATAGTCGAATATCGCAAAAAAAATTAAAGAAGTCGAAAAAAGACAATATCTGTCCAATCTCAAACAGAAAAAAAATAAGCTGAGTTTGAATCTATCTTGGCGGCGGTGCTGCTGCTGCTGGCAGACCCAAATGCCTTGCTAATGATGACAATAATGATTGCGATGCTGATTGAATGGGGATCATGGAATTGAAAGGGCAATTGCTTAATCCCAATATCTTCTTGGGATTTCCCTTATAGACGTGCCTTTTGCAATGGCAATATCTCAAAAAAGTCGCTGTATATCTTGCACAAGTCCTGTATTTACTTATGGCCAGCTTTATGTCGCCATCTTGTTAAGAGCATCAGCAACAGCGAATGATATGACAATTCTATGATCAGAAAATGGCGATCGTGATGTACAAATGCTGCATAAAATCTGAATTTTCTTTCATATTGTCCCAATAATAGGCTTTGTCTGATATCAATGTAAGCAAAAAAAGATGCTGAGGGAAATACCTCCTCTCCTCCTCCTGGCTCTGATATAACCTTTCGTTTACTAGCTAATAATTGGTTGTTTAAAGTCCACTTGATACACCAAAATGTTGTAATATCTGATTTAAAATGTCTTTGGTGAGAGCCCACAGGGCGACGCCGACATCGAGCGTAGCGAGATAGATCAGCTAGTATTAAGTATATCAGACTCTGCAGTGCCGACTGTTAAGCGTTACCCATCTCATTTACAAAAGCAGCAAGAGAATTCATGCAAAAATTCTTGGTCTACATTCAAGCAGAGTATAAACGCTCTTGTACGCCGATTGATATTCTCATAGCTGTTCAATTTCACAATACTGTATGGGGAATTTTACTTGATCAGGCCATCTTCATGCTAAACTATACATTTGAAGGTTTTTGAATGCTCGAAATCCCCTGAATCTTGCTTCCAGATCAAGATCACAACGCTGCGCCCAGACGTTGGGGTCAAAGCATCATTCTGTCTTCACTGTCAAGATAATACCACGCTCTATATAATTATACCAAATGACATTGAGCTCTGGCTATTATACATCTTGATGTTTCTTTTTTAAAGGCTGCTTTATACAACTGACTGGCATTTCCTGTCTTCATTCTCAAGTTCCATCCAATCTACCGCAAAATCCATACTCTATTTCATTTATTCATCGCACTGTTTGAAAGTCTGTGCCGTTTTGATGGGGGAGGGCACTACGCTAGCATCACTATCACTCGAGTTTTTCCACTGGATAACCTTTCTGAATCCACTGCAAGATGCCACCCTCTACATTATACACATTCTTGAAACCGAGTTTAGAAACAGCATACTGAGCTGCAAGCAAGCTTCTTCTTCCTGATCTACAGGATATAACAAGCTATCATACAGTGAATGTGAGTCTTCTAGTATTAGGCTAATCAAGCAACACCATTTACCTGTTCATCTTTATCAATGATCGAAAACTTTTTTTCAAAGAGTTCAGGGTTGGTGTTTGTCAAGAAGTAGGGTATATTGGCATCATAGCCTTTGATAGTTCCTTGCTCCTCCAATTCACTTGCTTCACGAACGTCAATAAAGGAAGCGCCGAGTGGTTTATTGTATAACCAAGATGCAAGCTTGTCTACAGTGTATGAATGGACATCAATTGTCATTTTGTTGCTAAAGAATAGAGAAGTAGCAAGGGAATAGATCAAAAGGCCGAATAAGAAATACTTTAGCACCATGTTGCTGATGATGATGAACAAAACACTAGATGAAATGTCGCCATTGTCAAATAAACGAATTAGAAGATCTGGTGGCTGGTTTGATTTGTTCAATAGGCGACATACAGTATTAGTGTGTACAAATGTACCTGATTTCTGTCTTTTCGCAACCAAATGTTCCGACTTATAAGCTGTTGAAGACAACAGCATTGGCGGATCATTCACTGCGACAGGCCGTTTCAGATATATTTTTGAACTGAGCGCATGTATCAACACGCATCCTAATACTGCTTGTGCTGAGTGTTGCCATCTAAATGCCTCATCACCCATATTAACATAATTAATGCGATTAATTAGTAAACCCAAGCGATTCAAATGTAACTGTCGCATTCCATCACAATATACATGGCATCCAATGTCTTTGCGATGCACGCTTATACATGAAACTCTTAGTACGTCTTTCATAAGTGTGAGCCACATGTGCTTTATACTAATGGGATGTCTACATGCTGATAGTATAAAACCTTCAAATTGGGATGTTTCAGTTCGCCGAGGCACCGAGAATCAATAAGATTGTCAAAACATCATTGGTGTGACCTTAAAAGCGTTTCATTATGATTGCAACCAACAACCATCTTTGCCCCTCTCTCTTTTTCTCTCTCTTTCCCCTTTTTATTTTTTCGCCCTAGTTGTTTATAAACTCTTTCTTACACAACAGCATGACAGCAAGATCAACAGACACAGATTTCTCATATCGTCTCACGGAAAGCATTCTATCCAAAACCACGCCAAACAGCACGCTGTCATCGAAGCAGGGATCAGACACACCCTATCCTTCACAAAATCAACCAACGCCTCGATTAGTGACAACGCTACCCTCCAATTTCATTGTCATTCAACCAAAAGACTCGGACTCATCATTCAATAACTACATTGGGAACCATTTCAAAGAAGATGCCCCTGTACTGCTGGATCGATTGTCAGTCGCATCGCCTATTCCACCTGCTACACCCAGCAACCCAACCCTAAAGAAATCAGAATCTACATTTTGGGCATATCTGTCAGACGATCTGGACGGGAGACCTCCTATGACATCCTCAGATATATCTGTAAAACAGCACAACCATCATGGTAGCGATGCAAAGGACATGGAGCATCAAAACACGTGGTACGAGTACGATTCAATCTTTGCTGGTCAAACATCGTCTTATACAACGGCTACACACTTCTTTTCAGCTGGCGCTTTTCTATTCTTGTTTGGATTTATATGCCCTCCTTTATGGTGGATAGGTTCATTCTGTCCAACACGTGTTAGTGATGAGTATCAACATAAGCACGATGGCGACATCAAAATGATCAAAAGATGGAGAACACTGAACAGATTCTTTTCATTGGGGTTCAGTACCTTATTGATCATCGCCATCATCGTCTTGGCTGTGCTTTACTCGAAACTATAAAGCAATCCTTCATTTGCATTTGTAAATATACCCCAATCCCATCTATGCACTATTTTACACACATTTTACATTTAATAAAGTATGCTGGTAGTTAGAGACTATACAGTAGTTGATTCATTTGATTGAAAGAGTAAGAGGATTAGGAATATTAAGACATTAAAGAGTAAAAAGTAGTAGGGCCTGTGATTTCATTATTCTTGTGCATAGATGATATTGTTGATGTTGCCACCTATACACCACAAACAAAACCCAGAATAAGCATTTCAATTAAACATTTAATTAGCAACTAATTTAACTCACCTTCATCTTTGACATTGTCCGTATTCAAGTCATAGCACCATTTGCCATCGACAATGAATTTATACTCAATATCCACGGAGCGATCCAAATTATCGACAATTGCTTCAAACACGCCATTGACAGGTGTCATTTCAATGGATCCTACAACATGTCGATAATTTAGACCAATGGACCCGAGAAAATGCTTCTGTTTCACAATATCACAACACACTAGGCTACACCTACCCTCTCCAACAAGTGTGCCTCTACCCCTTATTTTTTTTTTTCTTCACCCCATCCATACAATTAGCTTACCTTTCCAATGATCAAAATCACCAGTCAAGACTACATGACTTCCATCATATGGCCATACAAACTACAGTGATTCAAATTGGAAAAAAAAAAAAAAAAAAATGGAAACATCTTTAGCATCAAACATTACCAATCAAAAAGATTATTCCATTTACCGTTCTGGAACTGGCGTTGTTGCTCATCTTATTGTTGTTGTTGTTGTTCTTGTTGTCATGATTGTTCATAATGACAGGCTTCTCATTAATAACCTTGTCATCGGATAAGGTCCATACAGGAACATCAATTGGCTCTTTGATCTTGAGCTGAATTAGTCCTTTTCGATAGTATGAAGGATCCTTGGGTTGAGGCTCAGTAAAAAAGCCTCGGTTGTTACGCTCCACATTAGAGATGGGAATATATGCGAAATCCATCATTTTGTTCACACCAAAAATCGAGTATTTATAGGACTTTTCGGGTGTGCGATGGTACAATTCGTTTCCTTCTTGGCTATGAAGTTGAGTTGGCATGTTGATTTAAAGAAAAAAAGAAAGAGTGAGAAGAAAGAGTGAAACGAAATCAAAAAATTAAGGTTGATGTTGAAAAAGCCTTTCCCCGTTTCAATTGTCTGGTCCGGATTTAGTCCTTAGCTTTCTATTGTGAATGTGGTAAAAGAAGGCACCATTGTACATCTTGAGAAAAAGTTTTTACAATCAGCTGGATTGAAAGGTGATCAAGTTGCAACATTTTCTCAAGAAGAAATGTAACCATAACAAATTTTGACGATAGATGAGGCAGAAAGGAGAAAGGGTGGCTCGAGAACATTTTGTGTAATTGTTTCCATCAAGAGATTCCGCCGAGTTGTGCATATTGCACATTAGGAAATGACTTCAGGAACAAGGTGCATTTAGAGTTTGTTTAGGCTAATATGGCAACATTCCATAGTTGAGTGATCTCCTTGCTACATCCATATGTTCTGCAAAACGCAGTTGAAGAGATACTACCCTTGTTATGATGAGGACACTGGCGGTTGAATAATGAATAAAGTAGCGGTAGTTTGTGAAGGTTCTGCCTTTAATATTTGCTTTGTGCTATTACGACGCAAATAACCAGCACAGATCGAAGGACAATGTTTGTTTTGTTGCTGTTTTCATAAACAACAGTAGCATTGACCGCGTATACATGATACTTTTTGCGGTGCAAGCTTGATCCTGAATAAAGAACCTGTTTTTAATGTATCTCTTGAAGTATTTGAAATTTTACGTCCAGTGCTTCCAATATCAAGTGAGAACTATTTATTACATTTATAACTGCTATTTTACAATACTCTATGTCCATATCAATGAGAACAGTTCATAGACAGGTACAAAGCATAGTAGCATGACCTCTAACTGCTCACACCTACAACGCAGTGTAAACTGGATGCATTTGAGCCGCGTTTTCTCGTGTTTGAAGCCGTTTTACTCTGTTAGAATAGCACCAAACAATTGCTCTCAGTTAGCAGTTGCTTCCTGATATCGTTCCTCAACTTTTTTAAAATCTGAAAATAATGTCTAAAAATCGACCAAAAAGCATGAGGGATACCTCATGGTTTTCATCGAAAATCAAACGATCGCGTTTTCCACCTTGAAATGAAGACTTTTCCTATGGTATATATTGAATCAAAATATTCCTCTCGGTCTAAGACAACTCCTGAAACTTCATATGCGATAGTTTGATATGTAAAATCTCGACATTTTGGCCTAAAACCTCATTTCATATTTTTAAAGATTGCTCAATAAGCTCTTTTATAACGCCTCCTATAAATAGCACCATCAGATGCGCCTTGAAAAGTACTCTTAAAAAGCTCAAGGAAGCAAGGTATATTTCGCACATTGCATATAGTCGAAAATGGCGAAATAGATGAATCAAGTCGATTCTGTTCCAAATCTGTCCAATCTTGAAAGAATGAAAAATCGAGGTTTTAATGTTTTTTTGGTGGTAGTGGTTGGCCAAATGCTCCTCTGATGAATACAATCTATGTTTTCATCCCAATGGCAAGAGAATTGCAAATTAAAAAGTACCAAATCCTAGTATGGCTACTTAGATTTAGGCCCGATGTATACATATGTGCAACTAACATATCGATTTATTGCGTACTGCTCACTGTAAATGTGTTGATGCAACGTGGGTAAGCTTGAGTAGAACGTATCCATGTTGTAAAATTCAATAGCATGATATAATTACTTGTTTATTTGAACACTAATGCATGTTTTGAAATACTATGTAAGAAAAGGAGAAATCTCGCAGAGATATACAGCAGCGGACAGCCTTGGTGATCACATTTTAATGCAATATAACTATTTTGCGTGTTTTGAAACATCACCAAACTTGATATTTCCCTTTTTTCCTTTAATGTGTAATTCTGTAATTCGTTAAAATCGAGCGATTATCGAGCGATTATCGAGCTCCAAATGGGATACTTACTATGAGCGCCTCCGTCTTCCTCTCTTACAGCCTCAACGACATTCTTTCTCAATAGCGATGATACTTGATCAGCCAGCTCAAGTTTCTGCATACATCCATTTAATCAAAAGGATCAAGGAAAACCCACACATCCATCCATGCAAGCTTACCTCTTCCAGCACATCGCAATTTGTCTCATTCTTATATTGCATAAACCTCGCATAAGTTTCTTTTCTAGCAGCTACTCACATGCCATATACCGTTGGTCACATCAACATCCCTCAATACAGCGTCTGCATACAAAAATTACCTTGAATGGCTTTGAGGTCACCTAAAGAGAAGTCGAGCAGTTTAAGTACAGATGCAACCTCGACATCTCGCGCAACTACTAACCTGTGAATACCTCTCTTTGAGTTTTCAAGAGATTACGATAAGCAGCAATAGCAGCTTGTTTTGAAGGGGAAAGAGACATTATAGTTGTGTGTATGTAGAATAGAAAGAAATGCTGATTTTTTCAATGCAGAGTTCGAATCCTTTTTCAGATGATGGCAAGAAGAAAAATAGAAAATTAACGTTAGGTGACTGTCTAGGTCAGTGGGTATGATGGACATTTGGATGGTACCTTTTGTACGATGGGACATTTGAAAGGGATCATTGCAATTATAATGATGTGATTTGTATGTGGATTGCCAATATCTTGAATCCAATTTGTATCGTAACAAAAATTAGCCATTAGGCTACCAAGTGGATGGTTAGATCGGCTTTGATCTGTCATTACCAACGTTTTGAGCCCTTTCTTTTTTAGACGCACATGGCCATGAGGTAGCCATTCGCCAAAACGAGATGCCAGTTACACAACCATTCAAGCAAAAGGTTCATGCTGTTTAACATGACACAAAAAGATCCAAGCAAAATTTGGCCACTATTTATAGAAAAGCTGACCCTGTTTCTTACCATGGATACTGAATCAGATTGGCATCTACTCGCTTCTCGTCTAGTGCATATAGATGATCCAATGGAAGCAATAAGGAGAGAAACAAAGATCATCAAAGCCATTGAAAGCGTAAATGAATTAAAGGAGCATGTACTTGTGTAATGTTATGAAATAAAGGGGTCAGGGAATGTCTAATGATAATCCAGGCTAGAGTCTCTATCAACATACACGCAGAAAAATTTAATATAAAATCCAATTTTCTGCTTCTTTTGTTCCAACTTGAATGACAATTCACATCCAATTACGGATAGAAATTAGCTAACTCACAAGGAGTTAAATACATATAGTGTATCGTGCGAGCCACATATTTCATTTCAGTAGTCAAATAGTGTATATTGCCATGAGCGAGAAGAAAAAGGTTTAAAATATCCTGCCTACCAGTTTTAATCAGTTTTTCATCTTTTTCATCATTTTTTAAACATTCTTATCATTCATGACACGGGCTCGAAAAGAGAGCGCTTTCCACCTAGCGTTGTTAGTGCTAGTACAGTGGATCAGTTTAGCTGTTGTCATTTTAAATGCAACAGCGTTGTACTTGCTTCGATCTGCGAAACACTCAGGGCTGGTCAATGTCTATTCCAGTCCAGCAGATTACATGTTGTTGATATTAGGCTCTTTGTCATTTGTCGGTTCAACCGTCTACTTGTTTCTACATTTCCATCTGTACTTTCGAATCATCGATGAGTATCCATTTACACCTTCAAAGTCAATGTCGGCAGTCGAGGTAATGATGGCTGTCATCTTGATTGCATTATGGACAGTAGCGACTTCTGTCATCTTGACGCACTCACAAGGTAAATCGGGTCACGTCGAGCACGCCTGTGATATAATTCTAACGTATACACGAATCTAGAAGCGACGTCTCCATGTAGATTTACCAGCTCGTTCTATACACACAATCATAGTGATATCTGCGAATTGTTTGACACAACCCTGATGTTAGGTAAAAATTCAAGCGAATGAGTAATAAAGGGGTATTATGCTCGGTAGTAATAACTCAATCTGTATTTTTTTAGCATTCGCAGCTGTTGGTGGATGGGTTCTCGTCTTGCTAGCCACTTTGTTTATTTTAATACGCTCTCCTATTCCACCTACGACTATATTCACAATAGAGGCACCACCACAACGATTCTCGCAACCGATGGTAGTGTCACTTCCCGATGAAGCCTATTGCCATTCAGGGCATCCACCAAGTAGGCCTTACTACATGGGTCATTACAATAATAACAACAAGATAAGACCAGTAAGCGAAGATATGGATGCAGAGCAGCAAATCATTCTAGCTACAAACAACTCGTCCCAGCGCAACAAACGCAAAAGTATGATGACCTCTAGTAATAGTGCAAGTTCAGTACATGCCTCCACATCAAGATTCGCCATAGAGCATGTGGTGCTGGATGATGCAGCGAACGATGATCTGGCGTCAGCGACTGCATCTTCCAACATTTACAGCCACTATTACTCGTCCTACTACCAACCTCAACACATACTGTTGTCCTCGCCATCCAATACCAATTCATCCGGTATAAACAACGCGACATCTGCGTCGTCTTACTACTCATCCAGGTGTCAAATACCTCAAGTAGAGAGTCAAAGAACATTTCAAAGTCTATCTACCATAGAGTCCGCTTATCGCAGTGGTTGTCAACCGATTCAATTTGATTTACCAATCATTCAAGTGGGAATGTTATCCCATATCGATGTCTCTTTTCTTCAAAAGAAATCCTAAAAAAAAGGGGGGGGAGCAATAGAATCATATTCTCAAACTAGCATTTTAATTTGACTATTGACATCAAAAACCAGTAGCCAAATATGTCATCTTTCTTTAACACGAGAAAGACAAGCATCATAATTTAATATTTAATAAACGGCAATTATTTTAACGTTGAAATTGATACCATACCAACAATAAGGCTACGTAGTAAAGGCAGATTCCGAATTTATAGCACTTTTCCCTAATAGATGAAAGCTGTTTCCCCAAAAATTCAAAGAGCATAGCACCGTAGGGACTACGAAGACTGCATTTCTTTGAAATGCCAATATACAATCTTGGAAATCTGCTCGCTTAACTGTCATCAAATCCAATTGCTATGCAATCCTACTACACAAACCTACCTATCAATGCCATATTCAAGATCCGATTATCTGATCCTTTCTAATTCCAGTAACATCAACACTACATCCATGGTTGTTTTTTTATTCTACAATTTATTAATTGTCTTATTTGCGTATGTGTAAGAGTTGTGTGTAAGAAAAAAGAAGGTACAGAAGAGAGGAAGAAAATATTAAATTACAAAATTTTTACTGAGAGCCCATTTCCTTGGCGAGTTCTTCAGCACGCTTTTGAACATCGTTGATATCACCTTGCATGTAGAAAGCAGATTCGGGCAAGTTATCGTGCTTACCACCCAAGATTTCTTGGAAAGAACGGATGGTGTCAGCGAGCTTGACGAGACGACCTTCGTAACCAGTGAAGACTTGAGCGACAGCGAAGGGTTGAGACAAGAAACGTTGGATCTTACGGGCACGTTCGACAACGAGCTTATCTTCTTCGGAAAGTTCATCCATACCCAAAATAGCAATGATATCTTGGAGAGACTTGTAGTTTTGGAGGATTTGTTGAACTTCAGTGGCAACCTTGTAGTGCTCATCACCGACAATACGGGGATCGAGGATACGAGACTTGGAATCAAGAGGATCGACAGCGGGGTAGATACCCAATTCAGCAATGGAACGAGACAAGACAGTGGTGGCATCCAAGTGAGCAAAAGTGGTGGCAGGAGCAGGATCGGTCAAATCATCAGCAGGGACGTAGACAGCTTGGACGGAGGTAATGGAACCGTTCTTGGTGGTAGTAATACGCTCTTGCATACCACCCATATCAGTGGAAAGGGTGGGTTGGTAACCGACAGCGGAAGGAATACGACCCAAAAGGGCAGATACCTCAGAACCAGCTTGGGTGAATCTGAAAATGTTATCAATGAAAAGCAAGACATCTTGACCCTCATCGTCACGGAAGTATTCAGCAATAGTCAAACCGGTCAAAGCAACACGGGCACGAGCTCCTGGGGGTTCGTTCATTTGACCAAAGACAAGAGCACACTTGGACTCGCCTTCCAATTGAATGACACCAGTTTCAATCATTTCATGGTACAAATCGTTACCCTCACGAGTACGTTCACCGACACCACAGAAGATGGAGTAACCACCGTGAGCCTTGGCAATGTTGTTGATCAATTCTTGAATCAAGACAGTCTTACCGACACCAGCACCACCGAAAAGACCAATCTTACCACCACGAGCGTAAGGAGCGAGCAAATCGACAACCTTGATACCAGTCTCGAGGATTTCGGGAGTGGGAGATTGGTCGACGAATTCAGGAGCTTCAGCGTGAATAGGACGGTGAGTCTTGGCGTCAATAGGGCCACGCTCATCAATGGGTTCACCAATAACGTTGATGATACGACCGAGGACTTCCTTACCAACAGGGATGGTAATGGGAGCACCGGTGTCAACAACCTTTTGACCACGGACAAGACCTACACAAGGACGAATTAACCTCTGACACGATGACTCGTTATTGTACAAGTCGACTTACCTTCAGTACCATCCATAGCAATAGTACGGACAGTGTTCTCACCCAAATGTTGAGAGACTTCGAGAACGAGACGTCCACCAGAGTGGTCCTTGACTTCAAGAGCGTTCAAAATGGCAGGCAAGTTGTCTTGCTCGAATTGGACATCGACAACGGCACCAATGACGGAACTATAGATGACATTGGCAATTGAGATTAATACATGTTGTGGATGATAATCATGCTGTTGATATATGAATGCTTACCGAATTTGACCAGCAGAGGTGGGCTCGGTGGCGTAAGAACGAACTAAGAGACTACATGTCAATCATCACATATACACACCAACGAGCAAAATGTCTTACCAGCCATGGAAGCTTGAGCACCAGCGGCACGACCAAGCATACGAGCGTTAGCCTTTTGAACACGGATAGCGTTAACAGAAGACTTTCCTAAAACACGAGTAAAGTTCATTTTTTTTCTTGGAGTAAAAAAAAAAAAAAAAAGAGAGAAGGGTTAAAAAGAAATTGCCACTTTGATTAAGGTGGGTGGTATATTATTCCAATTTCAAGACACCCCCCCCCCCCTGGGTTGCTGAGTATAGAGAAGGCATACTTTGGTCTGCCCCACAAGTAAAGGTTCAGTGACGTATGGAATACGATTTATGTGGTACGTTTTATTGATTGTTATTCTCGTTTGGGTTATTCGCATTTGGGTTGTTGGCAAGGCCGTTATTTCTCAAATTGCCGCCAAAACGAAATTGACGCACATAGACAAGATAGCCCACTAGCAAACATAAGGACAAAATCAACAGACTTTCAAACAATTCGTCTTCTTCAGAGTAATCATCCGGATTGTAGTCGTCATCGCTGCCTGTAAATGGCCCATCCTCGTTCATTCTCTCTTGCTCTTCACGCTCCTTTTGCTTTTTCATCTTGTATTGACGCTCCAATTCTTCACCAATGTCATACTGCTTTTGGGAATCTACTTTCTTCTTCTTTGCTACAGTCTCTTCATCTCCATCCGCGCCGCCTGATTGAAGCGCAGGTCCCACTTCATGGCCCGTGATCCACTCCCAGTAGTACTTGGCATACATCTTGATCAGGGACAGTTTGACGGGCAGATAGGCGTCTTGATCTATATTCAGTGCTTGATCATAGGCCCTTTTTGCCAGATGGAAATCTTTGGCAACACCGATGCCGCTTTCATACATCCAGCCCAGGTTCCAGAAGGCCAATGGAGATCCTTGCGTTTCAGCTGCTAATCGATAGCAGGATACGGCCTTTTCAAAATCGACAGGTGTGCCAATGCCTTTAAAGTAGTAATCCCCCATCTTGACTCTTGAGTCCACGTTGTTTTGGTTGGCAGAACGAGTCCAGTAGATAAAGGCGGATTCCTTTTCATCTAGGCCCTGAATGATGTCTTTGGACGCTTCCTCTTTATGGGATGTTGTTGTGCCAATCAATGGCAAATGATCCAGCATCTTCTTGTCATTATCCAGTACATAAGCAACATTGGATTGGGCTACTTCGTATCCTCTCTCTGCTGCCAACATGTAGTTTAAGAGTGCACCTTCCTTGTCGTTTTTGAGATAGGCTGCATAGGCGTCCTCCACAGTAGGGTTTAACCAATCTCCTCGTTCAGCAATAGCCTTGTAATACTAGACGCACTATGAGTAACAAACCCATGTACACGCACAAATTGAACACTTACTGATACTGCGACTCGACATGAAGGCCTTGGTGTCATGCCTTGTTCATTCATGTGCGCAAGATACCAATAGGCCAGCAAATGCTTGGCATCAGCAGCCTTGGTGAATAAGCGAATAGCAAGAGGCATGCTAGCCTCAGACTGGGCATACTCCATGGCTAAATTGACCTGAGCATTGGGGTTCTCCTGATCTGCAGCCTTCTTAAAGTACTCAATCGCCTTGTCCCTGTTTCTAGCGACCACAATGCCATCCAGATACATCATGCCCAAGTTGTTTTGTGATGTTGAATCGCCCAGTTCCACGCCCAGCTGAAACCATTTGTGCGCTGTTTTTTCGTCTGCCTTGACTCCCTCACCACGCCAGTACATCAACCCGAGATAGCCAGCCGCTTGCCCAATGACTTTACTGTGCTTGACTGGTATCTTGCCACCTGGTGATATTTTATCCACAATCTGATGGAAAAACATGTAGGCTTCGTTGAAATTGCGAGGAATACTGCGAGTACCCAGGTAATACACTTGTCCCAGCATCAGCTGTGCATCCATGTCCTGTTTTGCTGCCAAATAACGCCAATACTGCAAGATCTCTGCTATACTGACTGATTTCTCTGATCCACCGGGATGACGAGATCGCTTCTCGGTAGTGACGCTTGCTCCGTATCCATACACGCCGCCATGCTCCTCAGAAAGTCGCACCTTGGATAAAGGTGGGGTATGACCTCCTGGAGGGCCAGAAAGGTAGTAATCGATGACTTTGTTGGCAACATTCTTGTAGTGGTACAGCGCATCTTCACAACTTTCGTCGGTGCCAATGCCCAGTAGATACCGATATCCCATTGTCATTTCTGCTGTGGTGTCACCGCCGTGAGCAGCAAAGGTGTGGTATAAGAGCGCTTTGGCTTGATCTCGCTCAACAATGTTGCCAATGCCTGTCGCATAAATGAAGCCAATCATTTGTTGTGCTGTTGCGTTTCCTTTGCTGGCTAATTCGTTGTAGTAGGTGAATGCGTTTTGATAGTTTCTAGGATGTGCATATTTTGAAAACTGTGCTCTCGCATGTTAGTCTCTCTCTCTCTCTCTCTGTGTGTGTGTGTGTGTGCTATGCAGCGTGTATGGTTATGCTTACAAAATTCAGTTCGGCCAGCAATAACAAAGCATCCTTGTTGTCGTATTCTCTGGCTGATTTCTCGAGCAACGCAGTGGCAGCTTCAAATTCCTTGGATTGCTGTCCCTTGATAGCAGCAGATGATTGAATGATGACAGCAGTGTCTGTGTTCGATGACCACAGAGCGGCAATCTTGTGAATGATGCGATCTGTAATGCTCTTGTCGTCCTTTGATTCGTGTGTCGTTGTATTTACATATTTCTTCTCGATTGTCTCTAGCTGTTTCAATGCTTCATGATACAGTACTTGACCTACACACAGTTGAAATTAAATTAAGGATATATGCAATTGCGGCAGTCAAGATACGAACCATCCGTGTAGGCATCTGTGTTTCCCTTTTCTATTGACGTTGTGAATGCCTAAAAAGTATGTGGATTAGCCATACAATCTATCAAACCATCGACAAAAAGGAATGTCTTTACTGCTTGTTTGTCTTGTTGCGCTTCTGCCGCAGACACTATGTGAACTACACAACCGAGAATAAATGCTATCATACACAAACTGAATCAGTCATTTGCATTCGACTAGATAAAGCACAACCTACGGGTCAAGTATATTACTCTCTTTTTCCAACAGTTTTGAGGCCGCTGTTTATTCATTGTGTGGAAGATAGTTTCAAGTATTGGGAAGAAGAAGAGATTAAATTAATGGAGCCTCAACGCGTACCTATCTCTTATTGGACAGCACAAGCACCTGGTTTACTAATGAGGTAAGGTAAGCTATGGAGCACCCACAAATTGCTCAATGCAACACGGCTCACTGTTCTGACAAATAATCGCCCAATAGACTCATAGATCAATGCTGTCGTGAGAATGGCTGTTGGGAATCCTTAAATAACGTGGATCTTGTTCCTTGACTAACTGATCTCTTCTTTTAACTATCCACAACAACATGCTCTCTTCCATCTTTCAAAGCCTTGCTTTAGCCGGTTTCTTGACTGTTGCTGCTGCTCATGCTGGCCATGATCACCACGATAACAGCGCTATCGGCCAAATCCCATTATCAGGTCCTAATGAAATGCCTGTCATCTTCAATCGTCCCATCTTGGAGAAGGGCAGCTATGTTCCCTCCTTTGCTGGTATCTCTACTTTTGCCCATTTACCTTACCTTCAATGCTGGGAGGAAGATGCCAACGAAGACTACGACATTGCCGTCATTGGAGCTCCTTATGATATTGGAGTTACCTTCAGAACAGGTGCTCGTTTCGGTCCTTCTGGCATCCGTGAAGGCTCAAAGCGTATCAAGGTAGTATAACAAGGGCTGTATGTTTGTTTTTAGATGTGGACGCTCATAATAGTATTTGTTAGGGTTATAACAATGAGCTTCATATCAACCCTTTCAAATCTTGGGCAAAGGCTGTGGATTGCGGTGATATTCCTTTTGAACCGTTTGACAGCGAGCATGCCATGTCACAGATCGAATCACATGCCAAGTATGTTCTCTCTCGTCCATCGCGTCCTACCCTCTCCAAACTCAATAACGGCATCCCTCGATTGATTACCTTGGGTGGTGATCACACTATTTTACTGCCTGTGTTGAGAGCTATGCGTGAAGCCCATGGTCGACCCATCTCGGTAATCCATTTCGACTCTCACTTGGATACGTGGGCTCCTGAGATCTACAATGTCAAAGCCAAGGGGTCCAAATACAACCACGGCAACCCTCTTTACCATGCTTCCAAAGAAGGGTTGACCACCAATGGAACATCATTACATGTTGGTATTAGATCTAGCTTGTACGATAAGGAAGATATCGCTCGTGATGAAGCATTGGGTTACCGCATGATTAAGGCCAACGATATCTTCACTTTGGGTGTGGAAGGTATCTCACAACGCATCAGAGAGATTTTGGGCTCACCAGAAGATGCTTTGGTTTATCTCTCCATTGACATCGATGTCATTGATCCTTCCATGGCACCTGCTACAGGTACTCCAGAGACAGGTGGCTTTTTGACAAGAGAAATGAGATACATCCTTCGCAGCCTATATGGTTACAATATTGTGGGTATGGATGTTGTGGAGGTGGCACCTGCATACGATACTCAGGCTCAATTGACTACCTTCCTGGCCTCAGATCTCATTTATGAGACCATGTCAATGATGGTGAAGTACGGTGAAGACCATATCTAGATAGTTAAAAACTCGTAAACATAGACACTTTATATGAAAAAAGCAACTAATGAATAAAACTGATTTTATACAATTGTACGAGCCTTCATGATTGAGTTTGCCAACTGGCCCTGCAAGCCAAAATTATTAAACCCCAGACTTATGGCTTGCTCCAGATTGGCCAAACTTGATGGTTTTTCGACTTGATTGAACTATTCTATGTGATTCGACTATAAGAATTGTGATGATCAGCTCATACTTCCTAATACATTCTTAGAGCACTTTTCAAGGCGCATCCAATGGTACCAAGTAAGATAGATGGTTTGAATAAACTTACTGAGCAATTTATAAAAATATGAAAAGAGGCGTCTGGCCAAAAAGTCGAGATTTTACATAGCAAGGTCCCACAAAGATGACTTTAGGGGTTACGTTTGATTGATAGAAACATTTTGATGTAATACATACCATAGTAAAAGTCTTCATTTTCAAGGTGAAAAACGCGATCGTTTGATTTTCGATGAAAACCATGAGGGGTACCTCATGCTTTTTGGTCGATTTTTTGGCCATGTTTTTTTGGTCCTCAAAAAGTTGAGCAATAGGATCAGCAAGTAGCTGCCAGATGAGAGCAATTGTTTGGTGCTATTCTGATTGTCGAAAACGGCCTTGAACACAAGAAAACACAGCTCAAATGCACTCAAATTTTGCTGTATCAGGGACACCAAGGACTAAAAAGGGGAAATGCCAATATGCTGCTTGCCCGTATATGAAATAGCTACGTATATATGGATATAGAGCATCACATAAGGGTCAGATCCACAGATAATATGAAGAGTTTTTATGTGTTAGTGGAGGATCAAAATAAAAGTAACAGTATTTTGATAAGATACGCAAGGGCAATCGATAGCGCAAGTTACTGCTGCGCAGGTTGATTCTCACCGAAGCGTAAACACTCATTGTAATAATAATTAAATGTTGGCTTTTGCATGGTCTGCTGCGGTACCTGAATCAGATTCAAGTGATCATCTTAAATGTTGGGCAATTCTCATCTTTGGCTATATGGAAACAACGCAAGAAACAATCAAAGAAGATAACATCAAGTTCACTTTTGAAATCAAGTTGAAACACATTTAAAAGCTACTGGATGTTGCTAACGAAGGACTCAAATGTGTCCGACTATACGGACTATGATCTTTACGGCTGATCTTTATAAGGTATTTGTTTGCGTTATCTGAAATAGCCCAAGGATATCTCTGTATTCAGCATCTTGGTGTTTCATACAGCGTCGTGCCATTAAGTGCACAGTTGATGGCAGTGTGTAGCTACGACATGGTAGTTGCTTTGAATACATGTGAATGGTTTTTAAAGCATGACATTCACCTGAAATCGACATACCATCATGGTTTATGTGCGACACAATCCAACAAATCGGATGTGGTATGTTGGCTGGAAGCTTGAAGAACCTCACTGAAGCAGTCTCGATTCCCTGCGTTTTCTTTATTCTATGACAAAAAGAGTGCGCAAAAAAATTTGTATCTTTTGGTTAGTCTTCACATCAAGAGCACACACACACACACATATTTCCCCTTTTCTATTCACGCATCTCTCTTTCTCTGTCTCTTTTTCCCTGTCTCTTGGTCTCTTTGCACATTTAAAATATAATGGAAGGAGCAGCACAATCCTATCAACAACAAAACAACATTATGGATTCGTATGAATCTACAGAAAATGCCTTGATGGACTCGTTCAAAGCGGCCGCTTTAAAAGTAACAACTTTGTACAAGGATTCTCTTGTCCAAAACCGAAAATCATACGCAGCTGGCTATCAGCAAGCTCTACAGGATCTGTACGAGTTTATCAGTGCTCAACCCGAAAATGGCTATATACCTGTTCAAGACGTTTTATCGTTTGCTCGTCAGAAAAACAATCAGTTAACTTGTGAAATGGGCGGCTCCTCTGTCGCCTCTCCCACAAACACAACCACTACTACAACCGCAACCACACTACCTCCTGTGCAACAAATAGTTACTCCCTCCTCCAGATTACAACAACAAAACGACGAATTACCACAACAGCAACAAAAGTTTGTGGGCAATCCCTTTCAGATAGACCCTCATTCCCAGTTCACATTTACTCATGATATTGTGCCATTATCCAGTGGTCGCACAATGGACGGCGTATGGGATCAAGCAACGAATAACAATACTACGACGGAAGGGTTTAAGCGACGCCTGATGCCTGCTGAGGTATCATTTATGGGTAGATCAATGAATATGGATGCATGGCATGAACAGCAACCACCCTTAAAAAGAGGTAGATTAAGACGTGAGGAGCAATTGCAACTGCAATTACAGCAGCAGCAATTGCAGCAACAACAGCAACTATTGCAACAGCAGCAGCACATATTTCAGCAACAACAACAACAGCAGCAGCAGCAGCAGCAGCAGCAGCAGCAGCAGCAAAATAACGCTCAATCATCACAATTCCATCAACTGTAAGCAATTGCTCACACCATAGACTGCCACCCTCCCCTTGTTCATATATCATTCTTTTGATCTGTATCTCTTTGCCTTATTTCTCTTTATATACATACAACATCTCCATTTCTTGTTATTTTCATCACCCTGAATTCAATTAGATAATAATATCTTGTAAAATTTCTAGTCTTTTGTCTTTTATAAATAAACCACTTGCCCATACTCGCCGTGCTTCTTTTCATATAATACATTTACACTACTTCAAGTACAATCTGGACATGGTCTCCATATTAATCAAGTGATCTACGTTCAACTTGACAAGCAAACTCAAGTCGTCTGGATTGAGTTCTTGAGCTGATTCAATGATATGTCTCTGTTTGTTCTGTAAGTCAACGTTGAGTCCTTTGATGTCTCACATGTTACTTACAGAGCAATGTCTAACGAGGGTATATGCTAATTGAAAGATTTCTCTAGACGTTTCAGCTTGCATCCCTTGCTTATTAAACTCTTTCACAATTGCTTTTCGGATCAACTAGACAACACATCATTTTATCAGTCTAAACAGGGTGCTAAAAGCTGGCCACACACTTACATTCTTCTTGTACTCTACTTGACGGCTGGTTGAGTTGGATGACGATGGTGATGCGGCTGCTGGTTTGGATGGAATATATTTAGAGGGTACAGATTTCAATGATCTGCTGCTTTTCTTTTCTGGTATATTATATCTGCGTTTATGTGTTTCTTTGCGAGCTGTTATTGCTGATTTGATGATATCTGAAGAAGTGTCCTGTTGGGATGGCTTCGATGCCAAAAGTGTCATCATCTCCTCTTCTGTGTACCGATTTTTAGGTCCCACAATGTCCATTGAAGACATCATCTCTTCCGATTTGAATTCATGATCTGTTCCAAAAATTTCGCATAAAACTGCCATATCAGCCTGCTTTATATCATCTGGAATGTCTGTGATTTCATACGCAGGAAGGTAACTGTTGTCATCGTACATTGGGTGCGCATAAACTGATATAGATGGTTCAGCTTCTGCTCTCTCTCCATACAACACTAGGCTCACTTGGTGCGCTGAATTTGCATAATGAGTTTCCGTATATCCAACCTAACCGCCACCACCTTACCCTTCTCTTGCTTGTTTTGAGGATCGCTCATGTGAATGATTAAAGCACTCCTTGTTGTACCAGACAAATTGAACTACCACATCATTTTGCCTTAGTTTCTCAAAAGTTCATCGTAGACGGCCATCGTTACCTCTTCATTAAACACTTCTGCCAAAAAATCACCCAATTTACTTTTCTCATTCAATGGTGCGCTAAAAGTTGGCGGTAAGTCGTCATATAGAACAGCTGTATACAATCCACTTACACTTTGTAGCGCTCTGATCTAAAGGTGTATAGTTTGATGGCCGTTAGATGAGTAATTGCTTTCAATTGAAAGCTGGCATCACGGATCTGACTCTTTTCAGATGAATTGTCTGTGTACAAGCATAAACCTAGATATAAATGAGCAGAGTGAGTAAGAATCCAATGTACTGCGAGAACTACAAACCTGTGATGCTGTCTTGGCCGTTCCATACGTTGTCTAATTCCAGCAGATCAGTATAAACTATTCCTTTTCATTCTACGGTAAAATCCCTTTGCGTCTTACCTTGACCGAGCAGTAAAGACCCTGTGTATATATAATCTGGTGAGGGCATGATACTCAAACTTGAAAGGTATGCTGTTCATTGTCTCAAAAAATGGATACTCTTTTCAAATCTGTGGTTCAAAAAATAGAAGGACGTTGATTTTTGGACTTGTACTTTTGGATGTAAAGCAAACGAGCTCTTCTTCTCCTTCAAACATCATTATGGATTTGCGCTTGACTGAATCAATATACACTGCCATCAAGAAGGCTGTGGCAGAGCCAGAATTCTCCGAGAAATACAAGGAAGAGGCCGAAAAGATTTCCAATTTAGAGTCTGTGTCAAAAGAACCCTATCCTGTGTCTACTGATTTGGTAGAATATGTGGCAAAACGATTAGGTACTCTATACATACATCAACATCAAACAGCATGCCGATTAACTAGTTTCGATACCATCAAGACATTTACTTTCACGAGCTGATAGCTGGAAGTGGTTTGTACTTCGCTCCTAAAGAAGTTGTTCCTCAAGTAAGTTTATACATTGTCCGAAATTATACTCATGTCGAGGATTTTCTGGCTCACGTCTTTTTTTTTCATGCATACCTATCATGTATATAGGATCCGAAATTTCTGGCGTATATGGATAAATTACGTGCTGAACAACAAGAAAGGGATTACAACAGGATGGTGTCTGGTGTGATAACATCTGAAGATCAAAAGTTCAACTTGGGTATCAAACCAGATGAATTGAAGCAAGTAAAGAGCCACATCGCAACCATCTTTAACATTTTATTCTCGATGATTGCTGTCTATGTAGCTGTGTATAAGGTGTCACAATCTATGTTTAATGACCTTGGTCTGGTAAGAGGGAAAAAGTGAGTCTGTCAAATGTACATTGACTCATTGCGTTTGGTGTGTAGCAAGTATTGACTGGATTAGCTGGCGCGTTTTTTATCGGTACAGTTGAAGTGATATTGTATACAAAATACGCCTATGTAGCCACATCTGAAAAGAAAAAGACGAAAAATCAGAAAATTGCAACATTGTAAATGTACTTATATCCTTCTAACCTCGAAAATACTATACTCGACGTTGAATAAACATTACACAGTATTTTCTAGCTGTTCTCGATAAGATGTACCTGTAGTATATATACCACCTCTTCTTCTATCGAAATGCGCATGATTATTTCCTGTATTCATCAGCACATCATATTCATCTATTTGCATCTGGATGAATTTGCAGCGACAAAACCTGCCAGGCATGGATATTTGTAATAGATGCAAAGCAAAGTTTTAAGCTATGATATAGTGCTTTTTCTATGCGCAATCTGTTTCTTATAAGCTGTCAAAAGCATCATCTCCAAGAACATAATAATGCATCTAATTCAACACTTGATAGCATTAGTTTATAGAGAGGGTTTACCATATCGAAGCAAAAGTGCAAAGCCATGGTAGTCGGGCGTCTAATCCAATACTTGGTAACATTGATCTATAGGAGGGCTTGATCGCAGCGAAGCGAAGGTTCAAAACCATAGTATTCAGCAGCAAATTCGGGTTTTCATTTCCATTGTAAATAAGCTTACCAGCAACATATTGCATCAAAATTTGCATGAATCAGCTCTACCGAAACCAATATGCCTCCTGTTCGAATTAGAAGTTGCACAGGCTGCAGAACTGCCATTACAAAAGACCTCAGCTACTAAAGATGTGATTCATGCCGTGTAAATAAAAGCCATAAAGCAAAAATACAGCCAAATTGAATAGTTTTCAAACCTTCATAGCTTGACATGTAGACCTTTATGAGCCACCGGAATAACGCCAAACAATTGTACTCGAGTAGTAGTAACTTCCTGACACCTTTGCTCAACTGTTTGAAGACCTAAAAAACATGGCCAAAAATTGATCAAAAAGCGTGAGGTACCTCTCATGGTTTTCATTGAAAATCAAACGATCGCATTTTTTTTACCTCCAAAATGAAGGCTTTTACTATGGTATATATTAAACCAAAATGTATTTCTCGATCCAAAGCAACCTCTGAAACCACGTTTATGAGGTTTTCATATGCAAAATAGGGCTGTTTTCGGTAAAAACCTCATTTCATATTTTACCAAATTTCTCAGTAATTTCATTCAAAACACCTATTACAATCAGCACCATTAGAAGCGCCTTGAAAAGTACTTCAAGGATGTATTAGGAAACGTAGGGTGATCATCACAGTTTATATAGTCGAATGTCACAAAAAAGATTAAAGAGGTCGAAAAAAACACGAGATCTGTCCAATCTTGAACAGAAAAAATTAACTGCGTTTGAGTCAATTTTAGCGGGTGCGCTGCTGCTGCCTGGCCCAAATGCCTTTCTGATAATGACATTGATGTCAACAATGATGGCTGCGATGCTGATCAAATGGAAATCGTGGATTTTAAAGAGCATTTGCTTAGCTCAAATACTTTTTTCTTTCTTGGGACTTTTTCTCTATAATAAAGGTGTCTTTTGCAATGACAATATCTTAAAAAATTCGCTGTAGATCTTACGCAAGCCCTGTGTTTACTTATAACCAGCTTTATGCTGCCATTTCAAGAGCTACATCAGCGAATGTCAGATGACATGGGACCATATGTCACTGCTGCATGCATAGCGCCTATTATTTTGATAGGTCCATTCATTATATATCAATGCCCGTATCTTATTATTATATTATATCCGTAACCAAATCAATTAGTATAAATACTCCATCATATTTTATTTAATAAACATTAAGTATCAAATTACATCTTACTCAAATTACAGATAACTCCCTCTCCTGACTCTGATATGACCCTTTATATATATATATATATATTTACTATTAATTGGTTGTCTAAAATCTACTTGATATGCCAGACTTTTATTATCTCTGATTTGAAATGTCTTTGGTGAGAACCCACAGGGCGACGCCGTCATCAAACGTAGTGACATTGACCGACTAGGTTACCTTGATAATACAAAGAATGGCGTTTTTGGCTATGCAAGTAGCCAAAAGTTGATTAATCTCCGCTCAATATTTTGATCTGATTTGTTAGATTTCGAACTTTTTGAACACGATTCGACCTGTTCTGGCAAATTCGACTATGAAAGCTGTACTGATCATCCCATGATCTCTAATGCATCCTTAAAGTACTTTTCAAGGCGCATCCAATGGTGCCAAATACAAAAAGTGTTGTGAATAAATTTACCGAGCAAAATCGAAAAACATGAAATGACCATTTGGGCCAAAATGTCGAGATTTTGCATTTAAAGGTATCACAAACAAAGCTTCAGGGGTTGCTTTGGATCAAGAGAATCATTTCCATCTGATATATGCTATAGTAGAAGTCTTCATTTTTGACGTCAAAAACGCGATCGTTTGATTTCTGGTGTTTTCCATGAGGGATACCTCATGCTTTTTGGTCGATTTTTGGAGGTATTTTTTTTGGTCACAAAAAAGTTGAGCAAAAGTGTTAGTAAGTAACTACTAGATGAAAGTAATTGTTTGGTGCTATTCTGGAGGTGTAAAACGGCTTCCAGCGCGAGAAAACACGGCTAAAAGGCAATATAATTTCACTGTGTTTTGTATGGTCTTGAGGAGTAAGAGGCAATGCTACTATGTTGTGTGCCCATCTATGAATCTTTTCATTGCTATAGATGTAGAGCATCCTAGATGAGTCAAAATTCTCAGTTACAAGTCGTCTATGAAGTATCTTTATATGATAGTAGATGTTTCAAAAATGAAATCTTAGCTTGTATTAATAGGATGTTGCAGAATAATACGGTCAGATCAGCACCATTATTTCGGCGTAGTAGAATGAGATTTATTATCGATACTCAAAATCATGTTGTGGAAACAAATTGTAGAGATAGTAGTGGCCGCAAGAAGTGCTTTGCCATCAACATGTTCTACTAGTCTACCTAGTATAAATATCAAACGCTTCAGCTTAATAAATTGATAAATCATCGCTTTTCACGGAGATGGTATTCAGCGTCTGTCCTATGCAGGACTGAATGCTTTTTCGTGTATTTAAATAAAAAGACATGAGAAAGTCATGTCAAACGTATAGATCATAGCCCCTCGGCTAAAAGAGCATTATTTATCATCTAGCACATGTACATCTAATGGCTGTGAGGTATGTTATGAAGCCTTGGTAATCGCTTTTATTCTTGAAATCGCACTGCACGACGTAGCATATGCATGTGCTGATATGTGTGATGATGTATGAGAGCGTATTTGACAGGCTCCATACATATATTTCTTTCAAAACGATAATCGATACTTTCAAACGTGTAACACCAAGTTTTCTGTTTTATTTTTCATGTTTATTTATATTTACAGCCAGATGATGAGTATATGATATTTCGTGGATGTTATAGCCAACGGCTTATTCCATAGGATTTGTCTTGCCATCTTGAGGTTTCTTTGCACAGTCTTGGCCGCGATGATGATCTCTTTGTAAAGTTTCCTTGACACTGTCTTTGATATCAACCATTTTCTCTTTAATGTTGTGTAATGTAGACTGGTTTGCGGTATCGTCGGTTGCAGCAGCAGCGTCAACGGTTTCTTTGCTGACAGACTTCTCCATCACTGGCTTCTCAGCAACGGGAGAGCGGACAGGGTTTGTGGCATCAGGAGGATAGGCTGTATTTAATGCTTCCATTTTGTGATTATTTTACGTGGTAAAAAGTATATAGAAAGTCAATTTTACTCAAGAAGCGTGCAGTATTTATACAAAAGCAATGTCAAAAGTAAATGATATCATCATGACCTTTTATAGAAACTTCCATTATGTCATGGAAGATCTACAAAGCTTCCTGCTTGAGTAGTTTAAAAAGGAGAAATAAACTCGAGCATGTTCATGACGTACAGATCAAAAATGCCTCGGGAATACCAGTGAGTATACCTCTTTTGCATATTCAGCATATGTAATTTACTTTCGCGATTAGGTTTCATTAGCAACTCTAGTATGATGGCATAATTGTAACACATTAGTAAGGAACGATCGCATATTTACAAATGATTTAAAGATCCATGTACGCAACATCACACGTTAACGGTAATAGCGTAGTGCTATGTAGCTGTGGTTGTTTAGAGTACTGGCTTACTTCTATAATAACCTACATGAAGACCTTATATCATTATAACTACGCGATCTGCTTAGAGTATGTATCAAATACTACCTCAAAACTTCAGCTATTGAGTCAATTCGCAACCTGAGATTATTCATATTAACACTTGTGAACGTTAACATTTATGCTACTCAAATTTCCTTGTTGTTTCACCGGATCGAGATACATCTTTTACGGGATGCAGCATTCTGGTATGTGATATATCCTGAAACTTTCGTTGCGTGTGTTATACAGCCAATCTATCAACCTCATATTGCTGTATCATCTCTAAAATTACACAAAATTACACCAAACAAGCATTTTCAGCTATGAACTGAACATGCTATTAATGAATCGAGTACAACTACGACCGAAATCAATTTTAGGTTCCAGGTACCACTTTAGACTAGACTAATTTGGCCCATTAACTCCAAAATGTATAGATCAAAATCATAATTTATGCACCCGCAGTGATGGGGATGTATCTCAATAACACTTGAACATTGCGCTCAACCACAATCACATGTGAAAGTGAGTTTGTAGTATCAAGAATTGTATTAAGAAGAGGAAAATTCAGACAGAAACACAACGGTAGCATAAATATATATATATAAATAAGTCATTATAAAAAGAGGATAATAAGAAGAGTTTTTTTTTTTTTTTTTTTTTTTTTTTTTTTTACATGATAGCACAACTTGAAGATTTCTTCATTGTGCTTCGAATAGCCGAGTTGAATACCTCGCCTACCCCTTGTTCCAATTTCGCGGAACATTCAACATACTTGTAGGCTCCCACTCGTCTAGCCGCCTCAACACCCTAATTTGCTCTATCAGCATCTGTGTGTGAGTGAGAATAACATACACATGGAAACAAACCTGGTGTGTCGTGATGGGTTTCAAGGATTGTTTCTCCAACTCTTGTATCGTTCTTTGATCCTGTCTTAAATCTGTTTTGCAGCCAACTAATAACACTGGCAGACCAGGGCAATATCGCTTGACCTCTGGCATCCACTACACAGTCGTATCATCAGCAGCCTGTTTTGTTTGTGGTGATGAATCTGTGATGCGTTTACCTTTTCTGATATATTCTCCAATGATTCAGGAATATCCACTGAAAATGCAATCAAAACAACGTCTGAATCAGGGTATGATAATGTTCTCAATCTGTCGAAATCTTCTTGTCCTGCTGTATCCCATAGTTCTGCTACTACTGGTTTTGAATCAACAACGACATCTTTGACTGAATTATCGAAAATAGTTGGAATATAGTCGCCCTATGTACAACTATCAACGATCGAGCCCGTTTCAAATGGGATGGCTACTTACAGTAGGGAAGAAGCCTTTGCAGAACACACTCAAGAGACATGTTTTGCCACAAGCACCATCGCCTACAATAACGATCTTTCGCTTGAGAGGCTCATCATCAGAAGAAAGTCCACAGCAACTCATTTTTAGCTTTATGTAATAAAAAGAAAGGAAAAGGGTAAAGAGAGCGAAAGAGAAAGGGGAATATATAGATGGCCATCTTTTTTATTGTTGAAATAGGAGAAGCGTACACACACACACACACACACACACACACACACACGCACACGCACGATAGTAATACAATGTAATGTATGTAGTGCAAAGAGGCTGAATTTAGCAAATACTGCTGCTTAGCAAATGTTGTGTATTACTGAGGCTGGTGGTGATGGGCTATTGACTCTTGGAACTGCCGTTATTGCGACGTGCCACCCTTCTTCTTTTTGGTTTATATTCATCGTCCTTTGTGTCATATTCATTGTGCTCTGCTTCTTGCTCATTTTGATCCTCTTGTGCCTGCAATGCTATAGTCATGGCCAGATCATTATCCATCATGTCATTGGGTCCATTTGCCGATACTGGGTCTACTACTGCTTTCCCCTTTGCTGCGGATTTCGGTGCCTTTTTGCATTTGGTAGTTGCCTTTTTGGACGTTGCACGACCTTTACTAGATGCTTTCTTATTGCTTGGCGAGCGACTCTAACACATGTAATAGCAGTTTCTTTCAGAATCAATGCGTTTGACATGTCAAAAAGACTCACCTCTTTTTCTGTTAGTTTCATGATTTTATCTTGCACTTTTTGTAATTCTGCTTTCAGATGAAGCATCTCTTCTTTCTTACGGACAAGGGCTAGATACGGCTATTGTAATGGAATTGAGAAGTGCACTCATCATGAGCTTGCTCCTCTCTCCTCCGTTATCAAGATTCTAGATGCCGCATTAGTAAATACATCCACTTGCAAGAGCTGTTCCAAGGCGAATGAAGCAGCCTCTTTGGAATTGAGCTATATGCTTGCTGTCTACTGTACTGTCTGATATTTTTTGATTCGTAAAGCGTTGCTTTGGCAGTTGGATTATAGTATCATCGGTGTGCAATGTATTTACAAATGCGGTCGTCCAAGAACCTGAAGAGACAGAGGGAGAGAAATAAAGCCCATGAAAGCAATCCCAAGCAGCGTCAATTGGCAGTGTATACATCATGAGCAAATGTACCTACGTTCTCAATCTTGGGCAGCTCTATCGTTGACCATTCTGATTCAGGGATTTCATATTGCTGTTTATTATGCAAGACTTTCGCCTTTAGCTCTTGTTTCGTCAGTGCGTTTCCTGTATTCACAATGCAATTATTTTTGCGTCTAATGCTGGGCCCTTGAATCTTGGCGTTCTTTGCTCCAATGACCTTGGGATCGATATGAAGTCCAGCAAATTCAGCCGTACTTTGTTGGCCCAATAGTCTTTGTAGTTGTAGGTTCAACTGTGCATTGGTTTTGTAAGGTAGAACTTGGCATTCTCTAATCTTTGCCCAGTTGCCAATGCCAAACTTCATAACAGCAAGTCGAAGTGCTTCTGATTCTTGATCAGTCCAGCCAGGTGAGAGCGTCAAGTTCCATAAACTAGGTGAGTCATTGGATCGAATGATATTGCGAGCACCTTGTGGCATGCTTTTAGGTCCATTTTCATTATTCATTACTTGTGTTTGACCAAAAGGGAGAGAGATAGAGAGGTGTGTGTCGAATGGTCACAACAAATGTGTTGCATTTGAGCTCCACAAGCGCGCGTTCGTGTTTCGCACACACTTCTTTTTGCCACTGTCAACTCAACATGAACAATGTGCCATTTCCATTGATTATACCCATTGACGATGAGCATCACATATACAAGGGATTTATAGCCATCAAAGTAAGAAACTGTGCGTATCGACAGATCTGCAACAAAGTATTGACATGCCATGGTAGAACATTGAATATCACATACAGCTTCAATTGGGTCCTCAGGGCTATCTGCATGGCCAAGAGAATCTATCAAGGCTGTTTCATGATTATCCACAAGCCAAAGATCTAGTTGAAACAAAGCTGCATCAAGCAACAGATGTCATGGCATTCCTAAACGAGTTTAAAGAGATTATTGTAAGATAGAAAGTCTCGGTTCAACATCCTACGCTAAAACATTTAGCAGGAAACCACAGCAATCACAGAAAACAACAAATTCAATTACTCACATGATAGATATTTGCTAATTTACAATGAGGTCAAGAAAATTGGATTTGAAAATGTAGAAGAAATATCGGATGACATGCTTCGGATCACGCTGAAAACAGTGTAAGGCCTTTCAATGCCACAGACATTTGAGTACAGTGCTGAACGGATGGATCATAGTGACGGACAAGGCAGGAAGCATCTCGTCAAAGTCGATCTGCCAAGCAATTATCCATTCGCATCGCTCAAGGCAGAGTGGGATTTACCAGTCGCCATTTCGAACCACACCACACTAGCCAGCATTTTAGCACAGCACCGAGCGTTTGTAATTAAATTCCAATTATTCTTTAACTGCATGGATGATTTGGACAAGCACATGAGGATAATAGAGCCGGACAAACCTAAAAGAAGCGACACATGGAGGAGAATAGCACTTGGACACCATTGCTCCCTCGAGATTCAGATCAATGCCGAATCTCCATTAGATATGAAACCAAAGATTCGGTTCTTTGGAAGCGCCAACAGAGTCAGGGACCTTCAGAGCAAGTGGAAAGAGTCAGCATGGTTAGCATGTGTGGTATATGTGTCAATGAGATTGTACATAATGACATCTATTTATATACAGGAACAAGGCTTTGTCTATACATCAAAATTTACTAGACTCGTTTCAATTGGTCAGTAACAGCACAGATGCTTACGAAGATTATACTACAACTGGGGACATTGAGTGCGGCATCTGCTATTCTTATAAATTGAACAACATAGACACGCCTGACATTATTTGCAGTAACACGTCGTGCAGTCGAGGGTTTCATTACCAATGCTTATATGAAGTGAGTTACTCAAAATGATGTCATTTGACGTTGAGCCATTTGGAGCTAAATTAACCCCTGAATCCTGCTAGTGGCTTCGCGGTAATCCAAGCACCATTCAGAGTTTCAACATTCTGTTTGGACAATGCCCTTATTGCAATGAGGTAAGAAACACAAGTTTATTATTTTTGATTAAGGGAGGGAGGGGGAGGGGGGTATACAAATGGTAACCAAAATAAAATATTAAACATTATACAAATTAATACATAGAAAATAAATATAAATACAAAATTGGCCTAGATGGCTAATAAAGATTCTTCGTATGTTGGAGGACACTCCAAACCAAGGCCATGTCTCTTCAAAGCTTCGATTTCTTCCATGGAGACGGGGCAATCGTAGCTGGGCAATTTTGTGAATTCACGATCCCCGAGTTGGGCCACACGCTTGTCCAGCAGATCGATGTAAGTTTGGAAGGAGATTGTTCTCGTAGTGAATCGGCTATTTGGACTAGTGCCATCGGGAATCGATACCAAGAGAGACACTAGCAAAAGATGACTCACGCCAAAGTGATTGTATTTCTGAGTGGAATGTGATACCGAGTTGTCATCAGGGATCTGATAGAGGCAGCTGCCTTGCCAATTTTGACTCAGAGGTCGGTTAGGCAGTGTGAGTATATGGCCCTTGGCAGGATACAGGAAATGAACAGATTGGCTGGTGCGATCGACATTGTCTACGGTAGGAGTAATCGTACGCCTTTCAACCAATTGCAAGAATACTTGTTTCAATCTCATATCCTTAACAGTGGGTGCAATCTCGATCTTGACCGGCAATTTTGATCCAAGCACAGCTGTTTTTGTGTCGATAGTGATGCGATACTGACACCAGTTTGAAAAGTGTTTGTGTGAATCAATGGTAGCTGGATAGTTTTCGCCTGCTACCATGCCTGTGTCAGGTAATCGGGCTAATACAATCGGCTTTTTGATTTCCTCATGCATTTGAGATGCGCCGTCTTTTTTGTAGTCTAATGACACTGTGATGTTGTAGTCTACATTGACTTGAGAACAGCTGATTGTTTCGGGAATACCTGCAGGCAGAGGCATTTCAAAGGAGAACCGCGTTGATCCAGAGTTCAGCAAAAGAGGTAGTGATAAGGCCGACTCAGGTGTCGGGTACAGCTGAAGATGGCTGTCTGCAATGTTTTGTTGATGTCGTCTGGGTTTCTCGCCTATAGCCGGATTAGCATTTGACACACGTATCAAATCAAGTTTGTATTACCTTGTGTCCACTGTGTCTTCATCAGGCCTTCGAACTTGAGCTGAAGCTTCTCGATGATACAGCTCTTTTGAAAATCAACATTGACAGTTCCCCGAACAACAGGCGATGTCTCCAAATTAGAGCCGATGAAAACGATGGGCTCCAACAACTGGATAGAGAGGGACTTTGAAACAGATGATCTGCGCTTCCACATCATCATTTTTATTGTGGCAAAACTTGAAAGAAAGAGAAGGGTGGAGAAGGGATGAAAAAGGGGGTGAAATGGAAAGGTTAACCTGGTCCCTTTTATACACGATTGCCAATGATGAAAAAAAAAACAGGTACACTAATTTGCTGTGGTTCAATCTTATTCATCCCAAGAGTAATTGGTTCTTCCTTAATAGGATTGCCAGTTGTCCAGTTTCATGTAACTCTTCAAGATCGTCAGCTCCTCCAATCGATTGTCCGTTCAAAAAGATGTTTGGGAACGTTGCCCTGCCAGATATATCGTTTAATGTCATCTTGACCTGGTAATCATCATCTATAAATCATGCAGATGAGAGTTCATACATATACTTTCAATGACGTAAATGTCATTTAACCTAAACAATACCTCGCAAATCAACTTCTACAACCTCAAGAGGCTCTTTCAGATTGTATAAACCTAAAATTCGCTTTGCCTTTTTCGAAAATCTATTTGAACAATTGAATTTAATGGATTGGTTCCACAATATGTGATCATGATTAGTCAATCTGCACCCTTAACATCCTTGTTTTCACGAGCGAATATTCTACATGGCCCTCTACCTGTTCTCCCTCTCTCTCTCTCTCTCTCTCTCTCTCTCTCTCTCTCTCTCCACACACACACACACACACACACACACACACAGATTCCCAGTGGTACAAATGTATGATAGTAACACTTACGGACAATAAGTTTTGCTGAATACGATTAGCTGATGACCCTGAATGCGACTCATGATTTCATCTTTCAGGCTCATTGGCTTTATAGTGTTGACTTCATCCTCTTTCTCGGCAGACACTGGCAAGATGTGGACCGTATTTGAATCGGTGCTGTCCGCAATAAGACCAGATGGCAGTGAGTCTTTGTCATAATAACTGACCAAACATAATGTTGCCAAGGAAACAAACGCAATCACGGACCATAATCGAATACGACGGGAATTGCAGCTACGCGAACTGCTGCTTCTTTGTTGTGCTGCATACTTCTCCTTGGCTTCAATATCATCTTGAACTGTAAAGGGTAAACTTGATGTATTGGCGGTGCTCATTTGATATTAAGGTTGCAATATAGTCCAGTTGGTGTGATATCGAAGATGGAAGAAAAAAATATGCTTTATTTGATCAAGAAATTACTATTTTTTTTATTCTCATCGTAAGCCTCTTCCATTGGTTAAACGCTAACTTTAACTTTCTTAATGACATCCTTAAATAACTCTGGATGTTCAATTTCCTTCTTGCCTTGGATCAGTCTAAGCTCACAGTTATGCACTAAATTAGCAGCATCTGGCTTGTTTTTCATGCTATTGTTCTTCTTTTGTTGGTACAGGTAGGTGTTCTTGGTGATAGCATTGACGCTACAAATGACTTTAAATACTGCTTCAATTAACGAGTTTTCCTTTCTTGCAAAATGTGCTACTGCCAATGAGGAGAACAAATCTCCTGTGCCAGTGAAATAGCCTTCATATGTGGGGAAAGCAATCAGGTATTGCTCCGTCGTACCATCGTTGATTTGTTGACTCGATAGACAATACAGAGACTCTTCGGAGCTGGTCTCAAGTTGTACCTCGATAGGTACATCTTTTAATGGTAGCGATAAGGTTGTAATTACTACATTGGGAGAACCTAATGAATGTAATTTCTTGGCTACTTGACATGCTTCCTCCAGCGATGTGATTTTGGTCTCGGTCAAAGTTCTAAATGTATCATTCATCAATGCTCATGTGGATCCCATCGTGCCTTGGATATTTACTCTGCTTCAAATTGATTAGGTGTTACAACATCAGCATATTGCATGATATGTCTATACAATGGCACAATCTCAGGTGCAACATACAGTGCGTCTCCATCTCCCATCACAGTATCGCAAACTAGTCGTCCTTGAATCAGATCCATGTAACTATTCCACACTATACACCCACTTACGGTAGATCAGATCAGGATTGACAGCCTTGAGCTTCTTGACCATGTTTTGAATGGTCTCCAAGATGGCGAAATTGCCAATGTAACCTAATGAAGCCTATTCAGGAAGCGTTTTTTTGCTGTTATAGAACTGATAGGTACCTGTCAAAACATGGGTATATTCACCAATAAGGTCATTCTTTTCTAAACCATCAAACAATTCTTGCACATCCTGTGCGTTCATTCGGCTCCCTGTCCATGAAGGATAACCTGTCCAAAATCCAATAAGCATCTCGTCCCTTTCCTCTTCTATTCGACCGAAGTTTTACCAGTATGGTTTGAAAATTGAACCGTATTCAAATTATCCACATCGAAGCCGAGTGTTTGAAGCGGGAAAACTGCTGCCTTGTTACCTTTAATGAAGCACACGTTTAGAATAATCTTATGAGACGTTATCTCATTCTCGTTATACCACAATAGCCAGAAACCTAATGAGCGATTGGTCAAGTTTTTCTTTTTCGTTTTTTTTTCCCCCTTCTCGTATAAAGTATTACCGTATGAGACTGAATACTCAATACTCTGTAGTTTGGTTCTTCATCGTGAGTGGTTGTCATTGTAGCCACTTCAAGTCTATTTAGGAATATTAAACAGAAAAAAAAGAGGATGAAAAAAGAAATGAACTGGAAACAAAAAAAAATAAGAGGCCTTTTAGGTTATTCATCGGGCCGCCCCAGCTTTTCGTCTATGGTGCACACGCGAAACCTTAGTATGGTAAAATAATTGCTATTTGGATAATTCATCTATCCTGTTTTCTACTCCTTAAACAGGCCTAGCATCATCCGTCAATGAGTCTATAGAGTCTGTTCTATCTACTGTTAGTGAGGACCCTTGATTTTATACCGTAATTACATGTTTCATTCCATATCTCCTTTCATACGTATATCCAACTACTTTATGGCTACAGGTTGATTGCAATCATCTGCCTGTAATTACATGTCATGGACTATGTATCCGAACAGGAATTTGTGGTCTTTTATCTCTCCTTCCAAGTTTGGATCTCCAGCAAAAGGTGCCATATGTTGTAAGCCAACTATAGACTAGATCACCAGATGTAAATCCTTAGTTTCATACACATCACCACTAGTTAGGCTTCTCTTCAAGTGGACACGATGGCAACTCGATAGGTTGATGATTGATATAAGGATCGAGTGGGTGCTGTTTGTTATGTTTGGGAGTGACAAAGTTGACGCTCAAAAGCATCATTGCTTCCTGGTAGGAGAGGCTTTGATTCTGACAGCCTGAATAAATTGAAATGTCACCAATAAACTTTTGCTTCAGATTGGACAAATTTCAACTTTTTTCGACTTGATTAATTTATTTTGCCTGATTCGACTATGGAAACTGTGTTGATCATCCCATGATCTCTAATGCATTCTTAAAGTACTTTTCAAGGCGCATCCAATGGTGCCAAATACAAAAAGTGCTATGAATAAATTTATCGAGCAAAATCAAAAAACATGAAATGACCATTTGGGCCAAAATGTCGAGATTTTGCATATAAAGGTATCACAAACAAAGCTTCAGAGGTTGCTTTGGATCAAGAGAATCATTTTCATCTGATATATGCTATAGTAGAATTCTTCATTTTTGACGTCAAAAACGCGGCCGTTTGATTTTTGGTGTTTTCCATGAGGGATACCTCATGCTTTTTGGTCGATTTTTGGAGGTATTTTTTTTGGTCACAAAAAAGTTGAGCAAAAGTGTTAGTAAGTAACTACTAGATGAAAGTAATTGTTTAGTGCTAGTCTGGCAATCTAAAATGGCTTGCAGCGCGAGAAGCTTTGGATCAAATTCACCCAAATTTTGCTGCATTTTACATATTTTGAAGCGATAAGAGGTAACAGTACTATGCTATCTGCCCATGTACGAGTTGTTCCCATTGAGATAACCGCGAAGCATTCTGAAGGAGCCATATCCGTAATCTCAAGGCATTATAGAAGGCTTTCCGATAACAATGGATAGTTAAAAAGTCAAATTTCAGTATATATATCAGAGCCAATGTAACATGCCAGTGTGATTGAGGAGAGCTTTAAGAGTGATTCAGCTCAGCCCCTGATCGATATTGTTGATGCTGCTCTTCTGCTATGGGTATGCGTCGAAAAACAGAGGCAGAAATGGTACAACAATTTAAAATTTGTCTGATATAGCACGCTGATAAGCACAGTGTGAGATCGTAATCAGGATTCTCAAGAGGGCTCCACCAGATAAATCTCGCTTGAACAAGTAGAGTCATGGTGCATTGAGCTTCCTAACGCCTTATTTCCTGAATTATTAAACGTCAGTAATGTAAATCTACGCATCTCATAGAGTAGGACCTCATATAATAGTATCTTAAGTTCTACTTTCAAATCAAAACCCCTCAAGTCCGTATCTCTTTCGCTAGGATAGAGTGCTACATCTGATTATCCAACATCAGCAGTTGTAAAGACTTCCTAATTAGAAGCCAAGAGTGTATAGCATCTGACGCTTCTCTGCAGATGAAGCCCAATTCTTTTATTACTTATAGAGACCAGCAATAAAGCCGAATCGAGGGCTCTTTCTTCCATCATAACTCAAACAGGTCTATCTTGAATGCACCTGCTAGTGTCAGCTTTTCGTTGGGACAATCTGCCCCTCATCATTTCAAGACCTTCATAAACTATTGGAACAAGCAAGCAGAACTTCACTCTGACAAGGTGTACATTCGCTACTATACCAATGACCTACTTAAAACGTTAACATATAAAGAGCTCGATAGAATAGCAATCAATTTGGCTTGCTCATGGGCGAATAGATTCCAGGGCGTAGAAGTAGCATCATATCTCGGAGATCAAGGCCTCAGCTATTTGATTGTCTTGCTGGCCATATTGAAGCTACGCATAACTATGCTCGCTATTTCATCTCGCAATTCTGAAGCTGCCGTATTGAATCTGTTGGAAAAAACCGGTTCCAAGCTATTGCTAGCTAATATCAAGTATGAACGCTTTGCAAAATCTGTCATAGGAAACATTTCCGACATCGATCTAGTTGCTATTTCAGCTTTTGATGTCGATGCCCTCTCCAAAGAGCCATTGACAGCCGGGCACGAGCAAATTTTAAATATGGAATTTACTGATCAAGACACTTTGAAGCCTGCTCTGATTGTCCACAGGTAAGCCAGGCCATATCTAGCTCACGCTCAGCTTACTCAAACACCACTTCTAGCTCTGGCTCAACTGCCTTTCCCAAGCCCATCAGCCTTAGTAGCCGTTATTTGTTCTACGTGATTAACAATTTAGAAGTGCCATTGACCGATAGTAAATTGGAGAGGCTGACTGACAAAGATGTGATGCTTGCTTTGACGCCTTTGTATGTATACATCACAATCCATCAAAGTTTTGTGTGAAGCTTACTGAAGAGTGATGTTTTCAGTAGTGTTCACGTATTTGGGATATTGGGTTTCTTTTCTGTAACTATACACGGCGGAAGTGCCGTTATGTTCGAGCAGCTTCCTGTCCCTCAAAAAGAGATTGTAGACGCCTTATTAGCATGTAATGTAACCCTGCTAGCAGCCCCTCCTCTGGTTTACGAGCAAATGGCGGACCATTTCAAGGAGACAAACTTGTGTGCTGCTGAACGAATCAAGTATGCCGTTGTCGGTGGCGCGTCGTTTAAGCAAGAGATTCTTGATTGGTATCATTCTCAGCAAGTTAACCTGTGTGTCTTATACGGAACAACTGAGGCTTGCGTGGTCATGACCTCTAACTTGGACCCAGATTGCAAGAACCGGAATTCTCTTCATTTTATTCACAAAGATACTGAAGGGCACGTTTATGGCACATTTGAAACAAATGACGAAAGCGAGCCCCACATCAAGCATCTGTATATGCATGCCGATAGTCCTACTTTGGCCAGCCATGTCGCTAATCGACCCGAGGGTGGGTACGATACGCAAGACTTGTTCATTGAACACCTTGACTTCTCTGGCACATATACATACTTTGGGCGCCGCGATGACATTTTGATTATGGAAAACGGCGAAAAGACGAACCCGGTTCCTATGGAAGCTGCTATCCGTCAGCATCCCATGGTTCAGCAAGTAACCGTTATAGGTCATGGGCGCCAGTGCACTGCTACTCTGATCCTACTGAACAAGGAGCATGCAGAATGCTTTGATCCAGAGGAAATCATTGCTGCTGTACACGCTGCTGTCAACAAGGCCAATCTTGAATGTCCTGGTCATAGTAAAATTTTCCCTCAAATGGTCAAGATCTTGCCTTTTAATCAGACTTTGCCCACCACTGATAAGGGCACTGTCATGCGCAAGAAGGCTGAATCTGCATACCAAGATGTTGTCAAGAGGCTCTACAAGGAGTTCTTGGAAGGTACCTCATCTGGTACAAAGACCAACAGTGGTTATGACACGTCTGCTTGGACTCCTGAACAAACTGAAGACTTTTTGGTCACTTGTGCTTCCGAAGTTCTGGATGTGCCTGAAACTGCCTTCAAGGATCGCGCTCGGTCTATCTTTGAGCTTGGCCTCAACTCGCTCGCTGCTATTCAGCTACGCAACCGTATTGCTGAATACTTTGACAGCATTCCGCAGAACTTTTTGTACCAGCACTCAACCATTGTCTCCATGCGCCAAGCTCTCTTGAGTGGTCAACAACAAGATCCCTCCGAGTAACAATATCAACGCACCCAGAAACTGGCTGAAGCCTACATCAAGAAGGCCAAGCAAGGCTTCTCTCGTGCTCGTAACGTTTACAACGAAAAAAAAAAAAAAAAAAAAAAAAAAAAAAAAAAAAAAAGAGCAAGGTTATTTTGCTGACGGGTGTCACTGGATCTCTTGAATCGTTTATGCTGCGTAATATATTGCAAGACCCTACTGTTGAGAAGGTTTACTGCTGCGTTCGAGGCAAGGATCATCAACTGAAAGATCGTCTCTTGAAAACATTTGAATCTCGATCTCTTGGTACCTCTCTCTTGATCACGGATCATCTCGAGGTTTTGCCCATGCGTTTCAATGAGCCTTTTCTTGGTTTGACTAAGCAGCATTACTATCAACTCAAGAAGGAGGTAACAATCGTCCAACACTGTGCTTGGTTGCTCAACTTTAACATGCCAATTGACCACTTTGACAAGGAATGCATTCAACCCTTTTACAACCTACTGAAGTTTGCTTACAATGAAGTCAACCCAATGCATGTCCACTTTGTGTCTAGTGTCTCTGCCAGCGCTCTTTCAGGGCCTGTAATTGCAGAGGAACCTTTACCCTTGGACTCTCATGTTGCCATGAACATCGGATACAGTCGTGAGTTTGTACCCACCTCTCTTGCTATTACAATGCTAACACATCAACATTATAGAATCAAAATGTGTGGTTGAAATCCTTTTGAATTACCTCACAGCTGAAAAAAAAACTTTCCTTGCTACGTCGAGCGTCTTGGTCAAGTCTGTGGTGACTCTGTGAATGGCGTTTGGAACGTGTCTGAGCAATACCCTCTCATGTTTATCGGTGGTGGGTCCATCATGAAGTGTATGCCCAGATTGAACCCACAAATCGACTGGATTCCATGCGATTTTGCAGCAGCTTCTATTGTTGACGTTATGATGAAAACGTATCATTTACCTGCAAATACAGATGAGTCAATTTACCACATTGTCAATCCTCACTCAATCCAGTGGTACGACGTCCTTACTGCGATGACAAGGTCTGGCATGAACTTTGACATTGTTGAGCCTACAGAATGGGTCAAAGAGCTCGCCAAGGATGATACCAACCCTGCTTTCCGTCTTATGTCTTTTTACCAAGAGACGTTCAAGGATTCTTTCAAAATGTCTGAATGGAAGACAGAAAAGACTTGTGCTTTGACGCCTACCATCTCTCAATTGCTCGTTCTTAATACTGATTTGTTTAGTAAATATTTGAACTACTGGAAATCAGTTGGTTTCTATCATCCTTCATATTAGTTATGCCATATTTAAATAAATCAATGCTATCGTGGACATAAAATATGGATGGTCCCTGTCTTTTGCATATGGATATCATCTTCAATATGCCCCTTACATCTGTGGATCTGTCAAATCTGCCAATCTATGTGACTATGGAGCTGTACTAGCTTAAATGACGTCGAGTAAGCCAACCCACAGTTGGATCGCATTTGGAATGCCTCTCTAAAAACCAAGATTGCTTTTTCTTCCCTTTTTTTTTTCCTGATCACCCTTGTCATTTTTGAAATAACTCTAAAACTATACAATGGATTTCTCTAGATTCAATCAAGCCGAACAAGCTCAAATTGCTGCCATGATTGAGCACAAGCAAGTATGTCATCTTTACATGTCTCTCTGTGTGTAGGGCACCATCTAATTACACGTTTTTTTTTTTTTTTTCGCTGGTTTTTTAGATGAAGGATTTCATGAGACTCTACTCCAACTTGGTTCAACGTTGTTTCGATGATTGTGCTAATGATTTTACCACCAAGTCTTTGACTGGCAAGGAGGTAAGCTGGCTACTGGTAAAATGTATGTATCTATGGATTGGAGATTAATTGGATTGATGCGGGGATTTGCAGGAAGGTTGTGTCAACAAGTGTGCTGATAAGTTTTTGAAGCACTCTGAGAGAGTTGGTGCTCGCTTTGCTGAACTTAGTCAAAATGTAAGTGTGAAAATACCATGTTCAGATCATGATGGTTAATTTGCTTTATTTTCTGATAGATGTCTCCCCCTGGACAATAAATAATTCATACTCCAGTGACTTTTTGTATAAAGAATAGAAATAAACGGCTGATTTGATTGAATTGTACTATATAATCATGACAGCTTGATTTTATTTACATACACAATCACACACTCAAACACGCAGACAGCACTACATTGGTATACTATTTTGAATTGGATGACTCTTTGGGTGAGGGAGGAGATAATGATCTCCGGCAAGTAGGACATGTTGGTTTGGAAACATGGTGTTGTATCCAGGAATGCAGACAATGACTATAAGGCAAATGGGATTAATACCGGCAAAGTAAGAGGAGGAGGAGGTGGTGGAGGATCTTACAGGTGGAATAGATGGCCACATGCCAGTTTTTTCGCAACTTTCATCCGTTCTCTACAAATAGCACAATCATCATTGTGATTTGATAGCTCTTCAGCAGATGCATCCACATATCGGTCTCGAACATAGGACATGGCTCTCCATCTCTCACGATAAATAATGACTTTGCTGTACAAGTTCTTGAGTACACTTCGCACATTCAAAAACAACACAACATCGACCAATCCAAATGAGATTCCATGCATCCACTTTAGAAAATTGGGCGTTAGATGCCATTGCTTCTGCGGTGTCAATGTGTCTTACCATCAGTTGAAGGTATTGCAGTAGCGTACATGCAAGGATCAACACATCCGCACTCAGTTCGGTGTAGTAATTGATCAGTCGCTTGCTCTCGAATCCGTTCTCTCGCCATTGATCCATTAAATGTGTCGCATATTTGATTAAAACCTGGATGGTGTCTAATACTACTGGTAAAAACTGCATGGCCATCGATGAATAACATTGTCCGTCATCATACACTACGCTGATGTTACCTCCAATGTGAGAAAGGCGAGTGAAGTTGGGAATAAATAAAGCGATCCAAGGTACCAAATGATGTTGCTGAATAGGATGGTCGATAGAAACACTGTGATTTTGTAGTACTTTCTAAGCGAAACGAATGCCACCGTTGTCAACTAGAGGAGCAATTTTAGCATGCACACTGACTACCAATGCCTTTACTGAGCTTACATTATCCAGTCTATCTCTGCTCAGTAAACTAAAGATGCGCATAAATCCCAACACACCAATCCACAAGGACAACCTCAGTATGTGTCTCCAAACCGGCTCCATCACAGCACCAATGAATATCACTTTGAACAGCAGGAAATTCAGCATTCGATCATACATGTGCTTCAAGGTATCGTTGGTAAAACTAAGGCAAGCAAGCGCACAACAAGACATACCTGACTTTCCATAGGCCATAGCTCACCAAACACAACTTTGATGATGGCTCTTCCAATAAGTAATGATCCACAAATAGTCATATTCACATGAGCCTATGATGTTTACACACACACACACACATATATATACACACAGTTACCACATGTATCCTTGTCTCATTGAAACCAATCTTACAAACAATTTACCAGTAAACTTATTTTTCGAGATTCCACATGCGAAAAGTAGGCTGCTATGTAGCTTTTATTGCATATTTGATTTGTTGATAATATCGAGCTCAAGTCTGAGGAGTAGCAGGTGGTCCATATATCTGAATATAAAAAGGATCGCAACGACACCAAGAAGGCTACAGTGAACGTAATTGTGGATACAAGAGCATAGGTTGGAATATCGTACTTCATCAATGTTCCCCTTTTTTTCGATTTATTTACAAGAGAAGAAGTGTGGTATAAGGAAAAAAAAAAAAAAAAAAAAAAAGAGTTTTTTATAGGGAAAGAAAGGAGTTTCTTTTTTCACTGAATGTTGTAGATGGATTTCAATAATTCAGAGGCATTCAATTCGCTCGAAATGATGGGATTCAACATGTGTTGCTGTTGTTGCATCTGAAGTTTCTCTTTCGTCTTGTATTCTCTACGACTCAAGAGAAGCTTCTCCAGCAGAGTATCCATCACTGGGTCTTGCTGCGTTGTTTTGGTATCTACAATACACAGTGAGTAGGCCGCTTTATAAGCTGTGGATTTGAGATACTTACAGTCACTCATGGCAACCCCTTTCCCTTTGCTTTGGATGCCATTGCGAGCCTGATTCCTGCGTTCTGCATCATATTTCTTTTGTGCTTCGATGCGTTCCTGTTTCTGCTTGATCATTGCCAAATCATTGGAACATTTCTACATCAATATGCTAATCAGTATCCATCATGATGCCGATCTGTAGCCTATTTTTACCTGCCAGTTATCGACAAAGACATGGAAGATGCTGAAAAACTCGTTTAGTTGTGTCTTGTCTGCATTTTCACCGTAAAACAAGACAACCTTCTCAAACGAGGACTCTGATTCCACTTGAAGCTTCTCGACTTGGTCAAACTTGCTCTGGGCCTCTTTTTGAAATTGCTTCATGGTCTGTGTGAATGCATCATCGCTTGACAGTGCGTCAAGTTGCTTTAGACCCTTTTTGATGGTTGCAAAGTTGCTTGTCATCTCAGTTTTGTTCGCTGATGTTGATAACATGGCGTTAGAATGGTAAGATGCTGGTCAAATCGGCAACCTGATTTTACCTTTACAGGCCTCCTCCGTGTCCTTCAATTCATCCAGAAACCCAAGTATCTTGGGAAACTTGCCTTCCACGGTTTCTACAAGGAAATGCAGCAATGTCGTTGACGTGTTTCCTTTGGTATCAATGAGCTATTCATATGGTATGCTTGAGCATGTTGCATTTGACATTTATTTGCTAATGCTTACCTTGTTGATACTGGAGATCTTGATGCCGGACGCACCTCCACGAGTCGTGTTTCCATTCATGTAGTTTCCTAGCACTAGCACCATTTGCAGTAGCTGTTTGAACCGCTTGGCATTCTTTAGGGCATTGGATGCTGCAATAATGCATTTGAAATCCTAGTTTTGAAAGAGTTAATACAGCCATACGTGCAGCGTGGTATAAAGCCAACCTTTTCCAGTTGACTGATAGTGTCCCAAAAGGTAGTCTTGAACAATAGACATTCAGCACGATGCTTGAATTGGGGAATTTTGATCATTTCCAATGACAGTCTATCTGGCAGAGATAGTTTCTCTATATCAGAGGACTCTGCATAACGCTTCAGTTTGCCAGCTTCTTCCATTGCAGGCGCAAAACGAATCAAATTCTCCAAGACATGCTCCTCCAAGACAGGCGATTGATCAGTCATGTATTGATTCAACAGCTGCATTTGGAAATCCTTGGGTAGGCTGGTCAAGAAGATGCTCATGTTGTAGGCTTTGCGGGAGTCCAGCAATTCTACCACATCTGCCTTCTTTTTGCGCTTACTGAGATCTGCTGCCGGCTTTTGTGCAAAAGTTTTCTCAATAGAGGTAAACACATCTGCTTTCGAGAGTTTGGAAACAAGAGATTGACTATCAAACAATAGGGTGTCATCATCGTCAGAGGGCTCTTCGTCCTCTTCTTGTTCGTCCTCTAAATGATCCCAAATGGTTTCTCCAAGCTGGCGACGATGGATCTTGTCCCAATTGACAAGCTTGAGCTTTTGTTGAGATTGGTGTTGTGAAAGACTGTTGGTCGCAGCGTTGAGCGGCGGAGGTGGGGGAAGAGAGCTAGGCCCTGACGAAGGAGGAGGTGGAGGAGGAGGAGGAAGAGGGCCAGATCCGCTCAATGGTGGGGGAGGCGGAGGTGGAGGCACGCCATTTGTTAAAGGCGGTGGAGAAGGTGGGGGCGGTGGCCCATTTGACACAGATGGTGGCAATGGTGGGGGCGGCGGCGGAGGAGGAGGGCCCATGCTCCCTGGCATTGGTGGTGGAGGAGGGGGTGGTGGAGGCGACGGTGAATTAGTAGCACTTTTCATCACTGGCGGTGAAGGAGGTGGTGGTGGTGGTGGCGGTGGAATAGTCGTTGCATTGCTTGACTGGTCCTCAGAATCAAAGGATGTCAAATCTATAGGCTCCAAAAGATTCAATTCAGGCAGCAACTGCAGTTTTGGTGTTGTTGGAGGTGTTGCGTGTTCGTTTTCCTTGGGAGCATTGATGGTCTCGACAGGAGTAACTTTTCTGATTGGCGGCAGTGGCTTCTTCTTTTTCTTTGGCTTGTCTAGCTGATCCTCGATGCTTTTACTGATTTTTGATTTGATCGTTTCGAATGATTCGCTGGAATCATGGCGGCCACTGCTTTTAGCGACTAGGATGCATACAGTTTGATACAGTCTTTTTATCTGATTATCCATCGTCTCCAGCGTCCTTTTGTGTTCCATTTCAATACCATTCAGCCTCTGCTGCAAGACTGAATTTGTTTGATTGGCGACGCGCAAACTTCTCTCCAATGCCTCGTTTTTTATTCTATATTTTCCAACCAAACCGTCTAGAGAGGAAACAATCAGAATAGTGTCTATGACTACTGTCATTTGCATAAATAACAATGTACCTGCTTTCAAATCAATTTGTAATAGGAGGGCTGCTTCTCGTTCGAGCGCCCTGGAAGCCATCTCTCTCGCTTCGTCCACCTCTTGCAAGGCAGCCTCCAATTCATCCTCTTCTGCAAATTTCGAAATCAAGTTCTTTACCGTCATACCATACGTAGCAGAAAAATTGTTGGACATGCCCTTTCTGTCCAAGGTGATTTGCGAAACAAAATGCTCGACCAGCTGATAGTACCGATTCTTTGTCTCCGAGTCGCATTGTATTAATAGCAGATGTTGTAAGATTGTTTGAAGGTAGTCATAGGCTCTCGTTCCGTTAATGGATGCCAGGATTTTGTCCAGTATCTCAGTGGGTTCTGTGCTGTCTCCCAATACCATGTGTGCAATCATATCACTGTCTTCCAACTCTTTAAACTCTTCTAGCTTCGAAGTCATCAGTTCATTGTCGAATGATTGCATCTTGTCAAATATCGCTGCTAATCCTCCTTGATAAAGCTGATTTCGAAGTGTGATTCTAGTTTCTCGTTCGTCAATCGTATCTGGCTCGGTAATTGCAAGAATCAACAAAAGGTTTGCCAGCTAGTGTCAATGTTACAGTTAGCTTCCTTTCTCTAATGTCGGCATGCAGTGTCCTTGATACTTTACAGCGTGCTCTACCACTGGCATATCCGTGCTTCCTTTGGATGCTATTTGCTTTACGTCGCTGCTGGCTCCAACAATAGATCCCATTTTACCTCTCCCATCAAGCACAGCGCTCAGAGTCTTTAACCAAGGATCAAATCTGCCATAGTTCTTTTGGGATTCCTTCAATTTGTCCATACCCTGCATCACCAAGGCGTGTCCCTTTGGTTGCTCAAAGTAACACATGAATGTCAGTGCATCACAGACAAGTCGTTGTATAGGTAACGAAGGCGACACAATGGATTGTGTCAATGTGATGATGTAAAATGGGTCGCTCATCACTTGTTGGATGCCGTACTACAAATGGATTCCAGTTAGACAATGCTTGAATAACTTTTGTATCGTGGTATTACATAGTTGTTGAACAAAAGCCGTAGACATTTAATGATTTCTAGTTCGAGTTGGCATTCTCTTTGATTTCTATAGTAAAGCGTCAAAAGGCAGGCACTTTTTTTTTTTTTTTTTTTTTTTTTTTTACGTGTAGAAGAACACACCTTTGACTGATTCTATTGATGTGAGATAATTCTTCAAACAGTGTCTTGATGCCATTTGCTTCGATGAATTCTTGAGCCCATCTGTGTAAACCATGAGTGAGTAGTGTGATCCCGTTTTCATTGCAAGAAATGTACCTGACTGGCATCGTTCTCAGTCTGACGGATAGATCGGATACTATCTTTGACCTCACTTCCAGCTTTGCGTCTCTTTTCTGAAGGGTATCGATATAGTACATTGGTGTGAGCAGATAATCGCTCGCATGGGTTTCTGACATGGTTCCAGCCACTGCATTTGAGCTGCCATTGCCATTGTTGCTGGTATGATGTGGTGTAATCGAACTTCGACTGTTTGGGTTCTTCTTTCCAATGACTGTGCCCATGGATGTCAATGCACTTTCATTGCAGAGAATAAACCACTTTTTATCTGGTGTTAGCTCTCGTACACTGGCATCGTTTGTATTGATATTCAATCGAGACTATTTAGATACGGCGTGTGTCAATAGTTACATGAATACAAGTCCAATGCACGATAGTCGCTTACGGCTGCTTTCTCGAATAATCTGTCAATCTCTTGATTTGATGGCTTGTCCTTGAGACTACGGCTGTCCAAACCGGTTGATGTGGAACTGGATACTGAAGACGCTATCGATGCAGTGGAATCTAAGGGGGTTTATACACTGTAAATTTGCTGACTGAATCCTTCAAATGTCCTTATAGACTTACGCCTGTGAGATGCTTTGTAGTCTAATGATTGCTTCTTTTTGGTTCTGAAGATTGCCATAATGTTAAAGAATGAAAAGAAAGGGGATATGTAAATGTAAATTGAGCAATTATTGTAACTGCCTCTTGCCTAATATGGCAGATATGAAAACAAAAGGTTCCTTTAAATGGGCCTACATGAATACAGGCCATCTAGAGCGCCTCCCGTCGTCACTGTTTTTAAGGCAAATTTATTGCAGTCTATGCGAAATCACCAACAAGCATCACACTCATTGTGCTTTGCAACTTGCATTAGGTAGCCACTTGCATTAGGTAGCCACTTGCAAGATGCTTTGATTATCTCGACAAGTGTCCTATCAAGTCAATCGGGATCTCAACGGATGGAAAAGATTTCTTGCTCATGTTCATGTTCAGATGATCCCCTGCGTGATAACAATCATTTCGCAAGGTATTCAGATGGGATGACTGCAAATGTATTCATAGTAACCTGGACATGTCAAACCTTCTTTTATTTACTATAGCAACAAATGGTATGAACCCAAAAGTGGTTTATGCACAACTGTTACGTATCACAAGTTTTTTTTTCCATCATCATGCGAACTAAATTCATATGGTGAAAAATGTGGAAAAAAGCAAAACGAAAAAAAAAAAATCAGAAACCCCATCAAGCAAAGATTACAGTGACTCCATCGCACAAGATATGGTTGATACTCACAAGTGATGCGAGACCAACCACTTTGCCCAAAAGCTGGTAGCAAGCGATTTTCTCGGGAATAGATTAATAAGGCATGAAAGATCCATCAAATAGTTTCTGATATAGCTATAAATAACCCTTAAAAACCCAATTTAACCCAACTGCGATATACACCTCATTGGCTTGATCATTCCTCAATAAAAACCCGGAAGATTGACCCGCCTTCAAGATTTTTCTTTTTCCTTTCTTTCTCATTCTTCTCTCTTCATAGTATCTCGTATCTAGAAAATGCTCACAAAGAAACACGCCTTGGACGACGATTTTGAATCGTCTCGAAACGTAAAAATCGAAAGCAATGTGGACTATCTCTCGTACAAATTTGATGAAATGGACCTTGCGGCATCCTGGCGCATGTTGACAAAGCAAAAGTTAACTATTGTGAATGGTATTCGACTTGAAAATGCGTCTTGGAGGACATGGGCTAAACAGAGGAACAACCTCAAGACTGTGAGTCCAGATACATTGAATTGGTAATTTTTATGCATTTTTGCTGAGGAATTCATTTAATCAAACAACGTTGGAATTACAGGCTGAAGGATAGCGATGTCACTTGGCTGTATGGCCCTCTGAACATTGTCATTAAAAACATGGACGAAGAAGATCGTTACGCCAAGCCGAAAGTATCTACGACCGAAGATACCTATGGCTTAATGACCTCTCCTCCACCACCACCATCATCAGCTGCAGCAGCATCACAATCTCAACCTGTGACTAATGATCATCGAGATAGTGAATCTGTGGAAGCAAGCTCAGTACCACCTAAACAATCACTTTTATCTAGTCCACTGGCAGACACTCCATCCTCTGTCTCGCCAGCCAGCATGTCGTCTGCACAAGCGCCGAAACCGCTCAAATCTGCCTTGAAGAAAGTGACCATGTCAGATTTATTAAAGAGATCTGCCTCAGAATTACAAATCAACAACAATCTATCCAGCAATATTTCTATATCAGAAGCTAACGAGCAACTTGGTGCATTCTCGCCTGCCGTTATCGCCAGCCATAGACAGCCTAAATTACGATTCAACCAGTATGTCGAGCAATGTGTCGCATTATCTTCGAATCCAATGAACAAAAAGAAGACATCTCGTGTGAGAATGGCTAATATGGATGATGTCATGGATAATGATGAAGCAACAGAAGACGAAGACGGCACGACAACTGAGGAAGATTATGATCCGGATGATTCAGATGGAGGCAGTGTTATCATGATGCGTTCTTCCAAACCCCACAAGCTGAGATCCTCTATCAAGAAAATCGAGCCAGCACTGCTGAAAACCAATTCCAGATCTGACCACGACTCTGTCGCTTCTGATGATTCATCATCGGATGAAGACAGCATCATGCTGATGCCCTCCAGTAGCAAAGGCCATAGAACAAGCCGCTATCATTACAAGCAGGCTCCCATTGATGCAGAAACATGGGATGCAGAGAGTGCTGAATCAGATGCGTTTGTGAAGCATATCATCAATGCATCAAAGGGCAAACGGCCCATCACCAAAGACCCAGCAGCAGATAGGATACCAGTAGAGTCAGTCGCTTATGATACAGATGTGGTAGATGTCATGCAGCCAAAGTCGGATTATGATTATGAATTTGATGATGACGACTGGGATTCACATAGCGAGCACATGGAAGACGGACCATCCGCATTCAGTACTCCAGAATTTTATACGCCTGTTGCACCAGCGCCTCCTGTTGGATGTCAAATTGCCAAAGCACCAGCAAACAATCAATCTGTATTACAGACTGTGAGACCAAAGGTGGAAAGAAGCCTGAGTGACACAAAGGCATCCGACGAAATACAGCAGCAATATGACAACAACCATAGCGGAAGCAATGTGAGTAGTAGCAACAGCAGTAACAGCTCGCTTTTCAGTAGCATTGCACATTGGGCATCTTCTCATCTTTGGCCAGCCGACGATTCGAAAAGATGAATAGATTTCGAGAGGCAAATTTACCTTAAAGCTTAATATATAAGTCATACATAGTTTCACTCTTGTCAAGGCAACAAAGTCATCCATCAATGAGACACATTTCATATAGCATTTGTACAGCAAGATATCTCTTTCAATTCAATAAAAAAAAGCCCTCATTTTACCTTTTCTTGGTACAGTCACAGGCGTTAGACAACTTGTTCTTGTGAAGGCACAGTTCGTTTGCTTCTTTCTCTATAAATGGCATCTTCCACAAGCAAATCAAGACATTCACCTTCACCATCACGTCATAGGTCTAGACGTTCACCTTCTCCTCATGATAGAACTAGTCGAAAAAGACACGACAGTCGATCTAGATCTCCCAAACGTAATGAAAGCTCTTCGTCAAGGCGTCATCATGAGAAGAGTAAACGTCGATCCTCAAGAAGCCCTGATGACTCTAGACATTCTCGCCATAGAAGCCGCAGACATCATGATAGAAGAAGCAGTCGACGCTCTCGCTCTGTGAGCTCAGACTCATCACACGCTTCCTCATCATCAGATCCATCAACCTATGAAAGAAGGAGCAGAGAACATAAGAAGCATAGAAAAGACAGAAAGCACAAGAAATCAAAGGTAGGTACACGAGCCCTGCTTATGACAATAGACATTGACAGCTACGATAGAAGAAATCAAAGAGCAAATCGTCGTCGGTTGGTGACCAATGGGGCAAGTATGGCATCATTCATGAAGCAGAGTAAGTTGAAATGTATGCAACGCTGACAGTAGATTAATCGTCTATGTGATAGTTTGTTCACAAAAGAAGCAGTGAGTTGCTAATGCGGCGTTATGGATACGCCTTGCGAGCAAAGCAAAACTGATCGTCTAATCAATAGGAATTTCAAGCTTGGTTGATTGAGGTCAAACATGCAAATGTTGAGACACTAAACAACATTAAACGAAAGGAAATGTTTAATGATTTCATGGAGGATTACAATACAGCGACAATGCCTCATGAAAAGTAAGTGTATTCAAACAATGACATTTCGGACAAATGTTGATAGCGATCCATTCAGGTTTTACAATTTACAACAGTGGGAGAGACGTCAAGAGGCTATTCGCATGGGCGAGAAGCCTATGCCGACTGGAGACTTTTTCGATTTCAAAAATGATGAGGAAAAATTAAAGTGGGTTGAGGCCATAGTCTGTTGATATGGATGTTGGATATTCATGGATGCTTGTGGTTTTATAGGATGCAACACCGTCAAGCTGCAAGAGCTGCCGCATCTCGCCAACCAACTCTCAAGTTGTCTGAAGAGCAAATCAAGGAGCTGACGCGAGTCAACAGAGAAAGAATCGAAGCAGACCGTATGCGTAAAATGGGGTTGAAGCCGAAAGAAAGTATGGGTGTACGTTACGAGGAAGAAAACGATTGAAATAACTCTTGTGATCTTGAACAAATGTCAATAAAGGCTCTATGTTGCTGATGAACATCGCTATTCATTCTTTATGGCTGAATGATGATGGGAGACATTCCATTGCTTGGATTGGCAATTTGTGTAGGGTTTGATGCCTGAAGTTTTAATCCTATCGATTCTGGATTGATCCGTCAATGTCTGTCATAACCCACGACAGTATGACTCACATTACATTCAGAATTCAAACAACAAAATCAGTATATAAAGCGCTTTCCTGGACACGTAGTGCACATCAATGAAAGCATTTGTTGCATTTATTTTATATACAAGTGCTTTCATCGATCTCACCCATACACGTGTCATCTAATTCTGTTTGCTGGTATAATGTTTACTAGCCGATTTATCTCGCTACACTCAATGTCGGCTCTCGCCAAAGACATTTTACTATATCAAGTAGATTTTACACAATCAATTATTCGTTAGTAAAAGAAAGGTTGTATCAGGGCCAGGAGGTGGAGGAGAGGAGACATCTCTCTCGGCATCCTTTCTGCTTATACACTGATATCAAACGAAGCCTATTATTGAGGCAATGTGAAAGAAAATCAAGTTTTATGCAGCAGTTTCACACCACAATCTCCATTCTCTGATAGTAGAGTTGTCATACCATTCGCTGCTGTTGCTGCTGCTCTTAAGATGGCGACAAAAAGCTGGTCATGCGCAAATATAGGACTTGTGTAAGATCTCTAACGAATTTTTTGAAATATAACAATTCCAAAGGACCCCTTTAATTGTCTCTTCAACCCCATTGTCCTCATTTAATCAGCACCGCAACCATTATTGTCATCATCAGAAAGGTATTTGAGCCAGCTAGCAGCGCCGCTGCCGCCGCCAAAACTATTTCAAACTCAGTTTATTTTTTCTCTGCTCAAGATTGGCCAAACTTTGTCTTTTGCCGATTTCTTTAATCTATTTTACGATAGTCGACTATACAAATTGTGATGAACACACGATGCTTTTTAATATATCCTAAGAGTACTTTTCAAGGCGCTTCCAATGGTGACAAGTAAAATAGATGTTTTAACTGAACTTATTGAGCAATTTTATAAAATATGAAATGGAGTTCTTGGCCAAAGTGTCGAAATTTTGCATATGAAAGTCTCATACAAGTGGTTTCAGAGGTTGCTTTGGATCGAGGGAAACATTTTGATTCAATATATACCATAGTAAATGTCTTCGTTTTCAAGATGAAAAATGCGATCGTTTGATTGTCGTCAAAAACCATGAGGTACCCCTCATGCTTTTTGGTCGATTTTTGGCCATGTTTTTTTTTGGCCGAAAAAGTTGAGCAAACGTGTCAGAAAGTTACTACTACTCGAGTAAAATTGCTTGGTGTTCTTCCGGCGGCTCAGGAAGGTCTACATGTCAAGATATGAAGGCTTGAAATCTGTCAAATTTAGTTGAATTTTTGCTTTATGGCTTTTATTTACACGGCATGGATCATATCCTTGGTAGCTGAAATCTTCTGGTAGGGCAGTTCTGCAGCCTATGCAACTTCTAATTCGAATAGGAGACATATTGATTTTGGTAAGACCAATTCATGCAAACTTTGATACGATATTTTGTTGGTAAGCTTGATAATAATGGAAATAGAAACCAAGTTTGCTACTTGAACATTATGGTTTTTACGCTCTTGCTTGGCTACGGTAAACCCCATTAAAACTAATATTACCAAATACTAAACTAGACGCAATCTCGCTACACTCGACGATGATACCGCCCTGCAGGCTGTCGCCGTACACATTTCAAATCAGTAATAATAAAAATCAGCTATATAAGTAGATTTTAGACAATCAACTAGTAATTTAGGGAATGAGAAATCAAATTTACTGGTTGAATACTATGGCTTTACACCTTCTCTTTGCTGTGGCCAAGCCCTCATATAGATCAATGTTTCCAAGTGTTGGATTAGACGCCTGATTACCATGGGTTTGCACTTTTGCTTCGCTGCAGTAAAACCCCTATAAATCAATGCTATCAAGTGATGAATTAGATGCATTATTGTGTTCTTGGTAGAGGGGCTAAGCCCTTCCCCATTGTCGGCTTTTCCAGTGGTTTTATTCACCTTTGTCCAGCTCCCAATTCTTCAGAATTCCATTTGAAAGAATGTGGTTGCCTTGTCTATTTTTTTTAAACAAAGTTTTCCAGTATATAGTGAAGATAATGCATATTGTGTAATAAATACTGCCTCGGTAATAAGCGCCTATATCAGTGATGCCAACGCCCATTCTGTTGGTGCACCAGTCCTGATCACTACACAATCATTGTGTTCACAAACAAAATGAAGAGAACTAGACACTACGTACACTGCATTTTAGAAATTTTGCAAAAATGCGCGGTCGGGGAATCGAACCCCGGCCCTTCGCGTGGCAGGCGAAGATTATACCACTTAACCAACCGCGCTCCTATATCTTTGTCGTCTTAATAGATAGATCCAATGGTAGGAGTTAACAAATAACTTAGAGTGTAACTAATAGATTGAGATTATGTTCGAAGATGCTGTTTATTGAATGCATTTACAACTTATATTTATACTATTTCTGCGATCGATAACTACTTAATCAATAGAACTTTCGAGTAGATATAATACTTGATATAGCAACTGATAATCAGATCAATGTCTGCTGCTATCAGTTTCCAGAACCTTCGAGTATACGCTGGCGCCTTTTAGTCGCTTTCTTCAAATCTGGCTTGAATCCAAATTTAGGCACGACAGTTTTTAGAATCCGTTATTATATTATAACAATAAGTAGAGTTTCAAAAAAAAAATATGAAATACTGTAGGGGGAAAAACTGTCCCGTTCGTTCAAATAATCTTGACTTTTATCTAGTATATTGCCAAGACTCAAAAAGAAAATCCCTCCCATACTGTGTTCGACAGAACAGCTAACAGAAATTACAGCAACATAAAAAACTTATGGTTGGACTATATTTTAATCCCAGTATAACCAGCCAAAGTGGGAAGTGTCAAGAATGTTAGGTGGGTAATTCTAGATGATATAAAATGGTTGATATCTTTACTTCCCATAAACGTATCGAAGAGATCTAAAAAAACACCCGCGGTATGCTCAGGATATTTAATACCCGAGGAGCATTTTAAAAGTATAAAAGAAGGTAGTTTTTTCATATTTTTTCTTTATTTCTTTGCTTTCTTATTTTTTTCAAAACTTTCATTATACCTGCTCGTTTAACACAATCAAGATTTGCGCAACACTCTCAAATCTTTGCTCTAACGTGGTCTTTCGTTTTCAAAGATAAAAAATATGTATCCAGGAGTCGGTAACTGTACTCTTACAAGGCTCAGAGAAGTCTATTGCCCTGATCTAGCTATACCTGTTGGCGGAAGACCGAAAAAACTTGGTGCTAAAACTATGTCCCTAGTGTCAAGAGGACTTCGATCAGGTACTTTAGATAGTCCCGGAACAGCGCAAAAAAGTTCAAGATTGATGGGTCAAGATATGTCAATTACTGGCATCCGCAAGTCATTGAGAAGAAATGGTCTTAAATCTCGAAGAAAAGCAAAGATCAATTTTGTTAGCAAGACAAACAAGCGGCTTCGATTGGCGTGGGCTAAAAAGCATAGGCATCTTACTATTGCTGTTTGGTGTTGTTCAGTGTTTTCGGATGAAACAAAAGTAAACCTTTGGGGCTCAGATGGTAATTCGTTTTACTGGACGAATGGTGGCCGAACCATGCAGCGGTATCAAGTCAAGTCTTAGGTGCAGAGAAATGACGGTGGAGTCAAGTTCTGCAGTTGCGTAACAGCAGAGGGGGGTCTGGTTATGGTACTACCATTATCGAAGGCTCAACAAACTCGGGCTTGTATGTCGATATTTTGACGACATCATTGGACGACACTCTTGAGTACTTTGGGAAGATACGGTCTGGTATGCGTTTTCAACAAGACAAAGCAACACCGCATACCTCGGGCATTACTAAGCGATGGCTCACCGACAACGGGCTCAACCTAAACAGAATTACGAACTGTCCAATCCAAAGTCCCGATCTTAGTCCCATTGAACATGTATGGCATCTCCTAAAGCTTCGTCTTAATAAGTGTTCCACTAGATATAGACCCTCTACAAAAGAAGAACTAGAGCGGCGTATTAATATAGAATGGTACAAAATAACAGAAAAAAAGTGCCAAAAATATATTGATAGTATGCCTGCCCAAATCAAGGCTGTCATCAAGAGCAAAGGTGGTTCAACTCACTATTAATGATTTTATAATAAAATGTACATTTTTCTATATTTATTTTTTACACAATAAAATCATTCAATTTTAGTTTTTGAAAAAGTTATGATTTTGTATACAGAGCACTACTTTCATTCAAACGATATATATCTCGACTTTGTATACAAAGAAATGACTAAAAACTAATGCATAAAGACAAATTTTTAAACGAACGGGACAGTTTTTCCCCCTACAGTAGTTGTATTTACTCTGTCAATATTTCGTTATTCTAAACAGCATGAAAATGAATGAGTGCTATTTGATGAGTTTTGGTTTTCAATCAAGTTGCGTTTGGATGGCTATTTTATTACAAACTCCATTCAATACAAAATCAAACTACACCATCGTTTTTCTCTCTATAGATTTCTATACAAGCTGGCTACTTTCAAAGCGAACTTCAAAGAGAAATTCAACTGTTGTAACAACAACGTGAACAATACTGTGTTAACGTAGATCCTACACTGTATAACCTGCCCACCACATTATAAATTTAAAAGACACTTTCCATATTAAACTGTGTAATGGATGCCAGATTCAACAAATGCATCTTATTAACTTCTTGCCATTGAATAAGGAACTTGAATTGTATCTACGGTGTTGTGCCAGAAGGGCTACAACTGTCTATAAAGATTAAGGTATTCTTGATGGGTAGATATGTCTGTGTTGTGCAACAACATGGACAAGCTATGATAAGTGAAGTGCATCTCAGCTATCTAAATACTGAGGTTCACCAGATGTGATAAGCGTTGTACAAGATAAATTGCTACTTTGGCATTCAGAACTTAGTATAAATAGAATAACTCTTGTCTTCATCAATAAATCTTTAGTTTTTGTGTCTGATCTTATTCAAATAAGTCTTTTCTTGTTTTTATAATATCGAACATCTTTTATAAGCTACAAATAATAATCCTTTTATTCTTTGTGCTTAACATACGGTATTTGGATACCCTTTTATTACAAACAAAAAATCATGGTAATAAATGACAGATCAATGGGAAATCAACTAGTTATAACCCTTTGGTCCCTGAACCTTTCAGCCAATCAAATAGCTCCAAAACTCCGCTGACCTAAAAAAAATTTTGCGAGGGTTTCCCCCTGTTTTGATGTGAGGCAAAATTTTAAGCTCCGCTATAGCAATATAGCTGTTACTATCATCAAATTTCCCCCAGGTGCTAGAGCATGCCTTACTTACACCACCTAACTTGAAATTCAGGCATTGAGACCCTCAATCATCACTAAAGTAAGTAGCAATAACCAAGTGAAGGCAGCCTATCCACCTCCTAGCCTCGGATAGAGTCTTGTTGAGCTTCAGGGATAGGCACATCCACACAACGTAAAAATGGTATGCTTCAAAGGAACATAATGAAAGAAAGAAAAGGAAGAAAAGAACATGCTACAGTAGTACTACAGGAGTAGTACAGTAGTATGCAGACAAAAAGGGACACTCACACAGAGTAAGTCAAAGAAAAGCATCAAAAATACAACATCAAAAAATGTTGAAAATAGCTCGCTGTTGTTGCAACAAAAATGCATACATGAGTAACTTGCATGATAATAGTCTGTTGCAAAGGGACACAAACACACACAGTTGCATGAACAATAGTAGTATAAGTGTGTAATGCAACATAATGACTAATGTTGTTTCATGTGAAGCGACAGAGGCAACACAAACAACAATCCACAGCCATATAACAAAGTAGTATTACAAAGGCAATACAGATATATAGCAGCAAATCATACTTGCTGTTCGTACATACGAAGCAACAACATAGCAAGCATCCGCTGAGCTGATCATATCACAGCCAACGAAAGAAAAAAAGCGTAACAAAGCAAAGATCATGAATGCATTATCATGAGAAAGGAAGCAACAATAAAAGCGTCCAGAGAAGCTTTATATCATTGAGACCAGAAGAAAAAAGTTACCACTTACCATAGCCACGGATACACCAGAGAATAGGTAATCACTAGAGATAGACCAGAGAACAAGAAGTATACAACAGAGACAGCAGACCAAGAAAGACCAGACTAGCAGTAGCAACAATACCAGCAGCAACAACAGCAGCAGCATAGAAAAATCGAAGAGCGAGCGACACCAGAAACCAGACAAAGATCAAAGCAACCATTAGACATGACAAACAAAAGAAGCAGACAACAGAGACAGCAGAGAAGTAATGGCAACAGCACCCACGTCAAACAGGCAAAAAAAAAATTATCGAAGCGTAATAAACAAATTCGATTAGTGCTGATTCTACGTCTTCTAGTGCCCGTTATCGAATGGTACCTACTATATTCCACTTCAAAAAAAGCGGCATCAAGTTTTTGCAACAGTACAAGACAGAGCTATCGAAAGCTAGAGTGTTATTATCAATTAAACGGTGTCCAAAACCACCATGGTTTGATACTAAAACGCGTTTTGCAAAAAGGGTAAAAAACTGTGGTATGGAAAAATGAGAGGGCGCTCTACCCGACGTCACGGCCAGTAGATTTGGTCTCAGCCTTCTGCCGTGATGGCAGCCGCAACTGCTGCATTTTAATTTGAAATTGTGCAGTGGGTATTTTCGTGTTCAAATTTGACTTGATCTAACATTCTTTGAACGTTTTTGCTAAATTTGATTATGGAAAATGTCGCTATAATACTTTACTTTCTAATACATTTATAAAGAGTCAATAAAGGCGCATCGAATGATGCTGAATACATTCAACTTTCAGACCAAAAATAATAAGTAATTCCCAAAAATATGGAAACAAGTTTTCTGTGAATATGTCAAAATTTAGCATATAGAAGTCTCATAGAAAGAGTTTTCAAAGTTGCATTTTGTCTTTACGATCAATTTGATCTAATATGTATTATAGGAAAAGTCTTTCCTTTTGACGTGAAAACGCGATCGTTTGATTTTCAAGAATTTTCACTTGCATATACTCATGTGAAAATGAGGATTTTTCATGAATTTGCAATGACCCAAAATAATTTGAGAAAAAGCACCAAAAAGTAAAGCGTGGCCAAGAGAAGGCGTGTGGTGCTATTCCAAGCGCTCAAAACTCTTTGTGGCATGAGTTATTCGTGCTTGAAAATGGCTAGATTTGAACAGAATTCGACCTAAAACAACAGCGAAGTGGATTGCACTGCCAAAAGAGTAAATAAATTACGCTTCTGTCTGATGACCCAGATGTTCTGCGTCGTACAGAACTCAATTTCCAAGTAATAGGCGCTTTTATTTTAATTGCAAGGCTCAGACCTTGCTTTTTCAAATGCACAGTTACAGTAACTTTGACACTTGAGCGTCAATAATTATATGCAAATTTGAAGCTAATGACTTGCTCGGATTGAATCAGGTGCTCATCATGTTAGCAGGATATTTTTGATGGTCGTCCACTACAAAGGTGCCATATCTAGCCGTAGAACTAGACTTATAGTCTATGCACAATGTTAAACACTCATATTTAAGGAGAAATAGCTGTTACTGGACACACTAATAAGTCGGCTTTAGCACGATGGGTGGGGACAAACAATGAAATCACGTACCAAAATGGACTGAACAGAAATTCATGATACCTACTGATGCATTCCATGCCATGATTCATCTGTAATGAAAAAGCCACCCAAACGCAACTTGATTGAAAACCAAAATTCATCAAATAGCACTCATTCAAATTCATGCTATATGAGTCTATTAATAAAGCACTCAAATGTACATCAACAACCATTTAAACATACTAAAGTAAAGATGCATGCTTATACACTATTTTCAGAAATTATTGGGACATTTTTAAAAAAAATTGGTACTAATTCTGAATAAATATTGGGTCTATTTATAATTAAATTTGGGACAAATCTTGAACTATTTTGGAACACTTGCCTAATTAATATTGGGACACTTTTCGAAATTATAATGAGACAAAACTAAATGGGATTTGAGATGAAATCATAGTCGCTTTCTTCGTTATTCATAAAATGTCAGATATCAGAATTTACTACGAAGACGGAATAAATGCTCCAGTCGATGGGCATGGAAACGAAGCTGTTGAAATGGATGTAGACAACGAAGCCTTCCCTCTCGGTGACATTACCAACTACAATACTTATGTTGATAGGAAGCCACCTGAAAGAGAATTGACCGCACTAAAAGAGAAAAAGATTAAAAATAAGAAAAATGTGCCCAAGACTGAATATAACAGCTACACAGACAAAGACAAGGCAAGATTTTTTATCCTTATCTACGACCATGGCATGAATCCTAATCAAGCTTGGAAAGCGCACGGCCATATATCAAGAACAACCGCTTACAGATGGTACGCAAAGGATCAAAAAAAGGTTAACAAAGAAATTGAGGACGATGAAGAGCCAGTTAAGAGAGCAGGTCGACCAAAGATTTTGAACGAAGACCATACGAAGCACCTAAAACTAGAATTTGAAGATAATCCATCAGTAACAATCGAACAAGCTCATGAGAGTCTTGTTAAGGCTTTCTCGGGTTTGACTATCAGCCAAACGACTATTTACAACTACATGACCAATGATCTTGCCTTGACTTTCAAGAAAGCTCATTTCCATTCCAAAGAAAGAAACTCGCCTGAAAACATTCAAAACCGGTACGACTGGGTAGTCAAATGGAGCCAAACCGACATGGATTACATGTCCAACTGTGTTTTCATTGATGAGTCAGCTTTCCATATTAACTTGAAGCGAACAATGGCTTGGTCAGAGAAAGGAACTCGAGCTGAAGTGCCTGTACCTCAAACAAGAGCGAAAACTACCACTATTATTGGCGCAACTAGCGTATGGGGAGTGTTGAATGTTCAAGTGAGGTTGCCTGGAACATCCAACAAGAAAAGAAAGTTAGCTGGCACTTCTTCTGGAAAAGCAACAACAACTGTGGGTACTGTAACTGGCCACTACTTTAACTTTATTGCGAAAACGATTGATATCATGGACCAGCATGAGCAATTCAAAGATTTTTATCTTGTTATGGACAATGCACCCATCCATACAGCCAAGGATATCGAGAGGTATATCATTCAGCGAGGTTACAGATGTGTTTACCTCCCACCATACTCCCCTGAGCTTAATCCTATTGAGCAATTCTGGCATGTGGTCAAGAGTAAACTCAAGAGGGAGAGGCTCTTAAAAACTGAAACACTTTCGACCAGGATTACCGATGCATGCAATGATGTATTGTACAGTGATCTTGAAGGTTCTGCTCGCTACTCTGTTAAGAAATTCGATGTTTGTTTGGCGAAAGAGCCATTGTAATAAATGAATTTTACTTTCTCTGAAAATGTCTCAATGTTTTTTTATAAGTGTCCCAATATTAATTAGGCAAGTGTTCCAAAATAGTTCAAGATTTGTCCCAAATTTAATTATAAATAGACCCAATATTTATTCAGAATTAGTACCAATTTTTTTTAAAAATGTCCCAATAATTTCTGAAAATAGTGTATCGCACATCGTGTGAATGAATCACTCCTGATCACAGTGTATTCAATCACACCCATGATGGTCGTAATAAGTGATGTTATCTTTATCCTAATAAGATCAAATCAATAATAAGCATATTCAAATATAACAACTATGCCCTGCTGCCATAGTTGCATAATATCCCAGATAAAGAGCTCCATACTTCAATAACAAACATCACACTTTAAACCATCAAGGTTACATTAAGTCATGCTATGACAATAGCTCACCCAAGCCCATCAAGGTTACTCAAATCGACCCTTATGGCCAGTGCTCTTGCATTGATTACCACTTTAAATTAAACATCAACAACATTTGCCAGATATCGTCGCAATGGCAGCACCTATTGCATTCTATCATCACTAATCCTACAAGCTAGTTGCAAATGTATAAACACTCTTCTTTTTTTACTCAATTCCAGGATCTTCAGTTCATTTTATACACAAATAAAATACAGTTGATTTCTATTGTATTTTATTATTGCTTTATTTTTTGTGAGATCTATTAAACCTGATTTCACTGCAACATCCTCCTCATGCTAACACCGACTTAGCATGTTCCGTTTCAGTCATTTCTTCTTAATTATCAGCGTTCAACATCGTGGATAGACTTTAAGCCTACTTTTACGATTAAATATGGTATCTCTGCTGTGGACGACCATCAAGGGGGTCCCGCTGAGTTGACAAGCATCTTGATCAATCAGAGCAGGTTCCTAAACTCAAATTTGTATGGTATCACTGACGCTCAAGTTTTAAAATCACTGTATTCGAGCATCTCAAAATGATCTAATTTTTTAGAATAGTGAGTTTTACTTTTATAAGTACAGTATATGCTAATAGAACCGTGTGTTGCAATGGACAGAATTATTACGGATTCATAAGCATAGTCTGATAACAGCAGTATTTGTAAAGAACGTACTCCTCATAGCAGTGTCAACTTCATTATGTCCAAGAAGAAAAAGTAAGCATGGTATTTTAAAAACAGCGCCTGGAATACTTATCTAGAGAGATCATTACTCTAACGAATACTTGATATTAATGCAATATTGCACCTTACGAAATGTCAGCCAGAAGACGTATATCATACAAGATTTTTAACTATGTATTCATTTACCATATTAACAATTTGTGCCTTGCTTGGTTATAATATTATTAATCGCTGTCCTATTTAATGTCTATGCTGACACAGCACATTCAAAACTATATTGTGTTGGTATCCTTTAAGATTTCTTGCTTATAATAACCAGGATAATATCTTTATGCGAAAGACAGCTATATAGCATCTACATTTGCATCCACAATATCATTGATTTATTTAAATATGGCATAACTAATATGAAGGATGATAGAAACCAACTGATTTCCAGTAGTTCAAGTATCTACTAAACAGATCAGTATTAAGAACAGGCGATTGAGAAATGGTAGGCGTCAAAGCACAAGTCTTTTCTGTCTTCCATTCAGACATTTTGAAAGAATCCTTGAACGTCTCTTGGTAAAAAGACAAGAGACGGAAAGCAGGGTTGGTATCATCCTTGGCGAGCTCTTTGACCCATTCTGTAGGCTCAACAATGTCAAAGTTCATGCCAGACCTTTTCATCGCAGTAAGGACGTCGTTCCACTGGATTGAGTGAGGATTGACAATGTGGTAGATGGACTCATCTGTATTTGCAGGTAAATGATACGTTTTCATCATAACGTCAACAATAGAAGCTGCTGCAAAATCGCATGGAATCCAGTCGATTTGTGTGTTCAATCTGGGCATACACTTCATGATGGACCCACCACCGATAAACATGAGAGGGTATTGCTCAGACACGTTCCAAACGCCATTCACAGAGTCACCACAGACTTGACCAAGACGCTCGACGTAGCAAGGAAAGTTTTTTTCAGCTGTGAGGTAATTCAAAAGGATTTCAACCACAAATTTTGATTCTATAATGTTGATGTGTTAGCATTGTAATAGCAAGAGAGGTGGGTACAAACTCACGACTGTATCCGATGTTCATGGCAACATGAGAGTCCAAGGGTAAAGGTTCCTCCGCAATTACAGGCCCTGAAAGAGCGCTGGCAGAGACACTAGACACAAAGTGGACATGCATTGGGTTGACTTCATTGTAAGCAAACTTCAGTAGGTTGTAAAAGGGTTGAATGCATTCCTTGTCAAAGTGGTCAATTGGCATGTTAAAGTTGAGCAACCAAGCACAGTGTTGGACGATTGTTACCTCCTTCTTGAGTTGACGGTAACGCTGCTCAGTCAAACCAAGAAAAGGCTCATTGAAACGCATGGGCAAAACCTCCACACGGCTGGGTTCCAGCAACGATACATCCAGTGAACGAAGTGTAATGGCTTCGACGAGACGATCTCTCAGTTGATGCTCCTCACCACGAATACAGCAGTAAACCTTCCTTACAGTAGGATCCCGTAGCAATTCACGCAATATAAAAGACCCAACAGAGCCAGTGGCACCAGTCAATAACACCACCTTGGGCGTTGATTTATCATACTGATTGTTCGCACGGGAAAAATCTTTTTTGGCTTTTTTGATGTAGGATTCTGCCAATCTTTGAGTTTGATGGTATCGCTCTTCAGTCTGCTCTTGTCTGTCTTCTCCTTTGTTGCTCATCAGCGTTTTCACCATTGATTGAATGCTGTAATGCTGGTAGATAAAGTTGCTAGCTACATGATCAAAATATTCACAGACATGGTTTCGAAGCTGAATAGCATTGATAGAATTGAGGCCAAGGTGGAATAATGATTTCGGATGGTCCTCGATAACCGAGCGTGGAATATCCAAAACTTGTGCTGCACTGTCAATCAGGAAATCCTCAATTTGCTCAAAAGTCCAAGAAGATGTATCGACATTACCACTGCTGATAGCACGAGTTGTTGGTCCTTTCAAAAAGTCCTTGTACATCATTTCAACGGCGTCTTGATAAGCAACTTCAGCCTTTTTGCGCATGACTGTACCTTTGGCAGTGACCGGAAGCTCTTGACCTAATGGCAGGATTTTCACCATTTGAGGAAAGATCTTACTGTGGTTGGGGCATTCATTGTTTGCTTCTTTGACAGCATTATACACGGTCTTGTATATTTTCTCGTCAGAAGAACATTTTGCAAGTTCTGCATTCAATTGGATTAGAGCAGCAGTGCATTGACGGCCATGGCCGATAACAGCGACTTGCTCAACCATTGGACTCTGGCGAATAGTAGCCTCTATCGGCAAGGGGTTTGTCTTTTCACCATTTTCCATGACAAGAGTATCATCACGACGACCAATGTATGTATAATAACCAGGGAATTCAGTGCTTTCGATAAACAGATCTTGTGTACTATAGCCGCCATCAGCGCGATTGGCGATACGAGTGCCCAACATAGGACTACCGGCCTGGATGTAGAGATGCTTGATATTGGGTTCATTCTCATCGTTGGCCTCAAATACGCCGTAAGTTTGTCCTTGAGCATCTCGTTGAAACATTCGCAGAGATCCATAGTTTTTACTATTGCGATCTAGATTACAGGCCATCACCGTGTTGGTTTCTGTAGAGCCATACATGAGACGTACATTGACGTTATTTCCATGAAACCATTCAAATATCTCACGCTTCAATGAGGCACCTCCAGTAATTGCATATTTGAGTCTTTGTACAGCGGCAAATTTATTTGTTTGCTTGAGATGATGGGCCATCTGCTCATATATAATTGGAGGGGCAGCAAACATGGTGACATTATTATCAACAAAAGCTTTGAAAATTTCTTCTTGTGAGGCTGGTAGCTTTTCCAGAAACACCACACTGCCGCCATATGTGGTTGCTGAAAATATGGCAAACAGGCCAAAGGTATGAAAGCTGAACAAAAAAACCATTAGTGATACTCTTGAACTGATTCAATAAAGAGCAATTCTTACAGGGGCGTTATAGGAAGCAGAACATCCTCGGATGTCAAACTATCGAGCTTTTCGTTTGAATTAATCAGAATCTCAAAGGCATTGATGGTATGAAACATGTAATTGTTGCTGAATCCGACAGGTTTAGGATATGAAGTAGTGCCAGAGCTATATATGTAGTGCATTAATGGTACATCTAGCTTGCACTACACACATCATCCTTCTCACCTGTGAGTAATGACTGCAATTCTGTCGATATCTTCTTCAGAGAATTCAAAGTTTAGAAACTCGCAAAAGTGAGGATTTAAAGGTTGTTTCAAAAGGCTGTCAATGTCAAGAGGAGAGATGGCCATCAGATTGACATCAGCGACTTGTGCTGAAGCAGCTTTTCCGATAGACTCGTACTTTGCTTCAGTGATGAGGAGCTTTGATTCAGTTTTCTTAAGAAAGTCAATCACAGCAGCTTCAGAGTTTCGAGGTGAGATAGCAAACATGGGAACACGCAACTTGAGTAAGGCTAGCATAACAATTAGGTAATCGACATTGTGGTCACTGATAAAGGATACTACGTCTACGTCTTGCACGGTACAAGCGTATTTGGAAGCCAAGTTGATGGCCAGCCGATCAGTTTCTTTGTATGATAATGTTTTGAGTACACCGTTGGCATAGTAGCGAACAAACACTTTATCCGCATGAAGCTCTGTTTGCTGATTCATGTAGTTTGTAAAGGCCTTGAAATATTGAGGCACAGACTGACCTAAGGCAAAACTAACGCTGGCAGGTGCATTCAAGGCAGACATGATGAATAACTGATAAACTGGTTTGTATGTAAAATGCTATGAACGCAATTTATCCTTCCTTATATAAGTTTGTAAGAGTCGAGTACAGGTTACTACTGTTTACAAGCATATGTATGTGATCAGCACCGGAGGCCCTAATGAAGGTTGTTCCGTACATGTTATATGCATGCCAACAAATCTACAGTCGTAAGCCAAATGCTGAGTGATGGCACCTTATTTATCATACAACAGTGCTGCTGTATTGGAAACATGAACAAGGTCGCTTTTTGGCTAGCTGTGGAATGCAATGCTATTTATTCATGACAACTGTATGTCTGAGAGATGTGGCTTACTGTCTTTTTTGAGCTATAGAACACAAAAGTGTGAGAGGATAAAACTAAATCACACCAGTGAGAGATAAATAAGCTATTTGTTAATTATTTCTTGTTATGTAAGGATGCGCATCTGTTTATAATGTAGCTATTTTTATACTCTATTTAAAAAAGCCTTTTTTTTTTTACTAGCAATTTTTATCATTTCATGTGCTGTATTATCTGCTGAATGGCATTACCAAGCTGAATGCTATTACCAATGGCCTGAATGATTGTAGTTCCAGGTAATGCATATTAGTAAAAGTAAATTTTACAATCAACTAACGTAAACAGGGCTTAATTAGCGCCTCACTAGAGGAAACAGGCCTAATAGAAATTACAGCCTCGTATCACGATGATTGAGTAGCAATCAGTATCATATTTCAAAATAGCTATACTATGAAACAGCTTTTTTTTAGAGTTCATAAAAATCAGTACTAGTCTGACCTAAAAGTGGGACCATAGTGTGCGCGAAAAAGGAGTGCAATGTAGTATACATGTAGCACCCTATTTTGATCAACGCCAAATGGGATTGACAGGGTAACGCCTGATTTCCAAGCAATCAAACTTTAAATTAAAGCTTATTGCTACTGATGTTTTAAGATAGCCTGCTATCAAGTGAAGCTGAGAGCATGGCTGTTTGCATGTGCTGCATCTGTCCATATCATGTTTGTGAAATCAGAAACAGGTCTTGTGGTGAATAACATCAGATTGAATACCACGTATTCCATACTATGCTGATTTATTTTAAAGGGCATCTTATAACCAGCACTTTATTGTTGAAAAAATGGAATTTCTACATTTGCTTATTCATCATCTTCATTGCCAGCTTCATTTTCTTCATTGTCCCCTTCATCATCTTCATCATCTTCATCTTCATCCTCATCTTCTTCCCCGTCGTCATCGTCATGATCACCGTGATGCTTTTTACCTTTGTACTTGTAATAGTAGCATTTATAATTATCTTCATCATAGTTGACAATGCCGTGACCTATATCACACTCTTCATCGAATCTATTGTAATCATAGAGCCCGAATTCCACATCATCGCCAGCATAATAGTCTTTTCGATGGTGATGATGGTTGTCATATTCGCAAGCAAGAATTTCCTCGTCATGAATGAACCCTTGATCACATTGATATTGTGTTGTAGTAACGTGATGGTGATGTGTATGACATTTGATACCTATTCATCAATGTTAGACTCCTTTGCAACGAAAACCATGTATATAACATTACCTGTTTCTGTTGGACCGCGGGTAGGCATCGGAGCATTGTTAACACTCTTACCTTTTGATGCATTGGTGTTTGATGGATTACTATTACCTGATATGTCGCTACTTTCAGGAGTTTGAGCACTACTGGAGTCAAGATTTAATGATGTTTCACTGGTTGGAAAGAAGTGTCCAGAGGTACTGCCAATATAGTTACCAGAGCTATCGCTGCTTGGCATCTGATCTGCATTACTTGAGTTGGCTTGGCTGTTTATTGCGCTGTTGTTTTGTTCAATATTGTTGTTTGGGCCATTTGAACTCTTTTCGCTACTACTGCTTTCACTACCTTCAGTGCTACTAAGAATATGTTCTTCAGATTGACTTTGGCTGCTTGAACTTTCAGTGCTGCTACCATTCTCCTGGATGCTGCTCTCCTCACTGTTGCTAGTCTCCTCACTTCCACTCTCCTCGCTATTACTGCTATCAAAACCGCTGCCTTCTTCACTGCTATCACTCTCCTCGCTACCGATTTCTGTGCTGCTATTCCCCGGATCTACGATTCCAGGATCGCCAATAAAAGCATCATCCAAAAACACAGGGATACAAATATCTGTTGTAAGACAACTTCCGCCAGTAGCTTGATAATCTTGTATTTCAATACCACTGCCTAGCTAGTGATAATTGTTTGCAATCACCTGGCCAGCAAAAGCACCACGATTCTCGTCAATGATATCGCCTGTTGATAACGCAGTGAACACATATGCTCTCAAGAGCCCCAATAAGCCCAAAACTTACCTTTAGGCATGAGAAAGAATCCTCCAATTCGCCCACCTGTTGTTCTATCTACTTGAAAAATCCCTGGAATATAACCGCCTGTCTCGTTGGAAGGGTAGAAATTTAAAAGCATGCTACACACTCTCATTCCTAGACTTGGCTGGTTTCCTTGGATCGTAATTGTTGTATTTTTAACAACTGGAAGCTGTGCACAAACAGCCATGAGTCATGTTAGAACGACGTCTATGGCGTGGTATATGGTATAAAATCTTACATTGATAATTAGTCGTTCTGACCAGGACATGCCTATCGGGCCATTCCAATTTCCAATGCCATAGTAGATGGCGTCTGGGGACGAGAAAGTGTCAGCATAGGAACACGTTTTGCAGGTACCAAATGTGATTACGCCAAAGCCTGTGGAGCTATACCCAATTTTTGTCAGCGTACCATCACTGCTCAAGTGAAGAGTAGGCTCCATAAGGTGGAATTGTATAGAAGCGAGAATGGCGTTCATTTGAACCAGCCTAAAATCCATGAGGTCAGTGCCTCGATCGTTGGCCACAGGACATGCTTCATCCAACTGTTGTATGTTGTCAGTATTGGCGTCATCTGGCAAGAATGCAGCACCATGCACATGGACATCACTGTACGTGTAATTCATGCTGCTTTTCATACAATCAAAGCGTATGCTGCAAAACTGCTGCTCAAAGCTGAACAATTAGCTCCATATTGCGTGTTGATGGTATAAGCATGGCCAGAGAAATATCCTCCTACTGCCAATGGCCCAATAATCTCATGGGCTTCTGTGGTGATAAAATTGCCAAAAAAGATGGCATTGAATATGCCATACTTGGGGAAAAAATTGTAAGCCATTATTCTGCTATGGTCCTAGTTCACCTACAGCTAATGTTGTCAAGCTTTTGCCACAATTTACACCCATATTAATAAGATTTCCAGTAATGCTTAATTGAGATCCTTGCCCGATTAGGGTTGTTGGAAGCGCTCCTCTCGTGTCTTTCGTGGTTGTGGTTGCGAGTTTCAATGATGTCGTGATAATAGGCTCGCATAGCTGTGCGCGAAGATGGTGGTGACGATAATGCTTGTGATGTTTGTGTTCGATGGGCGTCGTATCTTGTCTCCACCACTTATCGCTCCAGCCTCGAATGTCCCATGCGACTATACCTTGAGCTGATAGCACACTCAGCGCAAGAACAAGAAGCCTCATTTCTGGCGTTTATAAAATGTGATGCGGAAACAAGCGCAACAGAAATGTCCAATTGAATGATCTGTTATATATGTTTATGATTCGGTATTCAAGTATATGATAAAATATACATTATGCACAGCGTTCTAATAGGTATGTAAGCAATCAGCAATTAATATAACTTTAAACTCTCCAAGTTGCAGGTAAACGTATCTAATATATATACTGTAAAACATTCAAAAAAGTAGACAAACAAATCATATCCTTTCAAAAATTTAAAGAATTGTGTGCCGTACAAGATGAATACACCCACCGGCAAAGTCGGCAATGGGGAGGGGGTTTTGGGGAAGAACATAGCGCATCTAATTCAACGCTTGATAGCATTGATTTATAGGGGTGTTTTACCGTAGCGAAGCAAAGGTGCAAAACCATGGTAATAAGGCGTTTAATCGAACACGGTAACATTGATCTATATGAGGGTTTAATTGCATCTACCAAAAACGTGATTCATGCTGTGTAAGTAAACTCTATAAAGCAATAACCAAATTTGCCAGCTTTCAAGCCTTCATATCTTGACATGTAGACCTTTTTGAGCCACCAGAATGACGCCAAATTGTTGTACTCGAGTAGTAGTAACTTCCTGACACCGTTGCTCAACTTTTTGAGGACCCAAAAAACATGGCCAAAAATTGACCAAAAAGCATGAGGTACCCCTCATGATTTCCATCAAAAATCAAACGATCGCTTTTTTCACCTTAAAAATGAAGACTTTTACAATGGTATATAGTAACTCAAAATGTTTCCCTCGCTCCAAAGCAACCTCTGAGACTACTTTTATGAGGCTTTCATATGCAAAATCTGGCTATTTTCGCTAAAAACCTCATTTCATATTTTATTAATTTGTTCATTAGTTTCAGTCAAAACACTTACTACAGTTAGCACCATTGGAAGCGCCTTGAAAAGTACTTCAAGAATGTATTAGGAAGCGTTTTTTTTGTAGGGGAGCCGAGCTCCATTTTTTATTTTAAGTCCTTCAAATGTCGCTATGAGTGATAGGAAAGACTGGGTATGATTACAAGAGGATCGGAGGAACGAAAGAAAAAAAAATAAAAATAACAGATAGAAAAGAGCAAATGGATAAAAGAGGAAAAACTGAATACTTACGAATCTAGCTTTAACTCGGCATCCAAGCGAGCAAGAGAGCGAGCAAGACGATGTTGAACAGTGTCAGCGATGAACGGGGTTCGGTCGAAGATCCAGCGCCAGTGCGCTTGCCATATTGTCAGCAGAGTAGTTGCGAAAAGTTGAGGAATAGAGAGATCATTGAACGAGAGAGAGAGATCACGATCAAGATAGGGAGAGGAACAGAGTAATATTTGTTGGAAGAAATGAATCAGATCAACATCAGAGATTGAGGAAGAAGCAGAGAGATAGGTGTGGTACATGTGTCGCCAGACCAATAACTTGGGAGGGCAGGAGAACAGAGTATGGGTGATATCCTCCGTGGTAGAGGCAGAGCAGATGGTACATAGGGGAGAAGGGTGTTTTCCGGGGATGCGTAAATGTAGCAGAGCTCTTGAAGGGATTTTTTCGTAAATAGCTCGGTACCAGACCGTGCGAGCAGCCAGGGGGATTGAGATTCTCCAGAAGGAGAGCCATTGAGCCGGCCGGAGAGGAGAGAGTGAGGAGGAGGTAGAGGAGAGGTTTTGACGTAGTTTTTTGAAGTAACGGATGCTGTTGAGCGGCAACCGGCCTCGCGAAGGCAAGGAAGAAGGAGGAACGATAATGCTACGGCAGAACGCTCGAAGGGAGGGAGGTTGATGTGGGTTGAGTGTTGGACGAGGAGCAATGAAGCACTGTTGTGCAAAGAAAGGTTGGAATAGTAGTTGACGCGACTGAATGAAATCAGCAACACGTTGGGATACAATAGGATGGCGAGCGAATTGGAAGGAAGGACGAACACGAAGCACCTGATGATCAATATCTAACTGGAAAACCTCGCTTACAAGAAGCTTTCTGGCAACGTCAGAGCCATCTAAAAGAAGATTCGGTGGTATAAAGCTAGAAGAATATAAATTGTTAATAGTAGGAGGAGAATGTAAAAGTATTTCATAAAGAGGGAGTGAGTAGCAAGTAATAGCATCAACATATAAGTTACGACGTTCTGACATCTGAAAGATGGACAAGCAGGACTGAAGATTAGTGATTGGATTGAGATAAGTATTGCGACGGGATGGACTTTGAGGAAACCACAACCGATGGCGAGCATGCTGAAACAAGAGGTAGTAAAAGAAATGAGAGAAGACGGTGGAGGAGTAGCACCAAGAAAGAGTATAAGTTAAGACAGGAAGCGAAGGAGTGTTGTACTTGGAGAAGGCCGGAGAGTCAAGATATTAGTATTAGGAAGCGTAAGGTGATCATTACAGTTTATATAGTCGAATATCACAAAATAGATTAAAAAAGTCGAAAAATAACAAAAACTGTCCAATCGAACTGATAAAAATAATCTGAATTTGAATAAATTTGGCGGTGGCACTACTGTTGACTGACCTAAATGCCTTTCTGTTGATGACAATGATGATTGCAATGCTGACTAAACGGGGATCATGGAATTGAAAGGACAATTGCTTAGTGCAAATACTATTCTTGGGAGTTTTCCCCTATAAGGTGCTCTTTGCAATGACAATACCTCAAAAAACCGATGTAGACCCTACACAAGTCCTGTGTTTACGCATGGCCAGCTACACCAGCGAATGGTATGACAATTCTATTACCAAAAAATGTGGCACAAACGTAGAATGTAGTATACAAATGCTGCATAAAGCTTGGACTCTCTTTCACATCGTTTCAATAACGGCTTCCGTTGATACCAGTGTATAAGCAAAGGGAGGAGGATGCAGAGAGAAATACCTCTCCCTTTCTGACTCTAATATAATCTTTCTTTTATTATTGATAAATTGTTTAAAATCTACTTAAATATCAGGTTTTATTGTCGTTGATTTGAAATGCCTTCGACGAGAGCCCGCAGGGCGTCGCCTTCATCGAGCGTAGCGAGATTGATCGGCTAGTGTGTGTATACTAGAGTCTGCTGTATTTATATTGCGTTACCATTTTATAGATTGTGCCTGAGATTTTCAAGCGTATGCTCTTTCACTCTGTTTTATTCAGTATCATTTCATTTCCATGATGGCTGTGGTGGTACTCATCGTGGATGTTTGTGAAGGGGGAGGAGGAGAAGAAGAAGAAGAAGCAAGATTACTACTAGTATGGGTGCTGCTGTTGATGACTGCAGGCAAAGCAACAGATGTTGTGGTAACGGCACCTGCTGTAGTAGCGTTATTTGTCGCTGCTGCTGCCGCTGCTCCTCCAATACCACCATTAGCAGCTGCGACGGCAGAAGTGGAAGAAGATGCCATATTGATGACAGAATTGGCTGCGGAAGTAGTAGCATAAGCAGGCAAGCTAAAGTAAGTGCCAACATCAGCAATTGCTGTCAGATCCCCTAGCATGGTAACAATTTCTGCGGATACATAAACGCTTTCTGGCAACGATGGACAAGAAGAAGGAAAAGACTGATATCATGATGAGCACTCAAATGCATCTTACACGCACTCAAACTCACCTTGTCGTCCTTGAAAGAGGAATGATACCTCAAAAAGATGCCACACAGCACAAAGCGCACAATGAAATAATACAAAAAGTCATCCATCATGAATCGCTTGACATGTTGATCCACATTACTGTCTGTCAACAGCACATCGCCAATGGCCTTCTCCATAGCCCCTATCTTTCGCACACACTCGTCCCATTTCTGTTGATCCAAGTTTCCAATATCAGAGACAGAGCAGAAGCCAAGTAAAGGGGTATGAAGAAACAGGGTAAACAGGCTGCCAATCTCGCTCTTGTCTTGCACAGAAGACGGGTATTCGACAGGGGACATGAGGCACATGACAGGCTGGTCAAAGACGCTAGGCATGTGCTTGAATTCCGTGCTGTGGTCGCTGTCTACAATGAGAAACAGCGGTTTTCGAGTGAATGGTACGAGATCTGCTGGATGCAAGCAGTGCACAGAAGGAGGGCTGATGTGATGGTGGTGCGAATCGGCAAGATGCTGGGTATTGGCAGATGTCTCCTTATTGTTTGCATTGCCAGTGTTGGAGGCAGTATTGGCAGAAGTAGCGTTGTTTGATGAAGCTGTCATGGACCCTACGACAGACGTGGTGGTTGGCATGGTGCCACCGCTGTTGGTGCCAGCACCTCCACTGCCGACTGCAGTAGAAGAGGACGTATTAGCGCCGGAAGCCCCAGTACCCGCAGGCCCAGCATTGGCTGTATTCGACGAGGACGAGGCAACAGCAGCAGTAGCAGCGGCATTGCTGCTATTGGAGGCAGCAGCAGCATTCGAATTGCTTGCTATCGTCGCGCCAGACACCCTGTCTGCCGTTGTTCCCGCCGTGGGCTTGTTTCGCTGACTTGTCATAACACCACCTCCATAGCCAGGCACCACTTGATCCGGATACGCACAACCGTCTGCAGATAAGTACAATAGTAGAGCTGAATTATCGCTGGTATCTTTGAATGCAGTGGAAATGTAGACCAACAGCTGACTCAAGGAAGGTCGATACAGCAAATATTTGTGAGGATTCGACCGTTTAAGCATCTTCTCCGATGTTGTTTGAATGTGAGACGCTGAATAGGTATTCGTCGAGGCTCCTGCCGGTCTGCTTGTGCCAGCGGCTGTTGAGGACGTTGTGGTTGTTGTGGTTGCGGTGGTAATGGTTCCTGTCGCTGTGTTGCTCTGGTCATCTTTAGAAGCTTCCTTTGCCTTGTCAGATGTCTCTGTTGACTTGTTCTTTGCTGCTGCTGCAACTGAGGGATGCAATACAAAGGGCTCTCTTTCCAGCGATTGAAGCATACGATACATGTCCAGTGTCAGTTCTGAAAACTTGATCTGTTTCTGGTAGTTGCCAACTAGAATAGCCTCTTGTAATTTAAGCTTGGGCAGGTTCGCAATGTGTCTTTCAGCAATGTTGGAAGCGAGTCGATGTTCAATCTTGTCTGGTGTGCGGTCGAGGTTGATGGGAACGAGCTTCTTTTCTGCTTCTGTAAACGTGCTAATCTCTTCCAACACCATCTGCCACTCTTTGGCGTCAGGTGGTTTGAAACTCTTGGTGTATTCTTCAATTAAGACTTCCAATTCAGTGATAAGCTGACGCACGTTTTCATCCTTGTTTAGCAGCAAGCAAACAATGATGAAGCGAGCATAATACCGCATCTTCTTTACCATGAGCGCAGAACTAGAGCCGTGCTGTGTGTTAGCTACTATTGACTTTCGCTCCCCCCCCCCTCTCGATACATGTCGAACTTACTTTTTCACCTCGAGGATGTCTTTGAAATACTGTCTTTCATGGATCGCCTCGTAAAAGACATAGGCTTCGTGAAGATAATTTGTTTCGCTAGTTCTCAAACTGTGTATATTTTAATAGCATGTAAACAATGGATCACATTCATCCTCCATATTTTTTCATTTAGACTTACTAGTAATGATAATACAGCTGTCCAATTTTGCTCGCTATCTCCCCTACTTCCCATCGTTTCAGTCCGTAATTGCTCTTGTTTTCTAGGATGGATCTGTGAGTTTGTTGAAACTTCCAAAGCTGTCATTTACAGTTAGGATTTACGAGCTGCTGCAGTATACGCGTTGCCATGGATACCTTTGTGTACACCTCAAATGTCTTTTCAAAATACTAACGGTTGGGATCACATTAGATGAGCTCTTTTGCGTTATGTGATCTATTGCACGACTTACAGGCCTCCACTGACGATGACTTCCAGTGGGTGGTAGATCTCTACTAGAGTGTTTATTTCATGCACCAATATGAGCGACACTGTGTTTCCAAATACCTCAATCCACTGAATAAGCTCTGACTCTTTTCCAACAGATATTGAAACTCTTCTACCAACTTTTGATTCCTGATAGCTTCCTCATCTGTCTCTTGGCTTTTGGCGTCCGTGGAAGCAGCGGCAGCGGCAGTAGCAGCAGCGACAACAGCTGCCATTGCAGGCGTCGTCGTGCTCGTATTAGTATGCGCTGCATTGCCTGTCGAACTAGCTGTGTTGTTGTGATTCGTGTTGTTGCTTGATGCTGCTGCATGGCTATCTATAGACACTGTATAATTTGATGAGAAAAAGAGGAGCAAACATTATGGTGTATATACGATATCTACCTGGAGAAGTTGAGACGGCTCCAGGCTTTGGAGCAGCTGTTGTAGCGCTGCTTGTATTTGCATTTGGTGCATCTTTCGAAACAGATGGCTCTTGCGCTTGATTTTGAGCTGATGAACTCATTTGCAAAAGAGTTTGTGTCGAGATATGATGAAGAAGGAGCCTCTGAACAAAAAATTGTTTATGCGTGGCTTTTTCTTTTTAGAGCACAGCATCATAAACTACATAACTTTCTTATGCGTGCTGTTGGAAGACATTTATTTCAGTTGCAGCTTTCCACTTGCAAGCAGCATCAATCCTATATTCAACACACTTCATATTATAGATCAATGACACAATACGCTTCGTATCCAGAGACACTCGTTCTTTTTGTCATTGAAGATGCAATACCCACGTTTCACAAATATTTGCCTGTGATTTTAGACACGACATGTGTCTTTCTGGCTGTTTACTATAGATGAAAAATGCAAAATTACGCATCAAAGAACAGTACTCTGATTACGCTTTGATGATACTTCCTCAGATATTGCCATCATATATACCTCACGCTGGTTCACAGCCGCAGAATAGAAGAGCCATTACGTATCTTGTTGTAGTACAGATTTTTCATTTGTGCGGTTAAATGTTCTTGATTTGTACCTGAAAATCAGAAATGCAACCCAACGAACGATGGCTCGGAATTGTGTGTCAAGTGATACGTTCATCTGATTCATTTTATTTATTCCTACACAAGTTTATGCACTTTAGTATCAAAAAGATAGATAGATAATTGTACATGTTACGAAAAATGTGATTAAATTTTTATTATTATTTATATAAAATGGAAAAAAGCAAGACGATAAATCTATTCGTATGTATACAAGCATATAATTTTATAAACCAAAAGGAAAAAAAAGCAGAAAGAAGCATAAATGGAGTGAATAAGCATAATAATATGAAAAGAAAGGCTGGGAGTGAGTATATGTATATTACGTGTGGTGTGTGGTGTGTGGGAGAACTGTGCTGCTGAACAGGAAATCAAAGATGATTCAAGATGCGATATTTTGAGTGGTACTTGTGATGTGATAGGGGGCACAAATACTTGCTTTATCTTCGCATGAACACGATGCTGAGGAAAAGACGGAGGATATATCTGACAAAGATGATGAGAATGAGGATGAGGTGGATATGGATTGCATTAGAAAGAAAGGCGGTGATGTCCGAGCATGAGTTTGATGCGATAGAGACGATGATAACGATGCAGGTGATGATTCCTTCCTCTTGCGTCTGCTGGAAGAAGTGATTGTCGAAGTAGAATAAGATAGAGAAGGGCTTCGATGATAAGACATGGAATATGACTTTTGCAACAGAGTAGGGTTGCTGCTGCTGTGGTTGATTGACGTGGGCTGGATCTGGATAAAGGAGGAGGATTTGGAGGCTTCATTTGATTGACAAGACACGGAGCAAAACGCAATGTTCTATAATCAATGGTATTTAGCATGAATCTACAATACCAAGTACACACAACTTACATCGTCCACCAGTCTCTTTTCGCAATACAAACAAAGGTTCAATTCCATGGGATATTAAATAAATATTATACAGTGAAGAAGAAGAGAGAAGAGAAAACAATTACACAGATTTGAAATGATGCTTAAATATGGGGAACTTGAATTCTATCATTGTGATGATGATGATAATAGTGAAACTATCATATTGGCCCAGAATCTGAGGGGGGGGGGAGGGTGAGAATTCATCTGCGTTGGTATAAATGATGTGCCTGAATGTCCATTTTATGCTGGCGTGGGAACAAACAATACCAAAGTGGCTGCCTACCATTATCAGCCCAAACGATGAGCAATGTCAAATGTTGCCTACAGATTGCCTGGCTACTGTATAAATCATCGTGTTTATTTCTAGTGCTACAGGCACCACCACTCACAGCAGCATTCATGCACGTGAATCTAAGCTATCCAACCGAACATTACAAAAACGTCCACAGAAAACAGGATTGCCATCATCAACGTACAGTTTGCGTAATTCTTGTTTGTTGATGCCTGCACTTTCATATTAAAAATCCTTCATTACATAGTTAAAACAGGTAGCACATTCAAATGCTATATGAAGAACGCCATTAGTTCATATTTAGCACTTTGAGTCATTGCATTTACGTGCTATCTTTTCGCCAATATGATTGTTTCCTTCAGTCGTCTTGTACAACGCAATCTTCATCTTGCCCTATCTGGCAACAACCATCCTGGTTTAGGCAGACTATCTTGTCCCCTTTGGTCATGCACCTGCAATGTGTAATATCCTTCAATGAGAGGACTGTAACTCGGTGTTGCCCTTAGGTCCTATATAGCCGAGGTCACTGTGCCTTCCAGCACAGAAACGGTCCATGTCGCCTTGTTGGGTCCAACAGCTTCAATGGCGATCTTTTCAGGCCGTACTTTGAGGCTGGCGTATGTCTATTTCAAGTCGACCTGGGTCCCTCCAGCATCATCGCTATCCACCGGCAGTCGATACACTGGTCCCAATACCACCCCTTTGCTGCCATCATCCTCGTCTTTTTCTTGGGTTGATAGGCTAATCTAGGCTCCTTCCATCCGATCGTGCCTGGCCGATGGGTGCGATCAAAAGCACCCGTAGTAGACAATGCAGATATGTTTTTCAAGGCTGCAGTGGTTGCTGTTGACGACAGTAGATCGACTGGCCTTTTTGGGTATTTGCTGTGCTTGTTCATGACCATCATCGGACGACGCATCTCTGCGCTGCTGGTATTCGATGGCTTGCTGTTATTGTAATGCCTTAAATGTCCATTATTATACTCTGTTTTGAGCAGATTTAATGCCACTATGCCTATTTGAATGCAATGATGTTGCTTACCCTGTGTGTAGATGACCTTCCCTGAGCAAATGACGGTAATACAAGAGAAAAAGATCAAGAATCGATTCACTTTATAACGGTCAATTAAAAAAGAAAGTGCTTTTATTGAGAACCGTGAATCCGTTGTTTGTTTGGTCATGCCAGGAATTTCTGATTTGGCCAGCTTTGTATATGAATGGTATAAAATGAATGTTCTTTAACATAATAGATTGATCAAGATAAGCATGGATGTGAATACAGCAATACCAATGGCTGCTGCAATAGGCCCAAATGCCTCTCTGAACGAACTACCAGCGCTGTAAAAGCAAGTAGGGCAATAACCAGCTACATGTCAAAGTGTGTGAGCCTCATCATCTCTTTTTTTTTTACCTTCTCAGTAGACACTTACCAACCGTTGTGATTGGATTATACAAATCAGGTGAATACAGCGCGATAGACAAAGTTGTACATGGGACCATCCAGCCAGGCGAGTAATCTACTGAAACACCACGCTGATCATACAACTGAATCTTGTAATACCCATTCATCAAGGGCGTATTCGTGGGCACGGATCCTAGATTCCAGACAGCTTCTGTAGCAGATCCGTTCAAGGCGGCAATGTCAACGGTAACTGAATTGGGCCCAACAGCATTCAAGGTTAGGTTCACAGGTCTAACACGAAGCGCTGTATATCCCCATTTAAACGTGACATTGACAGTTGATTGAATAGGATACAGTGGTGAGACACTGCCACTTCTTGTAGGCGTGGCAAAAGTGACAGCACCAGCGTAGATACTGTTGCCAAAACTGCTAGAAGTAGGAAGATCTGACCATGCTTGACCATCACCCGGATATCCGCTGTTGTCATCAGTCAACGTGTCTGTGGCTGCTGACGCTGACGGTGTTGTTGCAGAGGCAGAGGTAGAGGCAGCGCTGGCTGCTGGTACCGTACTCTGGCTGGCGGTCTGTGCGTTTTGGGTAATGGAGGCAGTTACAGACGCAACAGCGAGAGATTGTGATGTAGCCATCTGTTGCAGTACTCTTAGTTTTGCCAATTCAGAAGCTACAGACGCAGACAGTTAGGCATTTTGTCAGTTCAAACAGGCTCTTTGTAGCCACATACATAATTGAATAGGGTCTTTTGCTCATGAAATGACAGAAATTGGTCAGCATCTAACGTAACACATACGCTTTTTGTCATTTACCTCTTTTATCCACCTGGGCGGAGATAGCACATGCCGCCGTAATGGTGCCAAGGACAACTAATAAACTCAATCTAGTCAACATGTCAAGGACAAGGAGAGGAAAGAAGAACATTATTTCCCGTCAAGTGCTGTTTTATACATGTTAACTTTTGAAGGGAGATTCAATGGCAAATGTGTCAATTTATTTATATCTATTATACAACTACAATCCAAGTTGAGCAGCAAATGAAAGAGCGACTTGTGCTGCCATTTTGCGTCGTTCCTCATCAGAGAGATTCTTGCCATGCTCTAATCATGTGAAACGTCAGTACATCAACTTGATGGCATCCCGTCCTCGATATTACCCCTCATTGCTTGTATCGCCTCGAATGCTTTATCCAATCCATCCTCTCCATCAATATCTCCAAACAATTCGTCTCTCATCTTGTCAATCTCATGTTGCGAGGGCATGTCCTCAACCTCCTCATTATCCTCGTCGCCCAGCTTCAAAATATCTCTGTCGTGTGCTAGCTTTAATTCTCGTAGATCGCTCAGCAGGTCCTCATCCTCGGCAACACCGCTCACATTCTTCTTCACCATACCATCCCAGAAATTGGTCTGTATAATCTCCAGGGCTAGATCAATACCCACTTTGTCCATCGGGATATCTGTCTTTTCATCCATATCAACATAGTCAAAGCTATTCGAGAGACACCAGTCATTGATTTCTGCATCCACTTCCATATCCAACGGTTGTTTTGATGAGCTGCCAATACATAAACGAATGCCTGGCTCTGCTTGATCGAGAAAAGGTAACCACTCTTTTACTGTGTTGAATGACGATGGCTACCAGCCTGTGAATATGACAATATACCCGTTTACGCAAGTAATAACGCACCTCATTCTTGTCAAATATGAACACAAAAGCGTCAATGACTTTGCTTATCTCCGTGTCCTTTTCACAGTAAGCTTTAATTGTCTCTTTTTGGGTTGCCTTGTCAATCTCGTCCAGCCAAAAATCCACTTTTGCTGTATAGTACTTTGTATCAATCTCGTAAGGTATACACACACCTACAAGGTCGCCGTTGGTGTCTTTTAATCTGGTGTCGACAAGCTTTTGAGGAAAATCCCTGTTATTTGATGCTGCGAATATATCTAAGCAAGCGCATGAGAAAGATGGTGTTGATAGTGGCTCATCTCATGGTGGGTTACCTTTCACAAACTGCAATGTGTTTCCATCGGGTTGGCTTGTTACAAAAATCTTGTTCTTGAACATGTCTTGCGTCAATGCACTGTTCTAGAGAGGAAATAAAAGGTGCAACTGGTCTTGCTAATCCACCACACTTTCTTTATTTGACACTACGAGTCACTGCTGTCTGGCTTAGCAGCTCATGTCAATTTTCAGGAACGAGTTTTAATGGGCTATTACTGATTAAAACCAACATGGAACAAGAAAAACAAGGTTGCAGTAGTTAAACCAAGCTATAATATCTCACATTACCTTCACAGGCATCGATTACCTTCAGTTTACACTTACTCCGCGTAAACTATATTAGCAGGACTATAATCAAGCGGCGGGCGCAATTTTCTGTGATAATATAGTATATGTTTAGACAAATGCATGAGAACAATTTAAAAGAGGGACTATTGTAGGCTGGCATGAATGATATTGCCTTCATGATGAAAAGGGCATTGCGTTTGCCAGCCGGCCCACAAGCTAAATTTAATTCAAACCCAGAATTCTAGTCTACTCCAGATTGGCCAAATACTAATGTTTGTCGACTCAGTTGAACTATTTTAGCAGATTCGACTATATAAACTGTGATAATCAGCTCGTACTTCCTAATACATTCTTGGAGTACTTTTCAAGGCACATCCAATGGTACCAAACAAGATAAATGTTTTTAATAAACTTGTTGAGTAATTTACGAAAATATGAAAAGAGGTTTTTGGACAAAAATTCGAGATTTTACATACGAAAGCCCCACGAACAACGTTTTAGGGGTTGCTTTGGACCGAGAGGAACATTTTGATTTAATGTATGCTATAGTAAGAGTCTTCATTTTTGAGGTCAAAAACGCGATCGTTCAACTTTTGATGTTTTTCATGAGGTATCCCTCGTGCTTTTGGTCGATTTTTGATGATATTTTTTTGATCCCAAAAAAAGCTGAGCAAAGGTACCAGCAAGTTAATGCTAGTCAAAAGAGACTACTTGGCGTTATTCCGGAGGTGTGAAACGGCTTCTAACACAAGAAATTACAGTTAAAATACACTGGAATTTGGCTGTGTTGTGTATACCTTTGAGTATTCGAAAGTAATGCACATATGCTGTCTACCCGTACATGATCTCACCTTATTCATACTGACGCAGGGCATTCTAAAAAAGTAAACATTCGCAAAAAATCTCAACTCGCTAATCGTTATTCTCTTTTATTTGTTTGAATATGTTACTAATAGCATTTCCGACCACGTCAATGCTGATTACTGAACTAGCAGCAGTTTTTTCAAAGGAATACTTTGTATTAGCTGTACAGTGTTGAAAGATATCGCATAGATGCTTCCTTTTGCCAATTATTTTAGCAAACAAAAGTGCTTGCTGTATGCAATCTGAAGAGGTATCCTCTGTCAGCAGATATGGTATCATTTCCATAAACCCATGATTCGCAGCATATAGGAGAGATGCGTTATAGCCATTTGAATCACAGGGACATACTCGAGGAACTTTGCACAGATAGGCGATTAGATCCAACTTACGTTGTTGTACTGCACTATGGAGTGCTCGTTGACAGCATTCGTAATCCACTTTCTGAGTGATGCCGACCACTTCAACGAGGTATCTCAAACAATCAAACCTATTCCAACGGACGCACAGTTCCAAGAGTTCATTTCTTTTGTCGCCATACGCGCCTTCCCACCAACCACCTTGCTCCATGGGTATAAATGCGCCAGCTTTGGCAAGTCTATGCAAGACTTGAATATTTCTTATCACAGCAATAGATTCTTCCATCGTGCTATAATGGCCATCACCTGCTGACCAAATCAAGTTGGTCCAAGAAGGGTTGTTTCTTTCGCGCTTCCTCAGCAAAAGTTGAATAATAAATGATGAAGGGTTCTGGTGACGAATAGCGTAATGTAGAGCAAGGTTCCCATTGCTGTCAGTTACATCTAACCGAGCCCCTGCTTCTAGTAGAGCTTTCAATGACTCGTGATGATTTGAGCGAGCTGCATAGTGTAGTGCTGTGAGTCCTGCCCTGTCTTGTTGATCGAGATCCAAGTTCGGTTGACGAATCAGGTAATCAATGCCGCCAATAAAATTGACAGCAGCAGCAGTGTGTAGTGCGGTCATTTGATGTGGACCATTATTGTTTTGGTTGATGTCCACATTGCCTTGTTGCACTATCTTTTTGACTGCATCCAACGATCTACATTGGCATGCCCAGCAGAGCAAGGTGAGTCCATACACATTATCTTTGACGTCATTTGGTTTTCCACTTGTGAGATATAAATCTAGTAACTCGAGATTGAGGCTGTTGTTACTGTTTGTTTTGTGCATCTTGACTCTGTCAACATCTCGTGGTGGAGGGTCATCCAGATGTCTCTTCGTTTTGCCACTTTTTGAATAACCGACTCTCTTACTATCACCATTTAATGCAATTGGTGATGTTGTGTGATGTGCTACAGGCCAAGGATCTTCCGTTTTCGGTGATGGTGGTGTGGCTATCAGCCTTGGAGAGGACTTTGATGATAAGCTATATTCTGAAAGATCTAGCGTCATATTGAAACAGAGTGATGAAACAGAGAAACGGAAGAAAGAAGAGGATGGCCGCAGCTTTGTGTCGTACTACTTCATTGGAATTATTTATCTGATTTATGGGTTAAAGATGTCTTGGCAGATGCGTATCATCTTCTTGGCACAACGAACTGGGCATATAACATGATTTCAATGATTGTTTTGTTAAATGAACAATATTTGATGCTCCTTAGCGGTCTTATCGATTGCTTCAGCTATTAATAATGAAATAATCTTGTGTAGCATATTGTATAAACCGAGGGTATGTTAGCTGTAAGAGATGATGGGGCCCCACAGTTTTCGATTTGTATAGAGCATCAGCAAACAAATACTTTTAAAAACGTATTATAGATTTTATTGTACACGGAAAATATAATATATAAAGAGATGGAATTAATAATGTGAGATATAGAAATACAGAGAAAATTATTAAGAATGGAGATAATCTAAGCGTCGACACCAGGAGCTTGAATACCCTTGGGTGCCTTCTTGCCCTTCTTTTCGAGCTCTTCGGCAACGTTGATACCGTACCACTTGAGTTGACGACCAATTTCATCGAGAGACTTTTGCTTGGTTTCAGGAATAAAGACAAAGACAAAGATAAATGCAATCAAAGCGAGACCAGCAAAGATCAAGAAGACGTATGGACCGCAAGCAGCCAATAAGGTAGGGAAAATAAGACCGATGACAAAGTTACAGAGCCAGTTGATAGCCAAACAAGCAGATGAGGCAGCACCAACAGCATAGGTAGGGAAAGATTCACCAGTGATAACGAAGGGAACCATACCAAAACCAACAGCAAAAAAGGCAACGTAAAGCATAACACAGACAACTTGAAGGGCACTGACGTTGAATCTCATAGAGATGGTCATGACAACACACCAGATACACATACCGGCAGTAGAGATCAACAAGAGAGTCTTACGGCCAAGACGATCAATGAGACCAAGACCAACACAAGTGATAACGACGTTCAAAGCAGCAACACCTACAGTAACATACTTGGCATTGTCACCGAAAGAAAGTTCAAAAATGTTGGTGGAATAGTACATGATAGCATTGATACCAGTCAATTGAGAGAGAGCATGGACGACGAAAATCTTCATACATAATCTAGCCAAGACGCCAATAGACATGATTTGGAGGATATTGAGTTGAGCTTCAGATTCGAAAACGGCGTTATCACCTTCAGCCTTGATGGGAGTGTTATCGAAGCCGTTGGCAGAGTCCTTATCAGCTTCAGGAGCGGGTTTGTTCTCTTCAGCACCCTTGGTAAGACCGAGAAGCATATCAGTGAATTCAGCTTCAACATCACCGTTACGAAGTTTGATGAATTCAACACGAGCTTCATCAATTCTGTTTTGACCAACTAACCAACGAGGAGATCTGGCACAGAAGGGAAGAATAAGCATTTGACCAATGGTAGGGACAATGGTGATAACAACAACAATACGCCATCCGATAGCAGAGCTCAAACCAAGAGAGATACATTCAATAATCAGAATACCGAGAGTGGTGAACAGCTGGAGAAGAGAAGTAAGAGCACCACGGTACTTGGGAGGAGCAATTTCAGAGACGTAGATACCAATGACACATGTCATGAAACCAGAACCAATACCAACGAAAATACGGCCGATAGCGAATTGAGCAGAAGTAGTTGCAAGAGAAAGCAAAATGGCACCGATAAAGAAGTTGATGTTCATGATGATCATGGAATCACGACGACCGAATTTGTTGGCCATGTAACCGTTGGACATGGCGCCAACGAGACCACCGACAGCAAACATACCATTGGTAACACCCCTAATCAGATAAGCAAATGTTAATGATCTGATCTCATCACTTTAAAACTACTGATATACATACCAAATCCAATCACCCATGGGAATACATTCAGGAAGGGGAGAGTTGGGATAGTAGGTCACTACACCAGGTTCGACATTGGGACAGTATCTCACAGAGTTACCGGGAATGTTCAATGCAGAGGTATTGAAACCAGAGTTGAAGGAACCCAATGATGCAATCATTGCGCAGAAGATTACAAAGGGTTTTAAGGAAGATGTCCTTGAATCCATTTTATGTTATTAACTAATTAAGAATTATTTTGATTAAGTAAATTGGTAAAAAGAAAACGGCTTTCATGGAGAAACCATCGAGTATTTAAATGTTTTTTTGATCCTGTAGTCGTAAAAAACATCTGACACTCAACCAGTTTTTTCCGAGAAATTCAGTTTAGGCGGACTTTCACGTATGATTGTGCAATGATTATTTTTTCCTTTCAGTGCATTCAGGGTCTTTCTAGTAGCGACACTTTAAATTGTTCTGTGGAAGCATCATCTTCCATCATCTTTTCTCAATCAACTTGAAAAGTGGCATAGTCTACATATAGGGTCCCGGCCCAGAAAAAACTAGACATTAATCATTGCGCATTAAATCAAATGTAAGCATTTGAAGGGACGAGGAACGAGGGACGAGGGACGTCGAATCCTTGTGTTATTATTAAAAACAATTTTTTACCGCTGTAATAATTTTGCCCTCCACCCTCACCAATTACATAAAAATGAGTGCATTCAAATTCCCAAATTAAGGCATAAACTTTATTGTGGTCTCTCTCAAAACCTTGGGGGGGAGGATGTCGGTCTTGAGAAAGAATCGTATTTTCGAACGAATAAATCGAACCCTTTTTTTTTTCACATGCAACAAGTCCAGGGCTTTTCATGCCCCGTATTGTTCTGTCAGCTGTAGAATGTCTTTATGATATCAGCATTCAAATTCTTGAAAAGGACCAGATGTGAGCAACGTTGGAAGCACAACATCTAGACATTCTCTATTTCGATTTGTAAGTGTGGAGTGGAAATCAGATGATGGACGGGTGGAAGCGAATCGACCGATCCGAGGATTTTTGCGTGTTTGATTGGCTAGTTTTCATCTATTTGTTGCTATACATCTCAACATGCTATGCAAAAACCAAGACATTTTTTGGCATGTTTGACCTCCTGTAAGTTTGGGTATTCTCAATTGTCTAGTAAGCAATACAACCTGATACTACGTGAGAGTAGACAGGGAAATGACACATCTAGTAAAACATGAAATGCAGCGATGAGGTGACATTACGTAAAGTTTTTATGAATCCAATGTATTTGATTTCCCATCTACTGTGAAAAAAAAAAAAAAAAAAATCCCTGAAAGAAAAATCTTCCCAGTTTTGCGAAATGAATAATACGCATCTCAAATCCGTTCACTTAAGTTTGTCCCCGCCCGCTTACTTTAGATAACCATCTTGTGTATCCATCATACTCTCACTTCTCAAGAGCATATCTCGTTGTATGATCTAGTATTTCTTGTGTCAATAACCTTAATGCGAAGGCCTCGATCTACAAAGTGAAATGAGAAACAATGGCCGACAATGCGAAATTGTGGGGCCATAACAATGTCTTATGACTTGTGCTGCTCCATTTACATTTAAGGGCATCTCGTCTCAAGTCGGCCTTCATAGGTTTCTCTTTTGTGGGTTAAATTCTGAGGTGTCATTGGTTGCCTTTCTCATCATACTTTTATTGAGGAGATATCACCCGACTTTCGAAATCGAATGTCTAAAATAGCCTAACATCTCATGGCATTTGATGAGTTTGACAGCACCTCATCATGTATAACTACTTGGCGCAAGAATCAATCAAAAACTCTACCCATTGGAGGTGATTATTTAATCTATTACTACACAAATAAAAATGAATACAAACTCACTAACCCGTACTTTCCAGCTTTTCTTTTTATAGTGGTATAAACGGAAAAATGAGAAAAGGATCCTTAAACTGAACCCTTTTTTCAAGAAATAGTATAACATAATACGGCTTCGGTTGGTCCTTCATTACCAAACCTTTCATTTATTCATTGCAAAAGCAAAAGAGATCGAAGAGCCATGATAAAAGGCGCAAATACCAAGGAAGCACTGTACTAAAGAAGCAAAAGGGTTAATTTGTCGCCGGTGAACCAGTCGGTTGACATTTTTTTTGAGTTTGCCGGTTAAGCCCATTACCTCCGGTCTTGCTTACAATGATGACACTTGAAAATGTACTTGGCAAATTTCCCTGATAGCTTTTTTTTCCCTTGACATTCCATGACTAATCCGTTTTCCTTTCGTCAAATAATCCCATTCAGGGTTCAAGGAGAAATTAGACCCTTATATGACATGATATTTATTGACCATTGCTTCTGCATCTTCTAGCAACAGCGCGGTAATAAAAGGTACTATACAGGCATCACTCTGTAAGCCCGTGTAACCGCATTTTTAAGAAATGTTGGAAACCAACATGGTAGGCAACATGCGATTTCGTCTTTTATTTGGTAATCAGACCCTTTTGTTCTTGCATTTCTTATGTATTAATTTCTTAATTCAGACTGTTGCTGTTTTTTTTCGATCTCTACGTTTAGTATGAGAACGAGATGATGCTGTATTTGTTGATGCTGACTTTTACCATAGCGTAGGTAATGCTTTATAATAGTTCATGTGTTTACCCGCACTTTACATAATATTAAGATTCGTAACATTGCTGGTTAATGATGTTTTACAGCTTTTACAATGTATTCGCACGGTGGACAGTGCATTTCATACCGTGAATAGAGAATCTAGCATATGTGCTGTCATTTTCTCGGATTATCTGCACGTGATTTACATGAAAAAGCAAATGCTGGAAGCACGGCTCCCTTTACAAGTACCAAAATCCACGTATGTACGCGTTAAAAAAAAAGGTGGACCATAGTTGATCTAGTTATCTCTACCAGAACGAGGCCTATGATCTACACAGATGCTATAAATGGTATGCATCTTTATCGTACGATCGAGTTTGCAACTATCCCTTAAAGTAAATTCTTAATTTTCCAAGATATTAACTTTGGCAATTAGGGTTGTAGTTAACGCATAGTGAATTCACTTTTGAGATGCTTATTATCAGAAATAGCTTAATTATCGACCCTGGAAGAGCCTTTGCACACAAGCTCTTTGAATTATCAAAATCAACTTGATTTCAATATTTGATGTTTTGATGTTTTGATGTTGAAAATTGCAGTTATCTGATCTGCGTATCTAGTGTTGAGGAACATGTAAGCTATGCCTTGATTGCACTGATATATGAAAAGAAAAATACCAAATTACCTTGATATATTAAGAACATTGCATCTTGTGCTTATGATATGACCAAGCTTAGTCAATGCATACATGTAAAATTAGCATTCATACTTCTAGGTAATAGAGCCTGTTATTCATACTTTCAATGTAGCTGGATCATTTAGTCAGGGTAGCTTACGTAAGCTTAATTTGAGGCATGCAAGGGTTTAAATACAGACGAGGTATTGGCAGAGTTCAAGTTGTAAGCGAGAAAAAAAAACTGCTGGGTATCATATTCATATAGAGAATACGTAGTAAGCTCCGTGAAAAATAGAGTAGCAAGTAGTAACAGGGAAGTTCACAGCTGTCTGCATGATAGTATAGATATGTAGCGATGATATACTATATACGTTTCGAAAAAGAAGAGTGTAAAAACGTAGGGCTCACTTCCTCTGTCAAGTGTTCTAATACTACTATTTCCATTCAAAGTAGAGAAGCTCGGTTCATACGAGTATCAACTAATGAAATATATATGTAGTAGCTTCTCAATACTGTATGCCTTCCTCTGAAGCGTTTTCTCGAGTAGTGGAGTAAACTATACCAAAATAAGCTGCAGCAGCACGGTTGAATACTGCTACTTGTCGTACCAGTACTATGCTTTGTTCCATTTGGTAGAGAGGGCTTCGCTGAAGGCCAACTTCTGTTTTTCTTTTCATGAAAATTTCGTAGAAAGAGAGGGAAATTGTCATGGAAAACGGGAGGTATGCAGACCGATTTTTTTTGCATTATTAACAATTGTGATGTTTTCTATGAGAACGTCGAAAAGTTGTCTGTATCATATAAACTTACACCGCTTGAAGGAGAGAATACAGCGCACTACAGTACTGGAGTAGAAAATGTTGCGTAAGTGAATACTTATTAGCTAACAAAGCTGATAACAAGTCAATAGTTGAGAAAGCAGCATCCTCAACTTGGTTATGAGCATGGTCAATGGCCTCAAACACTGGGGAAAATTACTTGACTATTGGACAGAATAGTCAATGAAATTAACAACCACCCTTTAAACCAAAACCCATAAATATCTCTCCCATGGTAGTTACTCCAATTAAGATAGCTGTTGCGATTAGAAATAACCAGTGTTAACTAGTTGTTTACATGAAATTATTAAATTATATCACTCCTAGATAATTTATCTCTCATCGTAACATAATAAATTTATAGTCCTTACACCACACTTTGGACGCCTCAAAAAGAAACGAAGCTGATCTTACAAGTGTTTCGGAGGACTGGCGTTATTAGATACGAAACTCCAGAAGAAGCTAGAATGGTTAAGGGTAGTACTATGTAGTCCGCCACCTACTTTTCATTAGCTTCAAAAGCATCTATTATTGTCTTTCACGATTAGAAGGGCATTGAGTGTGTCAGCCGGCCCCCACCAGCCAAAATTAATTCCAGCTCAGGCTCATTTTCTGCTCCAGATTGGACATATTTTATTAATCTTCGACTTGATCGAGTTATTTTGCGAGATTCGACTATATAAATCGTGATGACCACCCTATGCTCCTTAATACATTCTTGAAGTACTTTTCAAGGCGCTTCCAATGGTGCCAAATAAGATTCCTGTTTTGAATAGAGTTATTGAGCAATTCAGTAAAATATGAAATGAGGTTTTTACCGAAAATAGCCATATTTTACATATGAACACCTCATAAAAGTGATTTCAAGGGTTGCCTTGGATCGAGAGAAACATTTTGATTCAATACATACCATAGTAAAAGTCTCTATTTTCAAGGTGAAAAATGCAATCGTTTGATTTTCGATGAAAACCATGAGGGATACCTCATGCTTTTTGATCAATTTTTGGCCATGTTTTTTAGGTCTTCAAAAAGTTGAGCAAAGGTGTCAGGATGTTACTACTACTCGAGTACAATTGTTTGGCGTCATTTCGGTGGCTCATAAAGGCCAACATGTCAAGACATGGAGGCTTGAAAACTATTCAATTTGGCTGTGTTTTGGGCATTCGTTGGTCAATAGGTGCGTTTTCGTTATGATACATAGGCTGAGAGACATTGTATTCATTGATCTGGATTCAGAGCATGATGTTGCATTTAAATATTTAGCAGAAAATATCAGGTTGATTAGCACTGTTGCATTTCTGTATCTTAGCACAGTGATGCAGCTTGTTAGTAAGGTGGTAACGATTACAAGACACGCGGGACATTTTAAACGCAATAGATAGTCTGCATATATCTTCTTCACAATATATACTGGAAAACTATAATTTTAAAGAATTGAGAGCTGGACAAAGGTGAGCCCCTCTACCAAGAACATAACAATGCATCTAATTCAACATTTGATAGTATTAGTTTATAGGGGGTTTCGCCGTAGCGAAGCAAAAGCGCAAGACCATAGTAATCAGGCGTCTAATGCAATACTTGGTAATATTGATCTATATGAGGGCTTGATCGCAGCGAAGCGAAGGTTCAAAACCATAGTATTCAGCAGCAAATTTGGGTTTTCATTTCCGTTGTAAATAAGCTTACCAGCAACATATCGCATCAAAATTTGCATGAATCAGCTCTACCGAAACCAATATGTCTCCTGTTTGAATTAGAAGTTGCACAGGCTGCAGAACTGCCCTTCCAAAAGACGTCAGCTACTAAAGATATGATTCATGCCGTGTAAATAAAAGCCATAAAGCAAAAATACAGCCAAATTGAAAGTTTTCAAGCCTTCATGTCTTGACATGTTGACCTTTATGAGCCACCGGAATGACGCCAAACAATTGTACTCGAGTAGTAGTAACATCCTGACACCTTTGCTCAACTTTTTGAAGACCTAAAAAACATGGCCAAAAATTGATCAAAAAGCATGAGGTATCCCTCATGGTTTTCATCGAAAATCAAACGATTGCATTTTTCACCTTGAAAATAGAGACTTTTACTATGGTATGTATTGAATCAAAATGTTTCTCTCGATCCAAGGCAACCCTTGAAATCACTTTTATGAGGTGTTCATATGTAAAATATGGCTATTTTCGGTAAAAACCTCATTTCATATTTTACTGAATTGCTCAATAACTCTATTCAAAACAGGAATCTTATTTGGCACCATTGGAAGCGCCTTGAAAAGTACTTCAAGAATGTATTAAGGAGCATAGGGTGGTCATCACGATTTATATAGTCGAATCTCGCAAAATAACTCGATCAAGTCGAAGATTAATAAAATATGTCCAATCTGGAGCAGAAAATGAGCCTGAGCTGGAATTAATTTTGGCTGGTGGGGGCCGGCTGACACACTCAATGCCCTTCTAATCGTGAAAGACAATAATAGATGCTTTTGAAGCTAATGAAAAGTAGGTGGCGGACTACATAGTACTACCCTTAACCATTCTAGCTTCTTCTGGAGTTTCGTATCTAATAACGCCAGTCCTCCGAAACACTTGTAAGATCAGCTTCGTTTCTTTTTGAGGCGTCCAAAGTGTGGTGTAAGGATCCTGTAATGATTGTCTCATAAATTCTAATAATTCTGAGATTAATTTTGAGTAGGGGCTACTAGTAAATCGTTTTGAACTATTGTATGAATGTTAATTGTATGTCTAGTAAAAACTGTAAAAGATACTTTGTATGACTAGGACGTGCTTAGTTTGGGAATATTTGATTTTTCAAAAAGAAATCGACAATATGCTAGCAGACGGTATACCAGTAGCAGATCTAACCAATTTTGCAAATAACTACTTTTCCAAAGATTTACACTTGATGGTCAATTGAAGTTTTGTAATCCTACTAACTCATTCAACATCCTGTGAGCTGTTCAGCTCAATCTTCCATTTTAGCAAGTTGCAATATTAAGAGATCAAGTGCAGTATATAATAAAGATAAAAGCCATTCAGGAGCTGCTTCAATACACCCAACTTTCAAAAAAAATTTAAAATTATACAGAAGCCTCTTGAAATTGCAAAATATTTACTCTATCCAACCATGGATCTCTTTCATCATATAAATAAGTTGTGGATTTACTAAAAATCATCAAAAAGTCGAGAATTGCACTTTTTCCATTGAGATTGCAACAAAAAGTACCAAAAAAAGGAGATAGATATAGCAGAGAGCCCCGTTACATTTAATATGTTAAATTCTAATATTTTATGCCACAGAATCCTGGTAAACTTCAATCCCTGCCTACAAAATACTTTTGGTCGATTCTACGTTTTTCAAGATAAAAATTCATCTTTGAATCATTGCAGAGACCTCAATTCACATGAAAAATGTACGCTCTTTTTTTTTTCAAGATGTACCTGCTTTTGGCTTTTTATTGATACCACTTAAAGCGTTTTTGTCTGCAATTTGGTTGCTTGCCTCCAACTTGAAAGTTAACTCTCTGGAGGAGGTGTTCAGACATCCTACATTAGGTCACAAAACTACAAAATCTTTGCACACACTATGCAAATGTAGTATTAAATGATTCTTTACAATGCAAAGAATCTTTTGAGCCCACGTTTACTGCGGTTTGAAGCAGTTAGCTATGCTGTTTTTCTGCTCTCCCGTCTTTCAACATTTAACGCGTTATTTAGCGCTCCTTAAAAACCGCAGCTGTGCAGGTAAATTTCAGCTACATGACCAATGTGCTTTCTAACGGCATGCACCTTGCATGTCCTTTCAGCCCTCAACTCAAGATCAACGCCAAAGCTGATACAAGAGCCTATATTAAAACCCAATAAGTTAACGTTTTACAATGCTTGTTTAGTCGTTTAGATTTATTTAAGCTCAATAACCTTGGAATTGAACACATGAATTGGATGAAGGATCGTAATTTGGCCAGTAAAAACCTATTCAGCATGAGCGTATCCTTGAAAATAATAGTGATTTACGAAACGTTACTCACGCCTCCATTAGTAAATAGCTGAATAAGTTTAACAGTTTAATGTAAGCTAGAATAAAAGCTCATCCCAAGACAAATCATTTTGATGTAATATAAACATCATTATCAAGTATGCCTAAAAACATATCCTTACTAAACTTAACAGCATTCAGCGTAAGTGCAATCAAACCGAAAGCTGCGAACCAATATCAACTGGCCTTTGCAGACAGTAATGGCATCACTTTTATACAATACTCTGAAAACCCTAAGCCAAACTAATTGGAAATCCTCCTAATCACATACAAATTCAGAACCAAGAGCAACCAAAATTTTATTTTTATACTTGACTTTAAATGTATTATAGGTAAAAGAATGACTTTTTTTCAATATAGAGCTGATGAGAAAGAGTTGCTATGTACAGAGGAAAAGAGCGCAAAGAAAAAAGTATTGTATGGTATGATAATCTAAAAAGCAGGAAATTTTGATCTAAAAGGGTCCCCCTTAATGTTGCCATAAAGATGAACAGGCTCCTTGTATTTAGCAAAGCAAGTGGTATCACCATCGTCCTTGACCTTGGGGATGTATGGGGGCTTCACCTTGCGCTTCAAGACTTGATCAAAGTTCAAATCGGCAAACCAGGCATGTTCTTTAATCTCTTGGCTGGTGTAGCGGCCTTCAATGTCGGCAGTGAGTAGGTTCTGTAACAGATCCTTGAGGTCGGCACTCATATCTTCGGGCCAGTCGACACGGCATTCCAAAATCTTTTGGTAGAGATTCACTGGGTTCTTATCAATGAAAGGGGCACGACTATTGGAAGTGTTAAGATTTAGTTAGAATACGGTGTGCTATCATGACACTAGCGAAAAGAAAACTTACCCAACAACCATTTCAAAGATCAACACGCCCAAGCCCCACCAATCGACAGCCTTGGTGTAGCCTTTAGAGAGGATGATTTCTGGAGCCAAGTAATCGGGGGTGCCACATACAGTCCAAGTCATGTCATCCACACGTTTAGCAAAACCAAAATCGGTTAATTTGACATGACCGCGGGCATCGATAAGAATGTTTTCAGGCTTAAGATCTCGATAGACAATGCCATTTTCATGCAAGTAAGCTAATGCCAACAAGACTTCAGCAGCATAAAATTTGGCCGTTTGCTCAGAGAATTTCTGTAGACAAATATCTCAAGTTAGTACAAAGAGGATTGGCCACTGAATTTGTAAATCAAATGTATACCTTTTGTTTTCTCAAGATACTGAAAAGCTCGCCACCAGGGACATAATCCATCACCATGAAGAGATGGCTGTCATCTTGGAAGGCATCCCAAAGCGTAACCAGGAAAGGATGTGAAATTTCTCTCAAGATAGTAGGCTCATTGTTGATGTGTTCAACTTGCTTGAGACGAACGACATCATACTTGTCAAGAGCTTTGATAGCATAATGCTTTCCATTGACTTTACTTTGAGCCAAATGAACCCGACCAAAGGATCCAGTACCCACTGTGCGCTTTAAAACAAAATCATCCAATCTTAATTTACGATGCTTTTGGCGGCGTTGCTTGCTGTTATTGGGAGCTCTTGCTCGAGGAACTGCGTGTGTGCTGATGCGAGTAACATGTTTAGGTCTGGGAGAGAAGTGAGACTTCATTGGAGAGCGAGGAGCATTTGAGACGGAGTTGGCTGCCTCGCTACAAGGGTTCATCCGATCGGTACTAGTGGCAGTGATAGTGGATGTCTTGCCCAAAGGCGACAGCGAATTATTATCTGGCATTGAAGTGGATTCAGACGAAGTGGATGGCTGAATACTAAAATAACCGTCAGCAGCTTCTCCTGGTTGGGGGAGTGGAGATAATGGAGATGCACGGGTAGGTGATGTGGACAAGTATTCTGGCACTGCGCTCTGTGTTGTGGTTGATGGGATGAGGTGAACGGTGGACTCTTCTTGATAGTTTTTATTGCTTGGAATGATGGGTATAGAATCTGTTTGGTATAATTAGTAATACTGAATAAGGAAATATCTGTCAAATTACTCAAAAAGTACCTTTGAAGTTGTTTTTGTTATTTACAGGTGATTGAGGTGGTGAGCTGATCATTGGAGTGATTGTGATGGATGCTGGCATGTGAGGTGAATTCGAAGCTGAATTTCTGCCTGGTGTCTGAATGTTGTTGAAGCCGCCCGAGTAGCAGCTGCCTTCATCACTTGTAATGCTGCTAGTTATACTGGGTGTCTTTGACATGGTGGGTGATGGCGGTGAGGATGCAGATGCTTTGTTCGATCCTTGACTCTCTGAGCGTTGATGTTTTTTAGTGAGTGTTGATCGACGGATAAGTTGAACTCCTTTATTAATAAGATCCATTGTTTTGATATGTCAGAGACGCTATGATGATTGTATGAAAGAATATGCTTGAAGAAAAATAAAAGAGAATTGCAGTGGAAGCGATGAAATGTCAGAATCCAACTGCTTCTTTTTATACTGATTCAACTTGTCTCAAGTCACAAGGTACCTGATACACACTTTCATATCACCAAGACCTTCATTTGCTCAATTTAGAACGCATTTGGATGCCGCATCAACACTCTTCCGTCGGATATGGAGTATAGATAAGACTAAAATACGTACTTTGCGTAAGGCTCTAATACACCTCCACTCAACTCCGAAGATTACTGTGTGCCCGGGTCTCTTTCCAATGTCCCTCCTCTCATTCAAATCAAATTAAAATTGCAAATTCCTCTGGGATGAGGTATTTTAGAAGCAAGATAAGGTACTGAACACACACACACACACACACACACACAAAAAAAAAAGTGACATGTAAATAAATGTATCATGGGATTACATAAATGATAGATATATTTGGCTCATTTTACTCGATTTTAACATATTCATCCTTTTGGCAAGTGGCTCTGTGTTCAGGTTTTGGATGAGGCTAATCTTGCTATTGTATGTGTTTATTAAATAGTTTACCCCGCAGGATATCATTCGTTGCGTTTTATTGTCCAATATCCAGAAAAGAGACAATTAACCATAAATTGCCTGGGATCCAATTGATTTCGCTTGTTCATATAAGCTTCATGTTGAAATCAGTTTTACATCTCTACATGTGCAAACACTGTGAGAAATTCACGATATACATGGCATTAGACTTGTGCTAGTATCGTATTTGGTTAAGAAACAATCCATGATCGTGATCCCTAATTTCAACCATCGCTACCAATATATATATATATATATAAATACATATAAATTTCAGATGTGTGTAACAATTCTCGGCATTCTGATCACTGGTAGGATGTGTCTGATCTCTGCTCCTCCTTTGGGTATATTAATTGCAAAAAAATTGGCCCGACACATGTATACGCAACTGATAACAATCCAGAGGAAACAAATATAAACAAAGTTATAATAATCTAAATCTTGACCCATCAAAATGAAGCATTGAATCAACTAAAATTGCACCCACTCCTCAGTGCGTCATAGTTTCAGGTGCCGATTCTATCTGGTGTACATGTTGAACTGTGCTCGCTTGCTGTGCTCATAATATCATCAAACTGCACCATCCGCCTTGGGCTTTATCTTTGATCGAACAATGAAAAAAGCTCAAACGTCATTCCATCTCCCAATATCGGCATGAATTAGACAACCTCTTCTTTTTTTCCCCCCGCTTGTCATTATCATCATATCATTCATCAAAGGCCATCATACCTTATCATTGCTCTTCGTATTAAACGGGGCCTATAAAATAGCTTATAAAATATCAGTAAAATGTTTAACCTTGCACCACATTGGCTTTGTCATCGGAGATGGGCGACAATGCTTAAAAGAACCATATACCTCGGGGTACTGCCACGCTAGCTGTTTATTGCATTAAGGTTTGGGTCAGTTTGTATGCGTGCAAGCAATAAAAGAGGCCAATTTGTGTTGTTTATCGTCTTCCAGCGATTCCGGAGAGTTGCGATACGAAACTGAGCGTATAGCCGTTTACGAGTCGACATTTCCTGGAATGCTTCAATACGAGAAATGGCCTCTTTGCCTTCTTTCATTGCAAATATTTCGAAGGAGAATGTGCAATGCTTCCAATCTCACTGGCTGTTTTGATTAGTATGATCTTTAATTATATATATATATATATATATATGATTCTATTGTCTGTGGTAAATTAAGAGGATACCAACGTATATACGGTAAAGTATCTATGCGCAGAGGTCATGCACATCAACATTTGCTTTAAACAAGATGTCAACTGAGCTATTAGAGGATCGCATGATGCACTAGTCGACCATGAGTAATGCTATCAATCCAATATACATAACCTTGATTCTACAGCCAGATTATAGTCTCTGTTACAAGCCCCATTGATCAGTTAAGATGCCAGTTGTTTGCATTAAGCATTTAAAATATTCATGACATCATGGGAATACGGTTAAGCAACAAATTTGGCTATCACGATCTCTTGTGAATCCAGGAACACATCAGGTCCATTTTCTGCAAAAAGTCTCGTAACTCTTGTGCTCTTTTTTTTTTTAGCTCAAAATGATAAGAAACCAACATGGATAGATAGATCGGAAGGAGATGTACCTTTATTAATAAACCAAACTCGTATAAATGTATCATTTAGGAGAAACGTGCAGCTGACGGTCGTGGTTTCACTAAATTAGCACAGAATCTGTTCTTAAAATGGCGTCAAATATCAGGGTTTTTGCTTACCAAACACACCAGATTTGCTCTTATCAATGGAATAAGCGTGATGCGTAGTATTACATAAGAAATCAACCCGTCGAACCATGTTCCTTGACGTCTATTTTTGCACCAACGCAAGACATAATGTGCCGGCAGTGTGGCCAATATTAGAAACATTGTTGTGAGTTAGGCAAGCCATTATATCCTCTCAGTCATTTGGATAATAGTTAACTTCGATTAGTAATAACAAAAGCTGTATATGCACCCACGAGATGCAGACTATCTATTGCGCCTGAAATATCTAGCGTTCTTTACAGCCGCCATCAACTCTCTAATAAGCTGTATCATTGTGCTACGATACAGCGATCCAGCAGTGCCACTCAGCCCAACATTTTTAGCTGAATATTTGGATGTAATCGCATGCTTTGAACCGAGATCAATGAATGAAATGTCTTAACGTCTTTATATCATAACAAAAACGCGCTTATTGACAAGCAAATGTATAAAACACAGCCAAAATTGGCAGCTTTCAGGCCGTATATCTAAACATGTAGACCTTTCTGAGCCACCGGAATAACGCCAAACAAGTGTACTCGAGTAGTAGTAACTTACTGGCACCTTTGCTCAACTTTTTGGGGAGCAAAAAAACATGGTCAAAAATCGACCAAAAAGCATGAGGTATCCCCTCATGGTTTTTATCAAATATCAAACGATCGCGTCTTTCACCTTGAAAATGAGACTTTTCGTATGGTATATATTAAATCAAAATGACGCTACTGATCCAAAGCAACCCCTGAAACTTTGTTTGTGCGACCTTCATATGCAACATCTTGACATTTTGGTCAAAAACCTCATTTCGTATTTTCTAAAGTTGCTCAAAAAGTTCAGTCAAAATATCTATTTTACCTGGTACCATTTAAAGCGCCTTGAAAAGTACTCCAAGAATGTATTAGGAAGCATCAGACGATCATCACAATTTGTATAGTCGAATACCACAAAATAGATTCAAGAAGTCCTAAAAAAAAAACCAAAATTTGGCCAATCTTGAACAAAAGATGTGTTCTGAGATTGAACTGATTTTAGCACTGCTGGCTAACCAAAATGCCTTTCTGATGATGATAATGATGATTGGAATGCTGTTTGAATAGAGATCATTAACTTGAAAGAACTATTACTTAACTCGAATACCCTTTTTTTGATTTTGTTGGGCATTCTCATATATGACAAACGCCAATCAGCCTGGCTCACCATCAAAATATATGTAATCGCAGCTTCTCAATCATGGTTTGCAGCATTTCAACATAGCATGCAGGTAGTATGCATTCTACTGATGCGTCTAAAGATGACTATTGGCACTGGATTAAAAACCATCTCGGCATATGGTTAGGACATCTTTAAAGCTTGTATCAGAATATTCATTGGGAACGATGGCTGCAATCTCGTTGACAGTTGCCAGTTTCTGCGTACGCCTATCTTCACCAACAGCTAGCTCCAATCTCGTCTGAAGGTTGAGTCGATTATGAGCATCCTCATTCATATGATTTCAGGTCTTCTTTACTTGGGACCTCATGGTATGCTTGCAGCTGTTAACAAAGGTCATTTGAGCCTTGCCCGACGCTCAATGTATTTTGGCTGTATGATTGAAACGTGTACATGATGTTGAACTCTAAGGTAAACTCCTTCTACTGGCATTTCATTAGAGGTTATACTTTATAAGCTACCAGACCTCAGCAATCCATCGTACATGTCAGATCAATGCGTATTGTACAAGATATATTGAACTTTTTTTTTTATTACAATAGAATGCTTTTTCTTAAATATTCCCCAACATTTTAACCTTGTCTTTGACTACAAAACATGATCAAAAATTAGCTTTCGGCAATCCTTTCAACTAAACACAATTCACACTTACCGAGGGGCACATCTAATAATGTTATCAACTCTCAAAATCATCTCAGCAGCCTCAGAAGCAGACAAAAGAACTTGCTTCTTGAGCTTGTATGATTCAGTAATACCCAATTCTCTAACATCAGCTACTGTGCCATTCACCATATCCAAACCAGCTGTGTTTTGGCCTTCGTAGTGAGCAGCTCTCAACTGAGAGACCAATTCTGAGGAATCGAAACCAGCATTATCAGCCAAAATAGTGGGCATTTGACGAAGTGCTTTAGAGAAAGATTCAGCAGCGATGGCACGCTTTCCAGCAGTCTTTGCAGCGACTTCATCCACGGCCTTGGACATCAGCACTTCAGAACAACCACCACCCAAAACAGTGCGAGGCTCACGGACAGTTTGAGAGAGCACAGAGAGAGCATCATGGAGCGATCTTTCGGCTTCGTCTAATAATTGTTGTGTAGCACCACGGAGAACGATGGTACAAGCTTCACCAGCAGCGACACCAGAGAACTTGATCAGTTTGTCCTCACCAATGATGATCTCTTCAATCAAATCACAATGACCCAGCTTGACGAGTTCAGGATGATCAAAGGTAGAAGCGATTTCACCACCAGTAACAAGGGCCAAACGCTCAACACCCTCGAAATCAGCATGTTCAATGGTGGCAATGCCAGAATCAGCTAATAATTGCTCGGGCCAGTTGTAGATTAATTGACGGTTTACGAAACAGTTGATACCGTGAGCCTTAATCTTGTCAACCTTCTCCTTCATCTTGTTACGCTCAGCACGCTCGAGTTCAGCAAGCTTACCAGTAGCATCAACACGAACACGTGCACCGAAAATCTTGATCTTGTCGGTATCCATAGCTAAAGAGATTGGCGTGTGAGCAACGAGTCATGTCTGTTCTGATCCGTGTTTAATAGTTACATGTGTTGGCAATCAAGATATTTGCGTTTTCAATACGTTTAGGACAGTTAACACCAATCTTTTTATCCAAAATGAAACCTGGAAAAAAAAACACGTCCCTGAATCAACAACCATCCGTACATCACTAGATCACTTTATACCTTCATCCAAATAAGAATCCATCAACTTTCCACCGGGCTTCTTGATGATTTGAATATTTTCGAGGTTGGTAGAGCCCTTGAGACGGAGCACGGCATCGACAGCTAATTTGGAAAAGTACTCCTTGTCTTGAGACAACACCTTTGAACTGAGGGTAGTTTTGGCAATGTTGATTAAATCTTGGCGGAAGAGCTCTTTGTCCAAACTGTGATCGACTGCACTTGCTTCTAAAGTCTTGTAAGCAGCAGCAGAAGCAAGACGATAGCCTTCAATGATAGTTTGAGGGTGAATGTGTTGATTGACCAAATGTTCAGCTTCACGTAAAAGTTCAGCAGCTAAAACACAAACAGAGGTGGTACCATCACCAACTTCATCGTCTTGGACTTTGGAGATGTTGACAAGAACCTTGGCTGCTGCGTTATCCAAGGCAATCGATTTCAAGATAGTGGCACCATCGTTGGTCACCAAAATTTCGCCAGTTGTAGCTGATTGAAGAATCTTGTCCTGTTGAAACACGGATATAAGAAAAATTTTCGATATACATGTGTACATCATCCTTACCATGCCCTTGGGACCTAATGTGCTCTTGACAAGATCACCTACTGCAATAGCACCAATGAAGGAAGACTGGATGCATGTTAATATAGTGGTGCTAATGAAAGGTTAAAGAGATGTAGTTACCAAACGAGCGTTCTCAGCTCTTTCCTCAGTTGCTTGATCCTGGAAGATGTTGACGGGGGCTAAAGACTGGCAACGTATTTAATAACGTGTTGAAAGCAGTTTATTACATGTAGTTACCATTTTATATAAGAAAAAGTTTCTAGTGAATAAAGAGAGAAGCTGAAAGGGTGGAAGCTGAAAGAAGGAAATATATAAATCGCTGTCAAAAAGATTTTTTCAGGAAAGGAACACGCGCTTCCCAAAAGCCTAATAGAACACAGTGACGTGAGCCACGTATACTTGCCTCTGGACGCTCAAGAAACCTTGTTTGACATCTATCAGACATACAGCACTGTATGCATTTGCATTTCATGTCATTTTATCGTCAAAAACTGCCATATTTTACTGCTGTAGCGAGTGAATCAAGGCTCAACTGAGTCAGGAGATTTGTAGCGGAATGCTATTCGCTATTTCGAGTCAGTAAATGCTGATCCCTCAGAGGCAACGGCTGTTGCAACTGAATCAAAGAACAGTAGCATTGATTTACCAACTCTCAGTAGTGTTGCGCTCTGCCAGCACACATTCGGCATCCATCTCAATGATGGCATCTCTTAAAATGACCAGCAGAGCAAGTCCAATCATGGTTGGTATGGGGCTTAACGTTGCAATCACTGGCTGTGCCTATATGCAATGGGTATCTCCCACCATTGCTCTACCAAACACCCCTATTCATTCTAGCAGAAGCGTCTATCTCACACTGGCAATACAATTGGTTCAATGCCGTGTAGTGTGAAAGAACCTTTGCCATCCACATGGATGATATTTGGCAGATTGAAAGTTGCCTTCAGATCAAATCTCAGTCTATAATAGATTTAATGGAATCTGATAGTCAGATAGTCCATGAACAGGAGCATAGCGTCGACTACTAAATAGCAAAAAAAAAAAAATGCATTCTATACATGTCTCTTGGAGAGGGATTGATGGTTGTATTTGAGTGGCAAGGTGGCATTTCGTAGACACGTCATCAAATCACCAGTGATTCTATTTATTTTCAATTTCCACGTTGTGTCAATGCGTCCATCTATCTCTTTCACTCCAACAGAATGCAATCGAATCTCAATAATCTTCAGTTCCAACAAATGCAAATACTGCAACAGCAGCAGCGATTAGCCAATATGATGCAACAGAAACAGCGAGGATTTCCTCCACAGCAATTACAGCAACAACAACAACAACAACAACAACAGACCTGGGATGAGAACTCGCAGTTCAATAAACAACAGCAATTGTTATTACAACAGCAACAGCAACAACAACAAGCTCGCGCGGCTCAAAAAGACATGGGAATGATGCGAACTCAATCTATACCTCAACCCAACATGATACCACCCAAGCAACCTGTGCAGCAGCAGCAGCAGCAGCAGCAGCAGCAGCAGCCAGTTGTGCCTTCAGTGAGTTCTCTAGCAATTCCTACACCTCCAGAGAATGCCATCTCGGTAAAAACAGAAGCACAACAAAAGAACCTGATGCAGTATCAAGGACGAGATGACGCTTACCAAGATACACTGAATCTACAACACAAACGCCACATCGAGCTCGCCCAGAGCAAGAAGAAATCGATAGAGATAGCCAGCATGGAACGAAGAACTCGAATGCAGCACGGACCTGCTATTGCGTTTGGACCTGGCTATCGAGGCTATGGAAACGGAAGAACAGGCACCACAAGTAGAATTCGTTTTCCTCAAGACAACAAGAGAAGAAGTCGAACTGCAAAGAGAGATAGATTTCGATTGTAAGTGTGTGTGTGTGTGTGTGTGTGTGTGTGTGTGTGTGTGTGTGTGTGTGTGTGTGTGATACTGCACCTGGATTTGTGTTTGAACAGCCCTAACAAACAAGCACAGCCCATTGGAAGCTTTGAAAGAGCAATCTACCAAAGAAGAGGTTTTAGTGCCTATTCGAATTGAACTGGAACACGAGGGCTATAAATTACGAGACACATTTACATGGAATCTGAATGGTAAGAGGCGATACTTGGTTGCGAGAGAAATCAGTTTTGACTAATATTACCAACAGAGTCGCTAGTGACACCTGAACAGTTTGCAGAAGTGATGTGTGAGGATCTAAAGCTACCATCTGCCGCCTTTTCATACCAAATTGCCAGATTCATTAGAGACCAAATTGACGACTACAACCTAAATGCATCAAGTATGATGAAGGACGATACTGAGGAATCAAATGAACAGAAACTGGAGACGTTGGATCTCTTGGCACATCCTGAGCAAACTGAGCAAACTGAGCAAGCTGAGCAAGCTGATAAAGAAGAGGTTGAAGTGAATCATGATAAACAAGGCGTGGAGCTGAGAACATTGATCAAATTGGATATCACTGTGGGTAACTGGGAGTTGGTGGATCAGTTTGAATGGGACATTGGATACCCTCGTAATTCGCCCGAAGAGTTTGCACACAAATTGGCTACGGATTTAGGACTGAGTGGAGAATTCAAGTGAGTATCTGTTGGGTATGCGTGTTTCCCAAGCGCTGACATGATGACTGTAGAACCGCTATTGCTCACTCCATCCGAGAGCAGATCCATGTGCATATCAAATCACTGCTACTTGTGGGCTACGAATTCAACAACAACTCCATTATCGACGATGAGATCAGAAATAGCTTCCTGCCACATTTACGAAACATTATTCGAGAAAACTCGTCTGTTGAGCGATTCACACCATCTATGATTGAATTGTCTGATGCTGCAGTGGCTAGGGCCGAGAAAGACAGAATGAGAGAAGCCAGGTAAATGCGTTGGCGTATTTTACTGATCCAATCCCAGGGCTGACCGTTTTCCTTGACTAGACGCAAGAGAAGAGGAACAAGAGCACGTCGAGGCATCATTTTGCCAGACAGAGAGCCACAAAAGACGCATCGAACAGGATTTGCAGTTCCACCTGAAAGCGAGCTGACAGACGAGCAGTTCTTGCAAAACCAATTGAATGATCCACAGAACAACAAGCGAAGCGCAGCATTAAAGGCACGCATGAATATCGCAGCGGAGGCAGCCAATGTGGGCGATGATTTAATAGAGGAAGCGCCAGTTCAGCACCATCACCATCAGCAGCAACAACAAATGCAAGGCAGCATTTCTTTTGCCAATACCATCAAAATGAACGATTTCCAGCGACAGGTGATGAAGCAAAACCAAATGAATGCTTGGCAACAACACCAACAGCAGCAATTTCGTTGAGAAATAAGCCAAGTTACATCATATCATAAAGCTTAAAAGTTGATGTTGTTGTTGTGCAAACATCTCCTTATTTTAGCAATTTATTGTGTACACCCTTACCATCTTTTCTCGCCATGTATTACCCAGGCTTCTTTCTATCTCTTTTTCTCGCTCTCTCTTTCCTCTCTTTGTCTTTTATTTTCTTATTCCAACCATCATACACATCATCACACAACTTTTATTCCATTTTCCAAAATTAAAAAAAAAAACCAGCTCCCAAAAGCAGGAGATACAAAATAACATTCATTCAAACAGTGCTTTTCTTTATCTCTTCTCTCCCTCTTTCCAACATTAATCAAGCTGGACAATTCAAATACAACTAATATAGACTCTGCAACAGTCTGCGGACCTGATGATCCCGTCTTACTCTACGTTCATTGCTCTGTCAACAAGCCAGATCCTCATGTGCGGATCCTAAGAAAAACAACGCCGAGTAGAATCCCTCCAGTCATTATAGGTAACATATAAAAACAGGCGCATCCATCACTAAAGCCAATATATATATATAACTCACTGTTTTTCAGTAACGGGCGTCAAGAAGGAATCCCGACTGCCAAAAATCTGTGATGAAAGACCCGATACATCTGTTAAAATCATCGTGTTGGATCTTCGAACAAATTCTGATCCCAACAAAGCAAACGAAAACGTACCAGCTTCCAAGTTCAAAAAGATGCCAAAGGAGATATGGGACAATGTGCTGCAGATTGGAAGAGCATTCAAGCCGAATCAGCCCACAGACTGTCCCATTCAGACATCGCCACCGACGACCATTGATGTGTATGCCAATATATTACCAAAGAACCCACCTTCACAGCAATTCATGAGACAGCAGCAGCAGCAGCAGCAAATGCCAATGGCACATCAGATCAATCCCTACAATAATGCAGGCATGTTTCACCCCGGGATGATGTATGGCAACATGATGCCACCGAATGGAGCAAATCCAATGATGTTCAATCAGCCCAATTACATGAACGTCATGGCCGCAGCTCAGTCCATTGTCAATGCAGCAACAGCTTACAATAATATGTTTCTGCCAAACTTCAATCCACACCAACATCCCATCATGTCGCCACAGCCACAGCAACTGATGTCACCTCAACCGCAACATATGTTATCGCCACAGCATCAACATGCTCAACTGGTACATCAACAACAACAACAACAACAACAACAACAACAGCAGCAGCAGCAGCAGCAACAACCACCCAATACGCAAATCAAGCGAAAGCCTGTTCAATTGCATCCACCCACTTCCTACCTCAGCCCTCAAATCGAACAAAGATTACTTCGGAAAAAGTCGCTGCCATACCAACAGCAACAACAGCAACAACCGCAGCAGCAGCAGCAGCAGCAGCAACAGCAGCAGCATTATATGAATGTACCAGATCCATATCAACAGCCGCAATTTGATCCAGCAAAGCCCAAAAAACGAGTGCGGTTTGCACCAAACCACACAGTGTATATGTATGAACGGTTTGAAGGCGAAGACGAAGCGCAAGGGACAGCAGGAGGAGATGGAGAAGATGAGCACGATCAGGAATACCAACACGATGGGGATTATCATCATGAAAGTGAATCGCACTATTACCAAGACTATGATGATAACGATATCAGCGACAATGATCCCTATTATACCCAACAACAACAACCATCTTTTAATAACAATAACCCATATCAATCCAACAGATTACCGCAGCAACAACAACAACAACAACCTTATAGAAACAATGACCATCGCTATTATTATTACCATCCAAATGAACCGACAGACGCATTTGATGACGAGGAGGTGAAGGAAGAGGATCTTGGTGATTTGTGGAAAAGGCGTAGCTTTATACAGAGACACAATTCAAAGTATAGATCGAGGGCGTGATATTGTTGGATGTATAAAAGAGTGAATAAAGAAAATTTTGAAACAGCCATCCTATGTGTATACTCTACAGGTCTTTAGCGAGCGTTATAGTGCAATGAGCTGCCATAGACGGATGTAAATGCTGTCAACAGCCTTATTGTTTATTACATACAGTATAAGCAAGGAATAAACGAATCAAATGTATTAAAAGGTAGCTTTTTTTTTTTTTTTTTTTTTTATCTGATGGTTGCCCTGAATACTGCAGATTACTTGCCTGAAATCAGTAACAATCCGTTTGAAAGACATCGTATAGGAGACCTTAAAAGATCTGTCAGTATCTGATTGTTAATCTCATCGCTGGCCCTTCGCAATTGCACTATTCCTTGTTGAAATCTATACAGTGCCTCTGATGTGTGTCGACTGATTTCTGATTGAAGATAAAAAGAAACCAGGTCCTGTTGAATGATCAACAAAATGAGAGCACGCAAATCGCCCTCTTTCAAGTGCTTCAGTATGTCGATCAAGCTGTGGTTGTTTCTGTTGTTGCTGCTGCCCAATGTAGATTTTGTAGTCGATGTCAATAGTTTGATGTGTTCTGTGAGCAAGTCTACTTGAACAGTAATGGTGTCGATTCTCTCGTCCATGTACTGCTGCTTTTGCTGTTGTTCCGAGAACTCGTCCTTGTAAAACTCTTGGAGCATGTCATGCCTCTCTTTCAGCAAGTCTTTTTGCTCTCTCATCAATTTGATTTTCTGCAGTAGTTTTCATTGCGTCAGCAAGTCAGTCCTTCCCAATGCTGCACGTATCACTTACTTGTTGCTTCAAGGAATCCAACATTTCTAAACAAAGGGGATGAAGTTTGATGTGTTCAAAAGCCATTATTCTATTGTAAAATAATGAGCCCAATATTACTAGCAAGGACCATGCATCATCACCAAACAGCCATACCTCTTGATCTCTGCACGGACATCCTCAATATCCACTCGCTTCTTGTTAGCGGTACTACTTTGTCTCTTATCTGATCCGCCTGGGATGCTTGATCCATTCTGACTTCGAGTACTGCCATTGTTGGCTTTACTGTTTTTTGCAGTAGCTGTGCTGTTGTTACTGTGGGTGCTGCTGCTGTTGTTGTGTGCGTTTTTGGTGCTGTTTGAGTGTTGGGTATATATAAGAGCAGCTCTATTGAGTATAGGTTTTAGTTGCGAAAGGGTTGTGGACGGGTTACTTGTCAGAACCATGGCCTTCTTGATGGCAGCCATAATTTGCTTCAGTTGACTTGACATTGTCTGATGCTCCAGCATCAATGAATGAGTGAGAGTGTCAGAAGTTGTATTCAATAGTGAGATGGCAGTGGGTTGCTTGATGAAACTAGGCTTTGATTGATCAAGCTCTTTCTTTCTGCTGATTGGAATAGACGAAGGAGGAAGAGGCTTCTTGATGATGGCTGCTTGCGGTGGTTGCTTACTGCTCTGCTCGACTAGCTGAACCAGTTGTTTTTGCTCTCTGATGCTCGATAGAAACATGTTGATAAGCTTTGTAATTTTGTTTGGATCAGATGTGAGGGTAGGTTGATTCTAGGCCTCAGTATCAGTATACAAGTGTCATATTCCATGCCTGATTGAACTTACCTTTATTTGTTTGACAAACAAATACTCTTTCTTCATGCGATGCTTATGTTTATCTAATGATAACAGGAGTGAATTCTGATCGTTTTCAGCAGTAGCTGCTGCAGTGGCTGCGACTCTTTTTCTGACATGGTTGTTGTTGCTTGTACTCTTTCGTTTTCGCTTGGTACTCGTGGAGGCACTCATAGTCTCATCCATGGAAGAGCCAACTAACGTTACTTGATCGTCCGCTATCGTGTCAGTGCTGTTATTGATGACAGAAATGGCAGGTGATGTTTTTGTGGTTGTTTGTGGTTGCAGCTGCTGCGAACGAGCCATGAGTGACGATAATATTCTTGTTTCATCCATCGTGGTGCTTTGCGCTGGATTGGGTAACCCGATGTTATTGTGGCAATAAATCAACGATTCTAATGTCGTATTTTTAGCTCTTAGATCATTCAATTCTACATGGACCTCCTTGATGAAAGCATCATTGATTCGAATCTCTTCTTTTAGGTGCGCAATTTCCTCTTTCAAGGTATCCGTGAGGCTTTGCTGTTGGTTTAGTACAACCGTGTTTGTGATATTCTTGGCTCGATTGGCATATTTCAGCGTGCTCAAAGTTTCGTTAGCGTTTGTGTCAGATGGTGAAACGCATGCCAGCATGAGGGTCTGGCTATTACCACCAAGACTGTCTTGTAAAAGTCTTGTCAATTTCGAGTTTCTATATGGGATGTGTTGTTGTTGACGCCTAGATTCATCTCCCAATGCAGATATTACATTGCCAAGAGCCAAGAGTCCAGAATTGATGGATATGCCTTCCTTTGCCCTGTCACCAACTGCATTTGTCTTTTTCAGCTATATATAGGGTTTTCAATTAGTGCGTTGTTGAGTTTGCGACAATGCTAGTGTTACCCGTTCAGAGCCAGCAAGATCAACGAAATGAAATTTGGACTCCAATGTCTTTGCAATCGTATCGTTATTCTCTACTGTCACGTTCATGTTTTGCGTCAAGGACACTGAGAATATAGCGTGCGACCTAGAGGAACTAGCATTCATATCGGTGGATGCGGTAGTACGAGCAGTGGACCCTCGAGAAAGACAGCTTTATTTATGCACCAAATACGAATGAGTAAACACGTTTTTAAATGTCTTGGGAGCGTAAATATTTACCTCAAAAGATCTGCAGCACCTTGAATGGGTTCTTCTTGTACACCTGACCAAGTGATATTTCCATTTGCGTTTTCTCGGATAGTGATAGATGCATTTTTGGTGTTGGTATTTAATAGATCAATGATGTCTTCATTGTATAATTCAAGAAATGACACCTTAACACTGTATTGAGTGTTGTTATTAGGCTGGTTCTGCTGGTATTCAATCCAGCTGAACAGATTGTCAGCAAAACGTGGAACAATGCCAACATGTTCGCTAGAGAAATCAGCAGTAGTGGTTGTGCCCATGCTGTAAGTTTTGCCGCTGCCGGTTTGACTAGATTTGCCTATGAGTTCATCGTTTTGCTAGCAGTATTTTGATCTAATTACCCATAAGCCAATATGGTTGCATTATAACTATCATGTTGCAAAAGAAAAAAAAAAAAGGGGGTAAATACAATCATCAACTCGATGCATGAAAAAAGACTCTCGAGAACACTCACCCATGGACAAACTGATCAAACAATGGCTGAATACAGGACAGATAGACATCGGTTTGGCTTTTATGGGGTGGATAAACATAATCAAATGTAAAATGACGACGATCCTGATCTATGCTGATTTGTTGTGGTTGCCCAGGCACAAATGTGATGAGATTTTCTATTTGATGTGTCTCTTTCAGTTCCTTTTCATTAAAGGGTCGCACACGCAAAGCCACCCTACATTTGATAGCATTCAGTTAGGGCTTGCTATTCATTATTTAAGGCTGCATTTGACATGTTGCTTCGGTACCTTACTGTTGTCAATGCCATGATATCTAAAAGCAAGAGATCAAAATAACAGTGAGGAAGGGAGAAAGAGGAAAAGTGTGCAATACTAAAAATAGGAGAGTGATTACTCTAGTTTATTATTCTTTTCCCATTAGAAAGCATGGTGTAAACAACCATTTTGGGAACCTGAATTCAAAAAAACACCACTGTTTCTTGCACAGACTTTGTGAAAGCGAAGCTAGGTTGGTAGTGTCTCTAGAGAGGGGCATCAAGACACTGTTTAAAGCAGTCAATGTACAAGTGGTTGCCATACAGTGTTGTGTTGGTTGCTCAACACTAAAAAAATGTGCTGCGGTCTGAAGCAATTCACCTTAAATACGTGTTCACTTTTCCCATTCTTTCTACTCTCTTTCTTTCTATCTTTCTCTTTTTCCGTATTTCTTTTATCATTTAAAAAAGACCAAATTGTTCTTACCTTTCTCTCGCATTTATAAAAGAGAAATCCACAACTCTTTCTACCTTGGTCTGTTGCTCCATTTCTTGTTTAGCCCAGACATTTCCAATCTCAAAAGCAAGAAAAAGAAGAAGAAATTACACTCTACTTTCTTCTCTTTGCATTACATACCACTAATTATTTGATTAATCTATTCACTCTGTTCAATTTCGATCCACTCCTACCTTACTTTTCAATCTCCATAGCAATAAAGTCGTCTCTATGGTTACCGTTTAGTCCACATCAGCAACTCCAATTACTTCAACAGCAACAACAACAGGCACAATACACATGAAAAAAAAGATGAAAGACAAGCAGAGGAGCCGGCATGAGGATACTCCCACTAACAAGCTTTCTTATCTTCCACTGTCTCCTCCATCACATCAAAAATCACCTCAAGACTCGCATTATCAATCATCTTCCTCTCCAGTAGGAAGACCTCCACCTATGCTACAGCAACCTTATTTATTCAGCAATCAGGCTAGCGATAGTGAATGCAATAGTGAGATGATTACTGCCAGCGATAATTTCGTAATTGAAGAAATGAATGCATTTCTTTTGGCCAGTCAAGAAGGTGAATCCTCCTCTTCCTCCTCTTCTGCTTCTTCTTCTAATCCCAATCATTGTTTCAATATATTGAATCAATATCCCATGGATTTTGAACTCTATGATTTACTTGGCGGAAATCCTGGTGACATGGATGACGATTCAATGTCTTATACCTCTGATAATAACGATTGGTTTCCTACTTTGCCAGACAATAACACATCTCGGGAAGCTTAAATGAGAGGTGCACAAAATGTGTGTGTATCTCCATTAATATATAAATTGCTGCGCATCAACCAAAAAGCAGCATTGCTATTTAATCTATACCAAATTTTAAACAAAAAAACATATACGACATCCCTACATCCCTACATCCCTACATCCTTATATAGTTTATAATGTAAAAAAAAAAAAAAAAAAAAAAAAAAAAAAAAAAAGAAAAAGAATCTTGTATTTATTTGTACACACAAAAAAACAACACATTTTACCCCACATTTGATCAAATCTCATTATTCAGAAAACTTCCCTTTACCATAAAGCATGCTCCCCTTTTACTTTTTCATTAAAAAGATCAAGTGTAATTTATTTTACCAAATTACCATTTCAGACATGGTATCTATTTGTTTAGTGGATTTAATATACATTGGCATGATGATACATCCCAAAAGTTCGAGAACAATGACTCATAGTTTGTAATCTACCCAAGGAACACTATCTTGCCCCTGATTTCAATATGAAATACCAAGCCAATGATAAAGACGTACAAGTGGTGGATTTACTCACGCACGTCCCATGAGGTGATGCATTTTGGCCAAAATGGCATGCTTAAAATGAAACAAATAAATGTTTACTTTATACCTGCATGTATTTATCTGACATCAGTCTTCTACAATTTAAGCAAGTTTGATGCTCGAGGCGCTTGTCAAAACATAATAGCCCTTTGCAGCAGTGTACAGTTTGGCGTCGATTGCAATGATTTAACAATGCTCGACATAACTTCTTTGTTACTATGCCTCACTGTGCAGTGTACAAGCTGCGCAATACGTGCTTGATCTTGGGCTCAAGCTTTATTCAGTAGAATCGCTATAGTGGTTCACGGATAGTCTATAATCTATTAAATTTCATTTTTTGGTCCTTTTCATCATATTAAACCCATCCATAAATGGCTCATAACTGTGGATCTGACTTTTTTATCATATTCCACGTTTATGTCCATGGAAGCAATCCATTTGCAGGCAGGCATCATACTCGTATCGCCACTTATTACTTGAAACTGGGCAAACCACAGCGAAAATTAAATGCATTTGAGTCGCGATTACTCGCGTTACAAGCCGTTTTAGACGACCAGAACAACACCCAACAGTTGTTTTCATCTAGCACTTACTTTCTGACACCTTTGCTTAACTTTTTAGGAATCGTCAAAAATCGATCGAAATCCATGAGGGGTACCTCATGAATTTCATCGAAAATCAAACGATCGCATTTTTGACCCCAAAAATGAAAACTTTTACTACAGCATATATTAGATCAAAATGTTTTTTTTTCGATCCAACGCAACCCCTGAAACTTTGTTTATGCGACCCTGATATGTAAAATCTCGGCATTTTGGCAAAAAAAACGTTATTTCATATTTTTGTCTTTTGCTCAATAAGCTTGTTCAAAACATCTCTTAATTCTAGTACCATTGGATGCGCCTTGAAAAGTACTCCAGGAAAGCCTAAGGGTACTTGAGATGATTCGTACAACTTGTATAGTCGAATTTGGAAAAACAGGTCAAATTGAATTCAAAAAGTTCGAAAATGAACAAATCAAGAAGAAATGATGAGCGAAGATTGAACCAAATCTTGTCTGAAGGATGCTTCTCTTACTATGAAGGCAATCGAAGTTTGCCAGTATGTCAATACCATTCTTAACACTAATCAAGCTAAACAATAAGGCTAGGCTATCAATGAGTGTTAGCGAGCGAGAAAAGACTGGTAACGCAACATGAAGACGTTTCGCACTTACCATTAAAATTGCTTAAAAAAAGCAATTCTGAGATGGCTGCTGATTACGACGACCCACATTTGAATCACTCAATATACAGATCATTGCCACCATTGCCTAAACTATTGCAATCATAGTTTTAGGGATTCTACAGAGATGCTGAATCGAAAATGTATGGTTTCATTGATGCTCAAATTCCATCGAATATAATCCTGGTTTGTATGCGCACGATGATTATCACTGGTTTATCAAGTGCCGGATAAATCAATGGCCATTTGAGTAATTGAACCAAAACTGTGGTTGATTTAATTTGGGATTCAATTTTATAGATCCCCTTTTTTTTTTTTTTCCAAAAATATTTTTCTTTTATTGAAGATTGATCAAGATGACATACTGGAGCACTCTACTCAAACTAAGGATACCTGTCAAGGAGGACCCTCGTTTACTGCCTGCATGGCGAAAACGATTACTGCTTGGCCTTGTTTGCTTCATTGCTATTATTCCTGGATTCTGCTCTACAATTTATGTAGGTCTATGTTTACAGAAAAATGTCAGTTGTGATGTTAATCATTTGATATAGCTCCCAGCATTGGAAGAAATTACAGTGGAATTAGATAGTCCTACCATCATGGTGACTTTGAGTAACTCACTGTACATGCTGTTTATGGGCATTGCTGTAAGATCAATGCATTATCCACTCCAGTCAACCGTATAGTAACCCTTTTCGATTAGCCCATCTTTTATAGTAGCATCAGCGATCATTGGAAGATTCGCAGATCAGTGTATTTCTTCTCCATCATCATATACACTGTGGGATCTTTGGCTGCAGTGTTTGCCAACGATATCAATGTGCTGTTGGGCATGAGAATTCTTCAAGCTGTAGGCATTTCGTCTGCTTGGGCCATCGGTGCAGGGTAAATAGGCACAATGCAGCGTAATGTGAAATTAGCGCTAAAAGTAAATTTATAGATCTGTAGCTGATATTTACGATGTTCATGAGCGGGGAAATGCACTGGGCATATACTTTACAGGTCAGTTCGCAGGCCCTCTATTTGGACCAATATTTGGTGGTTATCTCGTTGAACGATGGGGATGGCGATCCGTCTTTTGGCTGCTATTTGTGTTTGGATGCATCTTGCTTGCATTGGTTGTTTTTACCATGGAAGAAACCTATCGTGAGGAGAGCATCTGGGGCAAGGAGAGCAAGGCTGTTCTTGATAGCAAGAATGAGGACGTCGACAACGAAAAGCAGCCTCCTCTTGTAGCTGAAAATGAGCAGCAGCAAGCAGACATCTCAGAGCAAAATACAATGGCAGAGGCCAAGATGATGAACCCATTTGCCTCGCTTGCATTGCTCCGCCATCCCTTTGTGTTGGTATTCTCCATGGCGACTGGGTTTGCATTTGGCGGTATGTTTGCTATTGAAAACATGCTTCCAGAGCTCTATACATCTGTCTATGGCTTAAGCAGTGGCATCATCGGTTTGACATTCATCTCGCCTGGTCTAGGTGAAGTGTTTGGCTCCCTGTTTTCTGGCAAATTATCAGATTACTTTTTAAATCGAGCTAAAGTAAAACGTGGAGGTGATGCTATCCCGGAGGACCGTCTTGCACCCAATGTCTGGCCAGCAGCTTTCATCCTGAATCCAATGTCGTTCTTTTTATGGGGTTGGCCTGTTCAATTGGGATGGAGTGTCTGGGTGTCCATCATCATGTTTGGTGTGCAGTGTTTTGCCATGGTGCAAGTGTTCAATCCAGCCATGTCCTATCTCGTAGACGCCGTGTCAGATAGAGGGGCCAGTGTCACAGCAGCAGCCAACCTTGTGCGTATGATCTGGTCCTGTGTACTTAGTCTGATTGCAAATCCAATGACACGGGCAGTTGGACCAGGTTGGGTTACTTTCTTTTTTGGTATGCTCAACTTTTGTTGGGCATTTTTGCTACTACTGATGAAAATCAAGGGCCCACAGATTCGTGCCTGGTCTGGATACTAGAACTTACTATATACCATTTTTACACTTTCTTTTACTATTGCATATATTAAATCAAAAAAAAATTTGTATTTAAATGTGGTTTTTATTTATATTATAGACAGTAAGGTACCATAAGGGTCTTACATGTCTAAGAAAGAAGAAATTAACCTGGAATGATCTTCCAGAAAAGAGGATAAAACAGCCCGAGTGATCCAGGATATATTAAATCAAAATGCGTATCTCAATCAAACGCAACCCCTGAAACTTTGTTTATGCGACCCTGATATGTAAAATCTCGGCATTTTGGCAAAAAACGTTATTTCATATTTTTGTCCTTTGCTCAATAAGCTTGTTCACAACATCTCTTAATTCTAGTACCATTGGATGCGCCTTGAAAAGTACTCCAGGAAAGCCTAAGGGTACTTGAGATGATTCGTACAACTTATATAGTCAAATCTGACAAACCAGGTCTGATTCATTTTTTGAGGAAATAATTTTTATTGATTACAAGTGGCTATGCTTCGGATGGCTCATTACTTTTGCTTCACTATGGTGTGACCCTCTACTTACAATTGGAAACCTTTTATATTATCTGTGGATCTATTTATATGCGATGCTTTACATCCATATACACGTAGTTACTTCATATACGGGCAAGCAGCATACTGGCATTTCCCCTTATTAGCCTTTGGTGTCCCTGATACAGCAAAATCTGAGTGCATTTAAGTTGCGTTTTCTCGCGTTCAAGGCCGTTTTAGATGGTCAGAAGAGTACCAAACAATTGCTCTCAATTAGCACTAACTTGCTGACACCTTTGCTCAACTTTTTGGGGACCAAAAAAAAACAGGGTCAAAAATCAACCCAAAAGCATGAGGTACCCCTCATGATTTTCATTGGAAATCAAACGATCGTGTTTTTGACCTCGATAATGAAGACTTTTACTATGGTATGTATTACATCAAAATATTTCTATCCATCAAACGTAATCCCTAAAGTCATCTTTGTGGGACCTTGCTATGTAAAATCTCGACTTTTTGGCCAGAAGCCTCTTTTCATATTTCCTTAAATTACTCACTAAGTTTATTAAAAACATCTATCTTACTTGGTACCATTGGATGCGCCTTGGAAAGCGCTCCAGGAAAGCTTAAAGAGGTATACGATGATCATTGTAATTTACTTAGTCGAATCTGCTAAAATAGTTTAATCGAGTTCAAAACCATTAAAATTTGTCCAATCTGGAACAGAATATGATCCTGGATTTGAATTAATTTTGGCTTGTGAGGCCGGCTGGCAAACGCATGCCCTTTTCGTCATGAAGACAATACAGTAATAGATATTTTTGAAGCGTATGGAAAGTAGGTGGCAAATCATAGCACTATTGTTAATCATGCTACTTTTCTTGCATTTTATATTTAATAACGCCAGTCTATCAAAATACTTGTTAGATCAACTTCTTTCCTTTTGAAGCTTTGAGAGTGTCTGGGGACCATAAATCTATTGTGTTAGAGACGGGAGAAAGTAATTATTCAAACACAATGGCATCTGTCTATCAAGAAGTTTGTTCAATGACTGGACAATCCATAATTTGATAGCTCATATCACTGTGTGCTTCATAGCTTGGTAGTGCCATACTCATGTTAACCCGTACCATATGTACGGCACCTTATAATCCATACTTATGGCACTTGAGCACAACATTTGGTATATTGCTTCGTATCGCACAGAACATTATATATTTACACTTGTATCTTCTCTTGCCAATGTATATACTTGAACCCTAGCTTGTCAGTGATTCGCACTGTTTACGCGTATATACCAATAATTGGCAGTTCTTTACAAAAGTCGCTCATTTATAAAATTGCCGCTATGAAGGTAGCTCAGATGTAGGTGGTCCATAACTCGATACACAACAAACCACCTGGCATATTTTTTAATATCAATTTGTACGTGCATGCAATTCAGCCGTGGTGGGACAGTTGGATCTTTAATAATTACTAAACTACACCGTTTTTCTACATACATTGTCTTTGCCTCTCCATGTTTCTCGTCTTTACTTCGTAGTAGCAAGCAGCAGTACAACGCGAAATTCCGCTAGTTGAAAAGGGATAAAGGTCCAGACTTTGTTCTACTCTAGAAATTTATGTTGGTAACCCTATGTTTGGTTTCGCGACCATCTCAAAGAACGAGGGCTCGTTTTAGTTCTGAATGACATGTTTTTTTCATTCCAAGATTACACGTGGTGCTGGACTGACAGAACAAGGTGTAACAAGCACACAACATTAAATGAATCAAATCAAATATAATAAGCTGTTGCAGGTGTATGAATGCACAAGTGTCTGTGTGAATAGACTAGCAGGAGAACGAGCCATCCATGACATTTGGCAGGCTATTTTGGCGCCTGGTGATGCTAGAAGCCAGTGTATTTTCACGTTTCAATTGCACTACCAACGCTAAAATTGTACTGATCTACGAAATTTTATTTCGAGTTCTGCGATGGTTGCTAGACTCAATTACTTCATCTATTTGACCATGCTAAATGGAGTCAAAGGGATTTTAAATCAACAAGAAAACAGGGCAACACAAATTATTGAGTTGAGTTATTCATGGTTGCACCGTTTTTACTTTCTCGGGGTTGTGGGCATTGTATACAAAAAAAATGCGTCTGTGTCTGTGTGTGAGAGTGAAGTGTAGTAGCAGAATAGTGTGATCTTCAAATTTTCATTTCCTCTTTTTCCTTTCTCTTTTTTCTTTCTTCCTCTTTTCGCTCATTTACTGCTGTTATCTCCTCCCCCCTTTTCTTTTACCTCTTGATTAATTTCAGATGTCAGAAATACCTATACTATGTAGAGTTCAAGCACTCTACGACTTTAGGTCCAATGACCCATCTTCGCTTTCATTCAGTCAAGATGATTTCATTGATGTGTTGAATAAATTACCGTCTGGATGGTGGGATGGCCTGTGAGTTGTCAGCTCTCTGCACACAAGATGTATAATTATTAACATAATAAGCAACAGGTGCAATGGCACAAGAGGATGGTTCCCTAGTAATTATGTTAAGATAATTGCATCCAATAAAGAGCAAGAACCAGATGAAGAACTGATTGATGGACCGATCAAACGGAACAACGAATATAGACTTAGCTTATCGTATCATCATGTCTCTGACAAGCTACAAACCAACAATTGGATATCGCAGCAGCACGAGCAGCACGAGCAGCAGCAGCAGCAGCAGCAGCAACAACAACAACAGCACGAGCAGCAACATCAAACATCTGATCTTGGATCCAATGCCTACTTATTATGCAACGAGAGTCTGCTTCATCACAGCAGCAAAATATCAGAATCTACAGTGAATCTCGACAGCGAATACGAATCCGATCAGATATCCACCATAGATATGCCAAGCTGGTCTGATCAAAGCACACTGCTGTCGATTGACGAGAAGGTATATAGACAAGAAAACCAATTTATTTTATTCAACCTCCGTATAATTAACCCTTCAAAAAAATTACAGCCTCAATGGTTAAATCGTGTAACATCTCATCAAAGTAACTTTGATAGTTCAAGTATAAACTCCAAGTCATCCTCGATTGAGTTCAATCAAGCAACAGCGCCATTACCACCGCCGCAATTACTGCCAAGGTCTCCCTCGCGAAGGCCATCTGTGCGCAGAATCAACTCAGATGAACCCCTGAGCTGGAACAAAATTTCGAGCAACATTGCCATCGCCATCCATCAGCTCACAACAGCAGCAAAAAGTGGACAATACAGCCTGTACTACAAAAATTCAGTGGACGTCGTCAACTCGATTCGATTCATGTTGATTGCATCATCTACTATTGACAAGGATTCAGGCTACATTAAAGCAAATGGGACATTGCGATCACATCACAGAGCCATGATGGCCAGCATGTCAAAATTGGTCTTGTCCGCTCAAACCAGCCACACATCCTTCTCGACTGAAGATGACCAGCAGATGATTGCTAGCAAGATTCTCACTGAATCCAGCGAGCTACTGCTCATGATTCGCAATTTTGTCAGTACCTGCCAATCGCTCAAAATACCACTGATACACACAGATCCTCAATGGATCGATGAGAAAGACCCAGATCAAGTATTAGGCTCCACCAGACGTCCTTTCAACAACAACAATCGCTACAGCCTGCAGATCAATCTAGCAGAGAATTTAGAGACGATGGGTACATGCATTCAGGACTCGGCCGAGATGATTATCAAATGCATTTCATCGTGCCTCCTCAATAACAACTCGACGCAATTATCGCAGGACGACAAGACATCACTAGCTGCATTATTATTCACTCATTTTCGTAATCTCTCTAATCAAGCCGGTCTATTTTTGGGTTATCTCGATGAAACTGATTTCAGCATAGTGCAACAGCAGCTCGAAATGGCAGATTTACAGTCTGGCAAGCAGGCGTTAGCAGACAGCTTGGGTCTACTATTCTACAAAATGCAAGCACTCACAGACGAGTCAGTACCGGATTTCGCAGCAAGCTTGAGGGATACAGAACTGGCCGCCGGAAGCTTGTTTGAACCGATCGAACTGATCTGTGAAAGTGTGCTATGTTTGGCTAGTAAGAATCGCAGTAGAACCAATAGCAGTGCGTCCCATGCTGTGTCTGACAATAGCGCATTGGCAAAACAAGCATCTTCCTCTGTCGTCATGGATGAAACAGCGATACAGGAAGCCGATGAAGACGACATGGACGACTTATTCCCTGAAGAAAATGACGTACTGAAGCCATTGAGGCCCAGAAGTCTGGAAGATGACGAAAGGAGACCTGCAACAGAGATTATGGAACGCCATAAATCTGAACTGATACCTCAAACAACGCCTTTACCCTACCCAATGCAACGATCGCAAACAGCACCTGCTATCAAGCAAACCACTTCTTCCAACAAACTCAAAAAGTTCTTTGGTGACGATGCGCCTTTGCCTGAAACGACAGTGGCCAACAAGCCCATCGCCAACGAACGCCCCGAATACTTGGAGTACGATTATGGACCCAACGAAATTGTATTCAATATGGAAGGCAATGTCAAGGGTGGCACGCTGGTGGCACTAGTGGAACGACTGACACTGCACGACTACTTGGATATGAACTTTATCAATACCTTCCTGTTGACCTACCGCTCCTTCTGTAGCTCTATGGATCTACTAGATCTGTTAGAGGCAAGATACAATCTGCAATGCCCACCTGGCTTATCGGAAGAAGATGCGTTTATCTGGGAAGAAAAGAAGCTGAAGCTGGTCAGACTTCGCGTCTTTAATGTGCTCAAGAATTGGCTTGAACTGTACTACAATGAAGATGACAGTGTGTTGCTGGATCGCTTATTGGAGTTCACTCAGTCCAACATTAGAAAGACACTCAAGTTTTCTAACGGGCAATTGGAGTCGTTGATTGAAAGAAGAAGAAATGCGGATACCATGGATGGACACAAGAAGATGATTCTGACGTTACCGGATCCACCTGAGCCTATTCTGCCCAGAAATAAACGTCGCTTCAAGTTACTAGATATTGATACCCTGGAGATGGCTCGTCAATTGACTATCATGGACTTTAAGCTGTACAGCGCTATCAAACCCATTGAGTGCTTGGACAAGGCTTGGTCAAGAGACGAAGAAGGCAATGTAGCTGTCAATATCAGAGCCTCTATCGAATACTGTAATCAAATCACGTCTTGGGTTTCTGATGTTATCTTGAGTCAACACGACATCAAGAAGAGAAGTGTCCTGATCAAATACTGGGTCCAAGTAGCAGAGGTAAGTTTGCTGTGTGTGTGTGTGTGTGTGTGAGTATTGTACCTGAGCTGAGCTGACCGTGCTGTAGAAATGTCGAATCTTAAACAACTTCAATACGTGTATGGCCATTCTATCTGCTTTTGACAACAGTTCCGTTGGAAGACTAAAGCGTACCTGGGAAGTCGTTGGTGCCAGAACAAACCAAACTCTGCAACAAATCCGTAAACTCATGGGCGCTAATCGCAATTTCATTGAATACCGTGCCATCATTCATTCCATCAATCCTCCTTGTATACCGTTCTTGGGTATCTATCTCCAAGATTTAACCTTTATTGAGGATGGTAATGCCAATGAACTTAAGAAATCAAAGGAGTTGATCAACTTTGCTAAGCGAGCCAAAACTGCTGAAGTGATACGAGAAATCCAACAATATCAATCTTCCTTATACCAACTAAAACCAGTCGAAGATTTACAAGAATTTGTCAAGGCCAATCTACAAAGCACTCGAGATGAAGAACAGCTGTACAAGGAGAGTTTAAAACTAGAGCCAAGGTGAGTGTTTGCTAATGATCTCGTTGCGACCTTGTATTCATAGGCGATATATAGGGAACGTGAGGATGAAAAGATCACTCGTCTGTTGCAAGAATCAGGCTTCTTGTAAGCAGAATTCCTGTTTTATACATCATCTCCAAAATGTCCTACCAACACACACGCACAACCACAACTATCTTCATTACATATACACTCTTTTTTTTAAAATCACATTTCACTCATTCTATAGACCCCATTTCCTTTCAAAACACAACTTATGATATAACAAAAGCCAAAAAAGTAGAATTTATGATAGTAAACAATTCATATGATGCATTACAAGCCTTTAGTGGTTGGATCCAGGAACCATGGATGACAATGATTTTCCAGGCAAAGGGGACTAGTTATCGTTACGAGACTGATAAATTCTCGAGCAATCAAAATAATCGCTCTTCTTTCCCCCATACCACCATCACGCATCCTTATGAAGAGACCACACTCGCCAACAAGAATGCCCTCACGGCACGGTGATCCACCTGCTCCTGACTGCAGACGATCCACTTCACCACCACCTAATTCTTTTGATGGAATGTGTGTGCGAAATGATTTCCGACAGACCAAGAAAGATCTATTAGAGGTTATTGTTGACTTGGACAAAACAGAACACTCTATAAGCTCACTGAAGGGCCAGCTCAAAACTGCAAAAGACCCTCTGAAAGCTCAATTGGATTCACAGCGCGTTTCTCTAAATATGAAAATAAGCAAGCAGAAGAAAGCGTATAACAAACTTAAGAATAGAGTGTATCTTATTGACAAAGAAATGAAGTTTTTGTCCAGACGCAGCCAACAGGATATTGAAGATGGGGAAATCAGCAGTGTGCAGGTGAAGCTGGAGGAGGAGGAGGAGGAGGAGGAGGAGTATGGTGATTCAGGCCCACAACAGCGAGAGAAGAAAAGAATGTAGGCCATCCTTCAGTATTTATGTTGACACTCCCGTATGTCGAAAGCAACTCCCTCATTAATCATATTACCATCCGTCAGTTATTTGTATATCAAATCAAGCCAGTCTTGCATTTCTAGAGCATACAAACAAACAATAAACTTCATTATTCACAAGCATTTACTCTCTAATTAGTTTATTATACATATACGACAACTATTTTATTCAGCTAAACTCTCTCCTCCCAATCTTTGGCCCAGCAATGAAGTATACAATTCTTCGACCATAGATTCATGCCAATCACCAACAGGTATAGGTGCCATGAAGTTTTGGAGTTTTTCATGGACATTGAATCTATGCAAAGTTAATACCTTATCACCAAAACCGCCTAGATCCCACTTACCGAAGTTGACGACCTTTACTTGCTTTTCTATCAACCACCTTCTTTTTCTTCTTCTGTTCAGTTTGTTTACGAGCAGCCCATCTCATACCGATAGCCATTGGGTCATCTGTATCCACCATACGAGATTCAATCAATTCACGCAACTGTTGTTGATAGAAATCTTGATCGTCAAAGATCTCAACATCATAGGTATTCAGATGGCGATCAGGTTTCTTGCCTGTGTCCATCTCTTGCTGCTCTTTATCCACCTCCACATTCACTTTACCAAGAATCTTGTAATCTGCTCTTTGCAGCTGTGTTCTTTTGATCAAGCCAGATTTATCAGACATTGTGCTTTCAATTTGAGCCAGAATGTTTTGATCAAAGGCCTTGAATTTCTTATTTAATCGTGCGCCTGCTGCAACCTGCACCTTGTTGCTCCATTTCTCTAATGTGCTGTTACGGAAAGGTACGAATCTAAGAAGGCCGTTAGCCGTTTTTCTTTCTTCGTTTTTTCATTTTCTCGTAGGCAAAACTTACACATCGTTGATTTGCGAAATATCATGCCAAAGAGCATCAATGTATTGGTCGTCATCGTCGAGATGTCTCTTTCTAGTGTTGTAGTTGGCATCTTCAAGGTCAATTGAGCCATTTTGCGTAAATAAATCAACACGAATGTCCATCAAATCATCAATCACTTCACGCAAATCATTCTTTGCGTTTTCCAAATCCTTCTCAACGCCTTCTGCTTTGGCCAAAAAGTCGTAATAAGTGTCGTTTTGAGGTAATTTGTTGGTCTCATCAATCACTTTTTGCATACGAATACGGTTCTCTAGGCAATTATCCCAAAGTGTCTATCAACATCCTGCATGAGTACAATGTTCGTTGGCTCCAAATACATTCAAACCTACCAACTGTTGTCTGACATGTTGACCCTTTTCAACATCTGATTGTGCGCTCTTGGATAGCTGAGAGATCATTTGTCTATTTGACTATTATTAGTGTGCTGGCATGTCGTTGATCTGAATAGGCATACTTTTCTTCTTCTTGGATTCTACGAAGCTCAGTGTTGATTTCATCTTCCTCGCCATCATTTTGAGCAGACTCAGCATCTGATGCTGCTTCCTCTTGATCTTCCTCATCAGACTCTGCTTCAGAGTCATCGTCTTCCTCTTCGTCTGAATTGGCATTGGCGAGTAAATCTTCATCGTCGTCGTTGCTGTCATCATCATTCTCTTCGTCAGTGTCGCTAGCAGAAAATTCCTTGAACTCTTCTTCGTCTTCCTCCTCATCGTCATCCGAGTAGATGTCTTTACGGCTAGTATGTTTACCAGCGTAGCGAGGATCTTCCAACAAAGGTTGTTCACTACGAAGTTTACTCTTGCCTACTGACAAGTAATGATCGCGAGCTGCAGATTCTTCGTTGTCACTTCCTTGATCACTGCGGTCATTGTTGTCGTTCATGGGCTCAAGAATATCCTCAGGATCATAGTCTATATCGAAGCAACTATGAATAGGACATGTGTGAACGTTTGACAGCTTTCAGCTTACCCTTGGGAGCAGTGGAGTCGAGATCTGCAATGAGACTAGCAAGAGATGCACTTTCTATTCCATCAAAAAATTAGTTTCTAATATCGACAAATCCAATGCAATGACATACTAGACATGATGATGATATAAGATCGGGTGCAAAAGATCCATATATTTATTTTTTTAATGCTTTTTATCAAAAAAAACTTTGGTGGCTTGACAGACACCGTGACCGTACAGAGCAACAGGCTTTAAAGCAATTCAAACATGGAAGTGCATTTGCTGTGCCATTTCCATACAACTATGGTAAAAGCAGTGAAAGGTGTCTTATTGGAGTGTGATAGCACAGTAAAGCAAATTGTACTTAACTTGAATAAAAGAGGAAACTTTGTAATCGAAGACTTGGACGACACACATTTATTTATCGAAGCTTCTTGGGTTGAACAGTTGAAATACGAGTTGGACAAAATCCTTGACGAAAACTCTTACACTGTATCCACAATCGACGACAAGGACAGCAAAAAAATCTAAAGAGCTACTAGTGCTAGCAAGAACAAACAAAAACTACGACATCTACTACAAAAAAACAATAAAAAAAACACACACACATAGACATCAGCCATGAAGCGTGAATGCCCTACCTGCAGAACTACCAAATTCAAGAAATCAAGCGATGGTGGTCTCGTCTGTAAATATGGCCACAAGATGCTTGGTATACAAGTGGAAGAGCAAGAAGGCGACTTTGAAGGCTTTGGTGGTCGGCAGAGAAAGAAGGTGAAAACGCTGCAAGACAACATGCAAAGCAGCAATCCAGTCAAGGAAAAGAGCGATTTTCTGCTGATATGTCAATACACACTGCAAGTACTAACACGCTGTATGGTGCAAGAGCTGGATTTCCCACCTGAAATTGAACCTGTGGCAAGAGAATTTTGGCTTTTGTATCTAGCAGACTCCAAGCAAGAGATTATGGAAGCATATATATTCGAAGCAAATGAAAAGGAAGCGCAGGATAGTCAGTATCAACCCAAACTGGACATGCTGGAGAGAATACAAAACGAAGAAAAGGAACTGGACAACTTGGAAGACTTTTCCTCATCTGAAGAGGATGATGAAGGTGGTGAGCATGATCAAGCAAGACCTACAGAAAGACGGCCAGGTGTCAATCGAGTGAAATGGCCGAAATTAGCCTATCAACACACACTAGTATTCATCTACATTGCGTGTGTTTATCTCAACTACCCTGTTGTTTTAAATGATCTCGTCAGATGGAGTGTCACTGGCCAAATACCCTATTTAAAGATGCAAGAAAAGATTCCTATGGAGACGCTGGCCTCCCTTCATTTGGTCGTGACAAATCCAATGACCAGAGCGCCCTCTGTGCTCTATCTCAACAAGTATAGCCACAGATATCTCAAGGGCTTTGAAGTGAATTGCAACATTGTATTCCCAGAATTGAATATACCATTGTACCTTGATCGATTCTGTTGTCAATTCTTTCTCCCAGGTAAAATAGAGCTAACGTTCACTTTTTCCCATAAGTTAACCTTGTTGTAGTGGAGGGTTATTACTATGCAAACTACATTTTTGAAACCAGAAGGCGGTTATTTTACATCAACACATCTCCTCTGCAGAAGGCAAGAGGTACGCATGTTACAACCACACTCATGGCCAGTGTCATTGCTGCAGCCAAGCTCATTTATGGCGTAGATGATCATACCACGTAAGTTGAAATTGGCCTGTTACATTATTTAGACATAAAACTAACATGCCCTGAATGAATTGCTAGTGATTCGTCTTCCGTGAGCCAGTTTGATACATCGACTACAAAAGAGATGTGGCACGAGCAAATTGAAAAGAACATGGCTCGATGGAAATCCTTGCAAGACGACCAAAACGACTTGAAGAACATGATTCAATATCTACAAGAGACGTCCGTGGCAAGCAAAGCTACAGCACATTTACGAGATAAACATAGTAAGTCTTGGTTGTGTTACGGCGGATGATGCGATTTAATATTGATTGATTATATCAGATGTTCTTTTGAATATCCTAAATCGAGAACCTACTCGTCATTTGAATCAAGCAAAGTCATTGTCTGTAAAGGCAGATCCGTTGTTGGATGCTAGTGACCTCGTCATACCAACTGATGCAAATCAGGATAAAAGACCTCTGATCAAGCAAGGCGAGTTCTTTTACTCTCGAAAAGGCGGTTTCGCGCCCAAAAACTACCTCAACGTTGTATCGTTGGCGAGCATGATCCTGGGTCAACCGACGAACATCATTGAGACTGCAGTAAAGTCGATGGATAGCTCTATTATGAGACACAATCAGACCAACTGCATTCGACCCAAGAAATATAAAGAGCATTATATTCCTGAATAAAGCACGTATATAGGAGATATCATGACTCCTGCGTCTGTTAAGTTTAGCTGTGTAAAAAAAAAAACTAGGGAGACTTGATAATAGATATCGAAGCCATGCTCTGCAAATCGCTCGATTTCCACTGTTTTTCAAGATACAAAATTGGACTAAAAAAAAAGTGTCTTTGAGATATTTTTTTTTATGTTACATAAAGCGCATAAGGATATAATTTTATTTTTTAGGTTCAATTGTACATAAGATTGTTGGTATGTTAATGGCATGAGGATGTGTGTGTGTTTTTTTACATATTTACATAATGAATTAGTTGTAGCATGAGGATGAGTGCAGTGTTACAAATGAATGTGGTATATTGTGGTATTTTAGAGTTGTTGAGGGACTCGGTTGAAGGCTTCAATGGCAGTGTTGCGGCATCTTTCCCATTGTGTTTGGAAGGCTTGCATCCAGGAAATAACGAGTTCAAGGCGGTCAATGATGGGAACTGTTCTCAAAAGGACATAGACATCTTGAGGCGTTACTGGAAGCACAACTGCTGCCCACCAGCAGACGGCCATGGGGTTGTATTTTGAGGGAATAGGACCGTGAAGCGACTTGATGCTTTCGTACCAAAGAGGGCCTAACAAACCGGCTGTTTGAGCGTGAAGGGCGTTGGCAGGCAAGCTGGAAGCGGTGCCAAGGTGGTGAATGAATTGTAAAATGGAGTCTGCTAAATCCACAGCATAGCTGGAGATGTGTTCCTTCTGAGCAATGAGTCCTTGCTGATCGTCAGGGGAAGGTGAGTTGGGAAGTTTGATACTGAGCTGGCGGATAAAAGCTTCGTGCAAGATCTTGAATGTTCCAAAGATGGTGGATTCATCTTCTTCTGTATGCGTTTCAAGCTTGAAGCGATCGACGCCAGCAACCTCAATCAGGATGGAATCACTGCGATGCTCGACATTGATGATTTGTAAGAGTGTGCCAAATTGAGCCACTTCGGGTCTGCTGCGATGGACTGATGCTAAGCAAAGACCGTTGTATCTGCTAGAGGGAATAAGAGCTTGGCGAAACATGCGCAGGTGGTTGGGTTGAAAGATAGGTAATCTGAAGCTTTGTCCAGGCAGGATGACAGCGCCAGAGACAAAGAGGGGTACGTTGTATTGGTGCAGGCTCGTAGAGTTCAAGAATTGTGTTTCGCGAGTGTTGCATGGTAGTAATCCAGAGAGTTGGAAATCTTTGACAATGGTGGAAATGAGTTGGTTTGTTGCTTGTGATAGTAGGCTGCTGTATTTTGGAAGAGGACGAGAGCAGGCGTTGCAGGCATCCGATTCGATTTTTGATTCTAATATACAAAGTCTACAGAAAGTGTGTCCACAAGGTGTTGTCACTGCATCAGTTACTGGTGAAGCGCAGCGATGGCAGTTTAATAGGGGAATGACAGCACTGGCAATCATGTCTAGTTTGGATGTGGGGTCTAATTCATCGGAAGGAGTTGGAGGGCGAGAGCAACTTGGCATGACATGGCGAAGGATGTGTGTGAGTTTGGTCACTGCCACATCAGGCAGTAACTCAGGGCCGAATAAATGTGTTGCGGAATCGCAGTGAGGCACTGGACATTTGAATACTGATTTCTTTACTGAGGTTGGGCTGCTGACAGGAAAGCACTGTGAGCATACTGTATAACCGCAAGAGAGCGAAATGGGTTCATTCAAAATGTCTCCACAGGCTACACATGTGAGTGATTGTGTCAAGTTGAATCGATCAGTCATAGTATATATAGATGTAGCGGAAAGAGAGTAATGGATAAGGTATAATGCGGAATAGATATGAAGAACATGAAAAGCAGAATTGAAAAAAAGCTTCCCTTTTTATATCAATGGAAAAGGGTCAAATCACATACACACTAAGGATCAAAGCTCACTGCTTGGATATCCGATCTTCACCAAACTGCTCGATTTTTGGATTATCCTAAATCGCTAAATTCCTGATTTGGACAAAATTTAAAGCGAATCTTGGGGGGGGAGGAGTCGGAGGGGAGGGGAGAGGGGAAGCCATGGTGGGTTTTGTTTCATTTTACCATCTGTCGGTGGGGGAGCTTCAGATCAGAAGCATCATTGGTCAAGCCTTGAATCATGCCTGTTTGCAATCAGATCTTGCGCTTTTGTTAAGGTGGCGATTGGTTACAGATTCATAATTGAAATCATGTCCGGAAGAGCCACCTCTTTGACAAACGTGTAACGCCAAATGTATTTGTTTTGATTCTCATTGGAATGATGGTCCTTTCTTTTTCAATCACTCTGTCATAGTTCACGTTCTGATCCCCCAAGATCAAACCCTCCCCCCAAATAGCTGCCAAATGCAAGCTTTTATTACTTGACATTCTGTATCGAATAAAAGCATAGCTATCCAGTGATTGTGCATCTCCATATGCAGTGTCACTCTACATTTCCCCCCGCCATCCTCCCTCCACTCACTGATCCCTCCTATAACACCTCATTATCATTATCACAAATGTGCAAATACCGATAATATACAGTGCAGCCCCCAAATATAGTGAAACCCCTATTTTAAAAAGGAAATTTTACAAAACAAGAATACACAAGAATTTACTAATCGAGACAAATGATCCATTTTGTTCCACTAAGAATATATAGAAGATGGGGGGGGGAGGAGGAATCGATTATTCATCGAAATTGCATCCAAAACTCAATACATTAAACGCATTTGTGCTCCTATTTTGCGGTGTTGCTGTGATGTTGCTAGATTTTGCTGGGGATTTCTTCTTTTTCTTCTTTTCAGGCTGATTGCTGCTATTTAGCGAAATTAACCTCTTTGGTTTATTGTCGGATATCGTCCATTCTTCCATAGCTGAGGTGATGATATCATAATCAAACACGTCTAGCACTTGGTCGTATAAATCTGTCATGATGGATTTGTACACGGAACAAAAAAGTGCTTTGAATGCGGGTGTGACATGGTGAAGCATTCTGCTGATACTGACACCTCCACGTGCAATTTCAATGTAATAATGAAAGTAGAGCCCATGGTACATGTGTGCAAGAACATGCGGCGATTGTAGGTAATTGGCTATATCGAGCATTTGAGACAGCAGAAAGGATGAGTAGATGACGCCTTGGTACTGGGATGCAAGATGGATAGACCTTTTTTTCAGGGCAGGTACGCCTATATCAGGACAGGGCACCTCGTCTTGAGTCGAGTAGCCTAGTGTAGGGGCAAGTGATCTCAGTGTGGATACAATCATGGCAACCACTTCATAGTTGAAGAGACGCCCATTGTCAATCGATTGCGAGCAGTGGTATATCATGTATCGCATACACAGAATCAGCGGGTGAAGGATAGGGTTGTGGTGTAAAATGTGGGTTTCGTTGCTCACATGGAATCGATAGAAATCATCAAGAGCCGTTGACCTTTGATATGTGATGACACCTCCTATCACTTGCACTACTTCTAAATGTTGCTTTTCTCGAACATGCTCTTGGACTGTAATTTCATTCTTCTTGGCTTCTTGCTGCTGCTGCTGCTGCTGCTGCTGATCCCCTAGTGTTTCGTGCACGCATCCATAGACGCCTTGTCTCAATGATCTGCTTATATCCCAGCTTGATTCTCTTTCAATATCCTCGATAAAGATGCTGGTCCAGAATGTATTGCTTGTAATGACATCCATGATCTGTCGGCTGAGGGTTTTGGTATGCGTAAATTGGCGGCTGATAGTGTCAATCAGCGTGCTGCTGGAGGAGCCACATTCTTGATCTGGCGAGTGTTTGAGGAGTGGACTGAAGGCGTCGTATCGGCAAATCGAGTTGATCATTCGATCTTCAAGCCCACTTGCCTTTTCCTCTCTGGACTTCATGCTGCTTCTGGCAATAATTGGCTTTAATTGATCTGCTATATTCTGAATAATGCAGTCTTTGCCTTTTCCCCCTTGAACATGTGTGTTTCTTCTGATAAACTCTGCAACCACCTTGGGCCATCCACTCTGATTGTTCTTGGTGACATGGATTCCTTCTACACTACACCAATGTCCAATTGGAAACCTCACCAGGTCTGCATCAATGTAATCGTTTCCTAAAAGGGTGCCAAACAACGGTAGCTGATAAGGTTCTAGATTCAAGGATTTTGCCAACGTCTCGGGATGATACACGCTTGCTGATATATAGTCGCTGTCTGTGTCTTGTATAGGGATAGTGAGTGATTCAAAAGGGATGTAGCCTTTGCCTACATCAGGGTATACATGCATATCCGAATCTTGAGATACCACATAGGCCCTTTCTCTTGCTGCCATGCTGACGACCTCGCCATCTGCTTCTGCCTCGCATACTTGAATCTCGACTTGGAGCTCTTTGAGTGTTTGAACAATCACTTCTAGTGTCAATGGGGGTATAAGGAAGAGATCGCCATAGTATTGAATGCCGTTTTGTCTTTCTTCATCTGCATGCTTGTTGCTGGTGTTGATCTGCTTGAGATTCCAGTAGGTGGATGCACATCGTTCAATGTACGATTTATGACGTTTGACTCTTGTATCCAGCTTGTCTTGCGGTAAGGCACCGTCAAACAGAAAGGTAAGTTGGATACCAGCTCTGTGGAGACTGTCAATGGTCTTTGCAACAACGTCTGCGATATGAGCATATTGGCCTCCATGTGTCCAGTTTGTTCTATGCTCGAATGCAATGTGGTAGACAAATGCGTTGCCGTCTATGATAAAGTGATCTCCATCGTCTTTCTTTGCTGAGAATCTATCTGCTGCTGGTTCAATCTTCCATTTTACATTGTCGATGATGGAGGGCAGAGATTTGATGAAATAGGATAGCCCATGAATTCCCATTTTATGTAACTGTGCAAGAAAACTTTTTTGTTTCATTCGCTTGGATTGCAGAAATTTACTGTTTCTGCCAGCCCAATCAGCGCGTATGGATCCACACAAGCCTCATGTCATTAGGCCTCCATTTCACTGAAGAATTCAGGCAAATTATACCGGGAAATTGGGAGATCTCTCGTCGACTCTATATGCTTTATTAATGAATTAATGCTAGTTGAATGCATGTTTTATGTAAGTCTATTTCGTTTCTATCAAACCAATGATCTACCATAAATCAGGTGTATCCGTGGGCCATTCGCCAGTTTCTCTCGCATTCCAATATTCTCCAGCAAACTGCCACGAATGCCCAACATTTGCATCAGCGTGTACAGCAAAAAGAGTGGGTTCTTCGTACGGATCCTCCTCCAGCCTGAACCATTGGGGCTTCCAGGGGGTGCCCTTCTCTGCATACCCAGCCCGTGTCTCACGCTGCATCTTTTCAATCCTCAGTTTCTCTTCATCGGCACGATCTACTTGTCCCTCCTCGTACAGACGCTGATCTGGCCTCTTTCTGGAATCGGTTTTAGGCAGCTTACCCTTCTCGATGGGCGTAATTTCGTTCAACTCAATGGCAAATTGCGAGAATCCATAGTACTTTTTACTGAAATCAGGGTTGGTAGGGACCTTGGCTTTCCATAGCACGGACAAGGTGCGGCCGTCCATATTGACATCCTCTGCCAGTCCATCGCTCCATTTACCAACTATTTTCTTGCTCTTGACACCTTCTGCCGTATAAAAGGTGCCTACTACACTGTTACGCTCCTTGGGCGCACTAAACAGCCCGCCACCAGTACCCTCCTTGAATGATACGGAGCCATACTCACCGGTGGTTTGGTTGATCACCTTCAATTCGCCTACATGCTCCAAATATTTTTCGCCAGCAATCATGTTTCTCATCCAACTCGAAGGTTTTGTAAAGGTATAGTGCTCACTGTCGTTCAGGCTGACGTGAAAGGTGCCTTCTGTCATGAATTCCATGGATTTACCCCAGAATTTGCTCTTGATCTTGGTGCATTGCCAATACTGATATGTCCGCGATTCTGCGTGCGAGGCAATGATCAGCGGATGGTGAGACACTTTTTCCGAAATGAAGCGAAATCCCTTGTCAGGTCGAATGCATTCATACGTTTCGCTCATCACTGGATTGAAAGGCTATAGTCTTTGAATGAGCGTCATGGAGTTGTTTGTAACGTACAGCACTGTACCTTTCTACCAGATCGCCACTGTGAGGACGAGTAGCTGGAGACAGCAAATGCCGCCACATACATGATTCTGTCCATACTGTTTTCACATTGTGCTGCTTTATCCAATAATTCAGAGTATTCCAAATCCTCACAGGCCTTTTCGAGCATGCTCAACGGCTCATTCATGCTGACAGGCATTGCAATCTGAGATAGATCTTTTCCAATGTTCTTGCGAAAGATGGATAAGGCTGATACGCCATCAGTTATGGCGGGCGAAGGCAAAATTTGTCGTCTGTGAAAGTTGGACGGTTCTGATATGAGATCAGTCAGTTTGGATTGCCTCATTGGTTTGCCGAATGCTGTTAGGCAGGTATCAGTGCGAGCCTCTCGCTTTCGTAACCATAGGACTTACCGAGGCCATCCTCCTCTTCAGATTCCTCCTCATCGCTAGTAGACAGCGTAGAGCTATCTCCCGTAGACACAATTCCTGGATGGTCTGCGTAATCATCATCGTCGTCTGTCAATACCACAGACTCGGCATCGAAAAACTGGTCTGACATGAATGAATTGTGGAATGAAGAGCAAGACGTGTTGGTGCTGGGTGTGCGTAAGAGCATATGATCATTGTCGGCTGGTTTAGTATCAGTTTCTACTGGTACTTTGATCTTTGATTGTGATCGTGTCATCGACAGACTGTTGAGCGTTGGATCTCCCTTTAACAAATGTTGCATTGTCACTTGAATCTCTCGCCATTGTCTAGCTTGTTCTGCGGCCAAAGACGTAATTAATTCGCTCTCTTTAGCCAGTGTAAAGCTCTCTGATGAATTATCACGATGAAATAGCGACTCTGTATTCTTGTTCAGTATGGCAATGTTGGAGCTCAACAGTTCAGCGTTGCGGACACCAGCGTCAATCTGAGACCATATCATGTCTGCGCTATGATAATCAGCTGCAAAGGATGAAGAAGATGAAGAGTTGGGTAGTAGCTGTATTTCGGGAGGCAATTTAAAATCTTGTTGCTGTTGCTGTTGCTGTTGTTGTTGTTGTTGTTGTTGTTGCGTTTGTTGCGCTCGCTCTTCTTGTTGAGAATCCGCATACTCCCTGTGAAGAAATTCATCGTCCCTATATGCCTTTAGTGCTCGCGTCCATTCCTTGTATTCGTCGTTTGTCTGACATCGTAGATGGAACAAAGTGGATCCTGAATCAATATGGATGATGTGGTGTTGTGGATTCAGCGATATGGTTGCTAGCAGTATTTGGATCGACCCTCTTGTTAAGCTAGTTGGTGTAGCAGAGTACGACAAAACTCCAGCTTTTGACAGCTCAAACCATCTCTTGGCCCAGCCTTGCAACTTTTTGCGTCTCTTCTTCAACAGCCAGCCCGAGATTTCTGCTTGTGGATGCTCCAATGCTTGTTCCATGTTGGGATCTACCAGGGCGACAGAGAATGTAACTACTTTGGGTGTGTTTTTGGAGAACGTGTTGTCTATCAAAACATGAACATTTAGTTTTGTTGTGTAACCAGCATGTCAGAAATTGGGCACAGCTCCTACCAAAGACTAGAATGTAATTCCCAGCATCATGCACAGTATAGCTCCCTTCGACTTTGGCTTTGGCCGAATTCACATGCTCTATAGGTATGAGCTCAACCCAGTCATTCTTTTCTCGCAACTTCTCAGATGCTATTGACTTGGATCGTGCTCTTGTATGATGCGTCGAGCTGTCGTGTATCAGAGAGTCTTCATCTTCTGCTGAGAGAAAGATAAGATATCAGACGTTGAGATGCAAGAAAACTATACCAAGCTACCTGTTTTTTTGGATAGAGGATATGCTTTCAGTAGTTGATCCGACCGAGCTTGCTGCGCTTTTAACACAATATCTGAAGAGGACGGTAGTGGTGTATGACCCAATCTTCTGTAGAAGCCAAATGCAATGTTGTTCTTTTTGGTAGTGAATGTCCACCTGACCGTCGTCCCCTTCACTGGCACATAGATGTAATGCAGATAAAAATCTCTTGGTTGCACTTGGACGACCTCCATTTCCAAAATCTTCCTATACCAAACAAATATTGAAAAAAGAGGGAAAAGAAGAAGCTCAGCTAGAATCCACAAGTTCATGAAACTCGAGCCTTTATTCATTAGGGCGGAGAATTGCGGTTTTGAGATACGAAGTTTCAACATATCATATCTATGACATTGTTTTTTTTTAAGCAAAAGAGGCACACACTCCTGTTGTTCTCTCGATGAGAAGAATATAACTTTGTGATATTCCTAGAATAAAATAATGTATAAGGAAATTACGAACAGCATAGCTAGCCGAAATCTAAAGAAAACGAATGGCAGACCTTTTGTCATGTCAATGGAATTGGAGCTTTTCAAAAGCACACCACAGCCTACTAATCATCATAGCATGATAAATGTTCAGTCCCTAGACACTCTTACAACCCTAATATGGAAACTGAGTTGCCAGGCGTTTGTCAGGTATGGCTCATTGTAACATGGTCTCCAGACACTTTCAAAGCCTCAAAAAGGAAAGAATTTGATCTTACAAGCATGCTGGTGGACTGGTGTTATTAAATATAGGGCGCAAGGAAAATAGCATGGCTAGCAATAGTGTTACATAATTTGCCACCTACTTTTCATACGCTTCAAAAGCATCTATTACTGTATTCCCTCCATGATGGAAAGGGCGTTGAGTTTGCCAGCCGGCCCCACAAGCCAAAATTAATTCAAACCCAAGATCATAGTCTGTTCCAGATTGGCCAAATCTTGATAACTCTCGACTCGATCGAACTATTTTAGCAGATTCGACTATATAAATAGAGATGATCATACGATGCTTCCTAATACATCCGTGGAGTACTTTTGAAGGCGCATCCAATGGTACTAGAATTAAGAGATATTTTGAATAAACTTATTGAGTAATTTACGAAAATATGAAAATAGGTTTCTGGCCAAAATGTCGAAATTTTACATATCAAAGTCCCACAAAGACGATTTCAGGAGTTGCGTTAGATCGATAGAAACATTTTGATTCAATACATACCATAGTAAAAGTCTTCATTTTCAAGGTGAAAAACGCGATCGTTTGATTTTTGATGAAACCATGAGGGGTACCTCATGCTTTTTGGTCGATTTTTGACCATGTTTTTTGGTCCCCAAAAAGTTGAGTAATTGTGAACATAAGCAACTGTCAGATGAGAGCAATTGTTTGGTGCTATTCTGACCATCTAAAACGGCCTTGAACGCGAGAGAAAGCAACTCAAATGCGCCCAGGTTTTGCTTTATTAGGCACATTCTTGACTAAAAAGGGATAATATCTGTATGATACTTACCCGTATATGAAGTAGCTACATGTATATGAATGTGGAGCATCACATAAGAATCAGATCCACAGATACTACGAAGGTTTTTTATGTGTAAGTGGAGGGTCAAAATGAAAGTAGCAGATACTCAAGGGCAATTGGTAGCGCGAGCTGCCGCTGTGCAGGTTGGTTCTCACCGAAGCTAGGCGAAGGTAGAGAGCCATCAGAAGCATAAACACTCGTATATATTAAAATGCTACTTTTGTAACTCTTTGGTGTTACGTAAGAGTTTCCCTAAACAACCTTTAACTGTATATATGGCTCTCTTGCGATCCTCTGCATCTGTTTTAATGCAAAACACAGCGAAATTTGAATGGGCTTGAGCAACGATTTCTCGCGCCAGGAGCAGTTTTGGGCCGCAGGAGTAGCGCCACACAGCTGTTCTTATCTAATAATTACTTTATAACACCTTTGCTCAACTTTTTTGAGATTGCCAAAATTTGACCAAAAAAGCATGAGGGATACCTCATGGATTTTGCCAAAAAGTAAACGATCGCGTTTTTGACCCCCAAAAATGAAGACTTTTACTACAGCATATATTGAATCAAAATGTTGCTCTCGATCCAAAGCAGCCCCTGAAACTTTGTTTGCGAGACTTTTATATGTCAATTATCGAGATTTTGGCAAAAAAACGTCATTTCATATTTTCATTATTTGCTCGATAAGCTTATTCTAAACATCTCTTGGTATTAATATCATTAGATGCGCCTTGAAAAGTACACTCAAAAAGCTTAAGGGAGTATAGGAAAATTTGCACAATATACATAGTCGATTCTGACAAAATAGTCTAAACTGAATCAAAAATTGACCAAAATCAGCAAATCACGACAGAAAGTAAAGCGATAATTTAATTTATTTTGGCAGCGAAGATGGCAGGCAGGCATGCAGACATGCAGGCAAAATCAACGCCACTCTTATCAAGAAGGCAATGCTATGGTGCATTCTGTATCTTGTAATGTCAGTTAGCCTGGCTTAACACCGTTGAGAGAGATATGAGTTTTGGTTCTCTATGCGAGTCTTTGCAAATGCCTAGCAGTTGTAATATTATAAAATCACACCTGGGATGATGAAACCCCTTCCGAAGGGAATAGCATTCAATTTCTTGGAAGCAATCTACCGAGGGAAGGCGCACTACTGCTACATGGTTAACAGTAAATGGGTGAATACTAACTCCAAACTAATGTATGATAGTAATGCAAAGAGGCTCTACAATTAAAATATCAAATCTTTGCGGTGATGGCTTATCATTCAAAATGCAACAACCATAGGATCACGCATTCAAGTCGGAAATACTTAAAGCTCTATCGGTAACAAAATCTATGATTCAAATAGGAATTCTACATTCAAAGTACTAATGCAATTTTTTCATTTACTTTTTAAACATAAAATGTTGTCATCCGTCGGCATGGAATTCCACATATCAAATGAATGACAAAGAAACCCCATTTCTGCCCAGAGGGCAAGAAGACAATCTTTCTTGAATGCGATGAAATCGAAAGATTCCTGGCAATGAAACGCCGAGGCCAAATAAATGACAAAACGTTCCATCGTGGCTGCATACTTAATTTTTTGATTAAAGAAGCACATTAATTGCCAACTTTCGTTCTCTATTTATAGTTTTTCGTAAGAAATGAAAATTTTTCTTGGATCAATCAGTCACAATTCATGTCACATCGACGCCGGATGAACATCTTTCCATTCAACATTCGTGATCTATTATGTAATGACCACCAATGCATTGGGATTTGTCGCATACAGCTTGATTTGCTTGGCGATGCGATAAAAATACCAAGATTTTGATGTCGTCAACCACAAATCATCAAAAAGGAACAACATCTCGATTTAATTTTAGACGCTTAGTCTTTTCGTCATTTGTTGCATTTTGTGGTTGATTTGAATGGGTCACATACATTTCGATTTGTTCAACAAGACTTGGGGTGATACAATTTGCACAGCCATATGAGTGCTAAAAGCACTGTGTAATACGATATTTGGGTTTTCAAGAGAGGTTTATTGAATACATAGGAGACTACTATAGTATTTATGTATATTGAATATGTAAAGTATAGGTATCATATATACATAGATTTTATTGAGAAATTACTCAAGAACGTTGACGAATGACCAATTCCAAGAACTATCAAAGTGTTAGCGCCATACCTTCTCCCCCAGCAACATAAAATGCAGCATTTACCTGTTCATAATTGATTTGAATCCAACCATCATTGTCCGTGTCAAAGTGTCTGAACGAATCCGTAAGTGTCTTTACTGTAACGCACGACTGAACAAAATTGTCAAATGTGATGTTTCCTTTGCCTGCGAAATGTCCTATGAGTGTAAGTTATTTGATATTGCTATACACTCGTTTGTTGCATTCACATACCATATTTATCAAACTTCTGAACCAAAACACGAATAAATTGGTCTGACAAGTTGTAACCAAAGGTTTTTAATGCATTGCCCATCTCGACATGATCAATATTTCCAGAGTTATCAGCATCAAAAGTCTGGAAGCATCTCTTCCAGTCTTCAATGTACTTCCACAATCCAGCGAATTCATTAAAGTCAATAGTGCCGCTGTTATCTGTTTGTTTAAATCGCTCATGAGAACTTTTATCCTTTTATCCGCCTCTCTTCTGTGCTAATAAAAATTACCTTTATCAAACATGTTTACCATTGTACGCACAGTCTCGATATTGAAAGGGCTCCAGTCGCCATTAACGAGAGCACGTTGAAGCTCATCAACAGAAAGCTGACCCGAATGATCGGTGTCTACAGCAGTAAACCAATTCCAGAGCTGTGGATCAGCTCCTGGAGGGGGTCCAGCAGGAGGACCAGGTCTTCCTAATGACCAGAACGAAATTTAATACAGCCATCAACAAAAAAAGGTTGTGTTTCTCATCTCTTACCATAGTTTTGTGGAGGAGGGTATGCTTGTTGAGGTCTGTTGTTGTAAGCACCATATTGTTGTTGCTGTTGTGGAGTTTGAGGAGGAGGGGGTCTTTGGTATCCACCCTGTTGGCCATAACCACCTTGTTGTTGTTGGCCGTAGCCACCTTGTTGGCCGTAACCACCTTGATATCCTCCGTATTGTTGTTGATTATAAGACATGTTTAGTTATTCGCTTACTAGAAAAAAAAGGAAGAAAAGGAAAAAGAAATACGCTGGTTTCTTAGCCGCCGAGATAAAATAACGAAGGGCTGCTGCTGGTACCTTCGCCGCTCGAGATAGCTAAAATGGCAGGTGCACTTGAACTAACACAATCAGATGCTGCGGACTTGAGGAAACCCATACTCTAAATTTTCACACTACCTTTTAGATGAAAAATGTTGTTTTTATTCAAAAAGATGTTTAAAGAGGTGTAGGCCAAATAACAGATATGATAAACTAGATCAGACACTACATGTTAAATACACATATAGTTTGGCATCACCATTGCTTTTACTTACTTGCTCAAGATTTATAGGCAGGCTGGTGGATCCAAATTTAATGCACATTATTTCATAAATTTCTTTGCAGCGACACAAAGTGACACAGGCCAAGATGAAATTGTCCAAGTCAATCAAACCACTGCCAAAACGATCAAACTTCTGCAACAAACGCAAGATCAACTTATGGCTCAAATCAGCAAATCCTAAAGATTGAATCGCGTAATGCATTTCCTGGTAGTCAATTGTGCCAGACTTATCTTCATCTAAGAATAAAAAGCATCTCTCCCAATTCTTTATGAATGCTAGCATATCCGGGAATTCTCTTTTATCTATAGCCTTGTCTTTATCTTGAGAGACAGAAATGATTATAAGAATATTACGTACTGTTTTCTCTGGCTCGTTCTCATACTCACTAGTATCAAACATTTCTATAAGTGTCATCACTGCCTCATCATTGAAATGTGTATTGTTCGCATCCTTGTTTCGTAGATATTGCTTCAATTCGTCAAAGGTGATCAATCCAGAGTCATCAGCATCGATAGCATGAAAGAACAGTATAAAGTCCTCGCTGGCTCGCAGATAGGAAGGTCCATTTTTGAAAATGGGAGGGTTGGGTCTTGATGGTATGCTGTTGCAATGAGCATGAGTCAGTTGAGAGGTATCCAGTTGGTTTGACATGGCATTTAAATGATCAAAGGAATTGGTTGTGCTTGTGGAGCTGGAAGAGAATGAACCAAATGCTGCATCATTCGTAGTCTGCTCATAATTGAAGATGGATGGGTAAGAATAATGAGAGTGGTGTAAAGGTATTGATGAGTTGTGGTTGCTAAAGCTATTTGTAAATTTCATTGCGTGGTCATTGTTGGTATTGGCAGTAGGCTGATGCATATTGCTTGGAAGCGGGATAGTGACTGGATGATAAAAGCTTGGGCTGATCTGACCGAGCGCCATGGCAAGATTGGATGTGTCTATCAGATCAACGAAAGCGGCAGGAGGTAGCTCTTGAGCCCAGGCCAACAAATCATCACAGTTGTCAAAAGTCGATAGAGGGTGCTGTAAATGCTGATGATGGTGTTGCTGTTGCTGATGGTGATTCACTTCCTGTATAGGTATATGCATGTCCATAGGCTGGCTATGGAGGTCATTCATAGTCTGTAAGCCATCACTGCTACCACTGCCTTCCTGCATTGATCTTTTGTTCATATTCACACGGAATACGTTAAAATGGGTCTTGATCTTTTCATCGAGTTTCCTCTTTTGGCTGTTAGGTTTTCTTCCTGTACTGCAATGTCTGTCCATTTGGCTCTCGTTGAATATAGCTATAAAGAAGAAGAAAAGAAATGAGGCAACTCTTCTGAATGTCTATTTTAATCAAAACAATAGCAGTAATAATGGAAAGGCGTCTTGGTAATCTCTGCTTGGTAATAGGTTCCATATGGCGCACGAAAGCAAAGCCAGGTGTAACTTATTTGTATCTCTCCATTAACTGTCGTACAATTACTCATAATGAGCGGCCGCATCGTACACTTTGCTGCTATTATAGATCATGACAGACAATTGTATTGTTGTTTCTCGATAATGTAACTATACGAAAACCATCGGTTAGAGCCTTTTCTGGAACTAGACTGATAAATCAGAAGAAATGAGGACTACAAAGATGGTGCCACTTATTGATGAGGGTAAAGGCGTTCCCCGTGCCATCCGTTATGCCTTGCAATTTTGTTTAACAAACGATCTTTACAACATTTTGAAACTACTATTATCGAGTAGAAGATGCCATCGCCATTTGATTCAGTAACTTGTGCCATTGTAAACCAAATGCAACAGACCGGCTGATCATATCAAGCAACAACAACAACAACAACAACAACAACAACAATATCCCATTCATGTAATACAAGATCATCTTTCTCATGAGTGTTGATGGATTTATATTTATTCACTGCTATAATACACATTTACATATTACAATCCGCCTTAACTTCCCTTCATATCAGGTCGACTACTAATGACCAAGGTCAAGAACTTTGGTGTTGGAAGTGTCAATGCTATCGCACATTGTCTCTCTAACTGAATAGCAACTTACATCTTCATAATTGATTTGAATGGATCCTCTGCCTTCATAATCTCTTGCTCTGAACGATTTTGTCAATGTGGATAAAGTAACGCATGCTTGGACGAAACAGTCGAATGTGATATCTCCATTTCCTATGGTCAGCAGAACACTGTCAGGCGCCAATCTAATACGATACGACATCGCTCGAAATACAAACCATATTTGTCAAATGTTTGAATCAGTATCTGAATAAACCTATCACTAACATTATATCCAAATGTTCGAAGCGCATGGCTCATCTCGTAACAATCAATGCTTCCAGAGTTATCTTGATCGAATTTCTTGAAGCAATGACTCCAGTCCTCTACATATTTCCATAAACCTCTGAATTCTCGAAAATCAATAGTTCCATTATTGTCTGGTACAGATAAGATAAGTTTGCCACTCCCAATCTTGAATCATTTTCACATTCTATACCTGTATCAAAAATGCTGACCATCATGCGCACTGTTTCAATGTTGAAAGGACTCCAATCGCCGTTTACTAATGCTGTCTGTAATTCATGTACAGAGATAGACCCTGATCTGTCAGTGTCCACCCTTTGAAAAATGTCCCATAAATATTGCTCCCTCCTATCCACCATTGGAGCTAAAAGGCATTCAAATACATCCCATTAACAACATCCTTTAATCACATCCACCGATTGCATTTGACTTACTAAAGGTATTGCTTCTTTGAAGTGGTGTATGATTGAAATTGGTTTGATGTAAAGTTTGCGGCGGCTGATATTGTGGGGTATTGAAATTAGGTATTGTAGATTGTCGATGATAAGGATTCTGGTGGTATGGTTGCTGTTGTTGCTGCTGCTGCTGCATTGCTGGAGATTGGTAAGGGTTACCTTGGTAAAAAGGCGCCCCTTGCTGCTAGATGAGGTATGTAGTATCAGTAAAAATAAGTTGAGCATATGAGCTTGCTTACTTGTCCTCCATAAGGGTACATGTTGTAGTGATTCTCTGGCTTGTGTAAAAAAAAAAAAAAAAAAATGTTAATCACAGAACAAAAAGTAAATCCGAAAGTTTGAGGCAAACCACCATATAGATTTTAGGTCACATAGAACCGTCGATTGAATTACCAAGCTGTTGCACAAACCTAGAGAATTGCGCAGCAATATAGGTTTATCTCCATCCTCATTATGTCTTTTTCTGAACACTGAAAAATAGTGGCATTGTTACATCGTACGGTGCTTCCGGTACCAATTGGTCACTTTTTTGACTCTCAATTGGTTGCTTTTTCGAATCTCAATCGGCCGCTTATTTGGACTTCATTTAGTTAATATTTTGAACATCATTTGGTTATACAATAGAGACGCTGCTCCTTCTTAGATAGGCTCTTTATTCAAACACTTGGGAAAAGTATTTATGGAATGCTGAATGTAGTTTCGTATGTTCTGAAGCGGTACCTTCTCACAAGCATCCATCATTCGCGAAGTAAGAGTCTCATTATCTTTAAGTTTATCTCTCTTAACATAGTCCTTAAGATCCTTCCAAAATTGCTCAATTGGATTTAGTTCGGGTGAGTAAGGCGGAAGATACACAGGTATATATCCACGACGGATTATAATGGGATCAACGATGTTATGGACGTGGATGGGAGCGTTATCCATGACAATGTGATGGCCCCTCATTTCTGGAAACTGATCCATAATATCCATCGTATCCACAACAAACTGCATGAAATGGTTGCCAGTAGTACCCTTGGGCAAGTTGAGCCGATCTTCTGGAGCCTTTCTTTTCGTAGCACCAGCTACTTTTCTCCTCTTCACATTGCCAGCTTCTCTGATACTTACATTGACAACGCTAGCAGACGATACAGCGCCGAGAGCAGTCTTTGATACTGCTTTTGTAGATGGCGTTTCTTCAATAGCTGGCTCTCCTTTCTTTGACCAGGCTCTGCCTCGAGTCATGTTGACGTTGAAGCCAGATTCATCAACAAATATACAATTGTTGTGGTAGTCGATTCCCTTTGCAACCCATTCAGCAACCCAAGCTGCCCTAGCCTCGACAGTCTTGGTACTGTTCCGTTGAACTGGATGGCGAGCGATACTCTTCAAGCTAAGGTTACATTCATTCTTCATGAATTCAGCAACTCGCGTCTTCTTGATTGTCAATCCTTCAAAGCTATTGGTGAGTGCCTCCACGCCATCCTGAATAGTTGCTATAGGCTTTTCGTAATAGAAGCGTATCAAGATGTCTTTATGTTGCTCGTTTAGCTGCGATATACGCTGCTTTCCTGTCTTGTTTGTCTTCTTTTCAGGAACAACAGCATCAGGGTTAGACTAGTATTCAGCCCTCCATTTTCGAGCTGTGTACTTGTTGATATTTGCAAGTCTGCAAGATTCATCATGAGTCAAGCCTTTCTCGACAGCGCAATGTATGTAAGCCTCTCGTTGATAAGGAGTATATTTCGTATACTCCGTAGCTCTATCTTTCTTCTCTGGTGCATCCTTCATGGTGGTGTCATGGCCTTCGGAAAGACCAGACATATCAACCTCTATATGTTTTATGAACTTTTGAAGGGTCTTCAGCTTTGTAAGGCGAAATGAAGGAATCTCATCAACCGCCATAGTCTCTCTTCCATCTTCATCGTAGATGTGTCCTTGGCCATCTTCGTTATAGAATCTCAAATCAGATGCCATTTCAAGTCTGAAGTAAAGGCGAGATAACCAAATGATGTTCAAAAAATTAACCAAATGAAGTTCAAATAAGTGGCCGATTGAGATTCGAAAAAGCAACCAATTGAGAGTCAAAAAAGTGACCAATTGAAGCTCTATTTTTAGTATTTTTGGGCAACCAAATTTTCAAAAAAGTGACCAATTGGTACCGGAAGCACTGTATTACGAAAACTTTCTCTTAGTATAATGGTATATGCCAACGTCTTGACATTCTTAGAGGGAGTATTTTTTTTGCTGTTTGAAAATAGCAAATTGAGGATGGAATTCTTTGCCTTATTTGCATAATTTTCTTGGCAGCACGCAGACTTTCAATTTGCAAACAGGATAAATGGAAAACACTTTGCTGAGCATCATTCGTTGCTTTGCGGTCTTTTCATACTTTATAAGGGTAATTTAACCACAAAAAGAAATGAAGGAAGTGGTTTATTCAAATTCACCTCTTCTTCTCGGTTTGAATTTGAATAGATCAATTGCAATAGTAGGGAGTTGGATATACACCTTCATTCAACATTGTTTCGGATGCATGATGATGATGTTGATGCTTTTGATGGCATAATAAGTTTGGTTTTTTAGCATCATCAAGATAAATGAAAGGATGAAATCATGTTCACAGGGCCACAACAATTTTCTGTTTCTATTTGGGACCAGTTTACAGTGTTTACTTGAAGGATCATAACTGCAAAGCAATCAAATACATAAGAGGTGAGAATCGGCACATCACATGATACTTCCAAAACTTTATAAAATTCTTTATAATTTACCTACAAAAAGGCAATAATATGATACTCTGCGGTGCTGGTTTTGTGAAATGTGTAGCGAAATGTGTAGAAGATCTTGCAGTAATAGTTGATCCCGAGACAAAACCAAGTAATTAAAGCTGTTTAAGTTGCTGATGTGTTGCAATAACCTTGATATAGACAGTATCTCAGCGATTAAATGTATATATAAAGTTATGTACCCAAAAGATTTAAACGTAAGAAAGTTCGATTTATTTCAAATGTGTTGTATAGATTCAAGTATATATGTCAAAATAAAAAAATGTAAGAATAATCGATTTGAACACCAGTTCAGGAACAGCACTCTAATAGGCTCAGAGTTCAGATACCGCTTCTTGAAATCAGCACCACCACAAAATCTTTTTACCATCGTAACAAATTGTCTTCTTGATAGATAGATCCAATGGTAGGATTTATTAACAAATAACTTAAAGTGTAACTGATAGATTGAGATTATGTTCGAAGATGCTGTTTATTGAATGCATTTACAGCTTATATTTATACTATTTCTACGATCGATAATTACTTGATCAATGGAACTTTCGAGTAGATATAGTACTTGATATAGCAACTGATAATCAGATCAATGCCTGCTATCAGTTTTCAGAACCTTCGAGTATACGCTGGCGCCTTTTAGTTGCTTTCTTCAAATCTGGGTTATGTCTACATTTAGACACGGCAAAATATCAATTGCCGGCTTTAGCTCAGTTTAAAGATTGTTTTTATTTATATACAATGTTTTATAATTGGGCACTCGGTATGAGCATATGCCATAAAACTAGTAACTATATAGACTAAAGAAAGAAAACCTCAACAGAGACAACGGAAAAGATGAGGAAAAAAGTTTGAGATGGCAGTAAAAGAGCAGAAGACTACTTGTAGTGGCACGATTGATCTTGAGGGATGAACCAACGGATGGGAACTTTGATTTGACTTACCACCGAGGCACCGCACAAAGAAAACAATCGGCCAAACGTTCATCTCAGTTAGCCATGAGAGGGAGGATAGAACCACAATGATCCGGGATCAGGATCAGGGGCGATAGTAGCCAAAGGGTGGACCAGACAGTCGATTGCATGAAGCAAAGATAGTAACGCAGACCAGTATACTGGAGGACCAGCAGAACCACTTATAGGCAGCATGTTCAGGGCATTGTCAATGGCATGTACACCAGGAGGAGCAGCAGGCAGAGCATCCCACAGATCACGATCCAAAGCACGACATTGAGGGAAGTGATTTCGAGAGATGAAAGATCCATCCATGCAGGGACATTCCTCACGCATGTTTGCAAAACGACCAAGACGCCAACGAACCAAACGACTACGAGCAGATCGACCAATAGGTAAGTAGAGTATGGGATCAGGGCGAGAGACAGAAGGACGGCACGCACGAAGCAGAACATGTTTACCAGTAGTAGTAGCAGCAGCCAGTTGTTGGTCAACCTGATCTTGCCAGAAGTCAGAGAAGTGAGCCTTGAGACCAGCAAATGAAGGGACAGGGTCAGGCAGAGATCTATACAAACTGTTTTCACAGATGTACCGATCCAGTCGAGTGTACGACAGAGCACCACGAAGAACCACCACAAGACTATCCTCAGGTAGAGTAGCAGAACGAAGAGCATACCTAGTTGCCAAGACATTATACCGATGCTTCATTGAAGGGAGACAGGTAATGTGCTTAGCAACGTTGAACCAGGAACCACCCACGAACATACCAACCAGCCGGTTTTGGAGCTTGTCAAGAGCCTCAAAGGTACGATAGTCAAGATGAGATATAGCTAGGCCATACTCAATCTTGGGTCTAACGAAAGCCTTGTACAGACGAGAACAGAGCAGCAGAGAGAAACCATTACGGTTGACACCAACAGAGTTCAGCAAAGCCATAACCTTGACAGCACCAGCGGACCGCAGAGACAAGATACTAGGAGCATGTAGCCCTTTATATCGAAATGGCATACCAAGGTACACAAACTCATCTACCACCGGCAGCGGCTCATTGTAGAGAGTAAGACGAGCATCAGAGAGGGCAGCAGGAGAACCGAGCACAGCACATTTAGATGGCTTCCACCTATAACCAAGACAGACAGAGTGTTCAGCAGCAAGATCCAACATAGACTGGACACCAGACAAAGACCCAAAGATAGCAACATCATCGGCAAAGAGCAAGCTATTGATGGCAATAGGACGACTAGCACCAGGAGGACTGACCATCGTAGCACCAGTATCAACAGAACGCAAAAGATTCGGTAAGGAGTTGATATACAACGAATACAAATGAGGACTGAGTACTGAGCCTTGAAGTACACCAGTAACAGGAGAGAAAGCAGCAGAAGTATGATTAGCAATCAAGACTGAGACTGAGACATCGTCAAACATGTTCATCAGAAGACCCAGAACAGGACGAGGAAGTGTAGAACCAGCCAGGGCTTGCCATATAACCCTACGATCGACAGTATCATAAGCTGACTTGATATCCAAGAAAGCCACCACAGGATAGCGACGGTGAGTCAGAAAGTAATCATGCATCAAGTCATGCAAGCAGAGGGCTTGATCCAGAGGACTACGTTGAGGACGGAAGCCACCTTGAGCAATATCCAGAGCAGGGGAGTGTTCATCCAGAGCCGGCATGAGACAGAACTCAAACAACTTACGCACCACCGAAGTGAGCGAAATTGGTCGATAATTACCAGGATCGGAAGCATCACCCTTCTTGAAAATCGGAAACACCTGAGCTTGGCGCCATAAACCAGGAGTATAAGACCATTGATAGCAGAGGTGAAACAGCAGAGAGAGCACTGGGGCAATTTCTGAGGTCAGAGCTTTTAACATCTCAGCCTTGATATGGTCAGGACCAGGAGCTTTGTGAGTCGGCAGACGTTTAATACACAGTACCAAGGTATCAGTATCAAACAAAGACATGTCCGCAGGGAGACAGAAAGGCAAGTCAGAAACCATAGGAGTGACAGGAGCAGGACGAGAAGCAGTATTTAACAGAGCACCTTCGTAGACCGTAGCCAAATGAGAGCCCATAGTAGCAACAGAAGCAGCAGGACCATCTGGGTGACTGTACGTAGGTGAAGACTCTTTATTGCGCTTGATGCGTTTTATAGCAGCAGTAGCTTTTGAGAAGTCTCTTTCCAGAGCACCACAGAACTTATGCCAGGACTTGCGCTTAGCAGACTGTACCAAAGAGCGAAAACGGCGATGAGCTTGCTTGTATAAGACCCAACAATCAATCTTAGTATACCCAAGGGCATACCGCCATCGACTGTAGAGACGATCCCGTTCAGTAGCCGCGTCTTGGATTTCTTGCGTCCAGTATTTCTTCCAATGGCCAGGACGGCCAGACTTCACACCTATTGAGCTATCCAAACATTCATACAAACATTGGTTCAAAGAACCGTTGAGTGCATCAATGTCGGGACGAGTACCAGGAGGAGCAGACACCAAACCAGAGAGAGTAACAACCAGAGGAGCAACAGAAGATCGAAAGGATTCACGGAGTAGGCCTAAAGGCCTCTCTTTCGTCAATTTTGAGAGCTTCCATTGCCGCCTAGGAGCCAGAACAGAATCACCAGGAGCCACAGTGTCATCAAGAGGTGGCACATACTCGAAAGTAAGTGACATCAATCGATGGTCAGAACCAAGAGACAGATCAGACTCAACCACCAGTTGAGGGTTCACCAAAGCAACATCACCAATATTTGTCAGAAACAGATCGATAATACTACTCAATTCTTGCTGCTGCCGAAAAGAAGAGTAAGTCTTAACACCAAAAGCCAAAGACGCATTAAGCACAGATAAGCAATGTTCGTCAAACCAAGGTTTGAGAGCATTACCACGAGCATTGGAGATAACATCACCAGTCAGAGGACCCAACCGAGCATTGAAATCACCGCAGAGAATAGTATCCCTAGTCATAGGTAATGAGCTGAGGGCCGAGAGCACCTTATCAGAGGATAAGGGTGGAGGAAAGTAAACACAATGAACCGTTAGGGTGCCAACCTTGAGAGACAGAGTGTGCGGATTGTATGAAGGGAGTTGGAAGACCGTAAAGGGGCAAGAAGGAGAGACAAAAGCAGTGATACCACCAGAACCACGGTTGAAAGCACCAGGTACTTTTGAACCATACAAGTGGTATTGAGACCAGTCAATCGGATAGGAACCAGAAGTGAGCCAAGTTTCAGTG